AAGCCCCTTCCTCCCCCCTCCCTATCCCCTCCCCGCCCCCTCCCTACCCCCTCCCTACCGCCTCCTTGCCCCCTTTGTAACCTTTCCGCGCCCCCCTGCTACTCCCTCCGCACCTTCTTCCGGCCCCTGGACTTCCGATAATTCCGAAAGCCCCCCTTCCGCCCCTTTTGGAAATCAATTGAAAAGCGGAGCCTTGGAACGCGGGGCCCGCCCGTCCTCCTTGCTTTGTTTTGCCGACGGGGACCGAAAATACTTCCGCCCGCCGGAGTAGGCTACGCGACCGAAACTTCTGCACTGGCGCGGGGAGCAATCGCGCCTAGCGACCGCCTGAGGGCGCGGGGCAGAGATCGCGGGCTTGGGGGTACTGGTTCTGCGCCTTCGCGGGCAATCAAGGCGGCAGGCTCAGGGACCTTTTCCATGTAGTGAGAGCCGATCTAACCGCGCATGGCTCCGAGTGGCTGCATCCGGCCCAGTTTTTGACGATCCTACAACCCTGCCCGAGCAGTCCTGTCCGACCCTTCGAGCCAGGTCCCCCCTCGCCGGACGACTTGCGGGCAGACGACTTGCGGGAAGGGCGCGCCGGAAATCCCGCCGGGGCCTTTTTGTTTGGAAAGGAAAAAAGCCTCAAGCTGCGGCCCTGCTTCGAAATTGCTGCAAAGCCATCGCCCAGGGCGCGGGGGCTCTCCGATGGTTTCCAAGTGCGCTCGAAACTCTCCTCCCCTGCAATCGGAAAGGAGGGGCCCTAGAACAGCGTGGGCATCCGGGTTTTTTTCGGATAATTCGAAAGCGCTGCGGATTTCTTTTTCGGTTGCCAGTTCGGTTCAGAATTCCGGTTCGAGTACCGTGCGCGCGCATGCAGAACACGTGAGCGCGGGAAAGGGTGAGCGTAGAGTATGGCGCACTCCCTCCCGGTTCTGCACCCGAGCGGTCCGCGTTGCCGAATGCGATCCACAGCGAGAAGAAAGTTTTTTGCGATGTAGTAAAGTACCTGCAAGAAGCGAGCGATAAACCAAATCTAAGCACTCAATCATCCACTTTGCGAAAAAACGCAAAATCGGTCACACAAAGTATGTCTTCTTCCCTTGCTGCGGTGTTCAGTTCCCGAATGTGCACATCCCATTTCACTTCACCCCCCAAGATGCACTCCCTGCGCACCACTACTTTCCCCGAGGTCAGCATATTTATTGATTCTCCTTGTCCACGATCACGATGTGCCTGGTGCTTCGAAAATTTGTAGTCCATAATTCTTTTCAACTCTGCAAGCCTTTCTCGGCGGTTGTTTCACTAAAATTAAGATGAGCCTTGGCTTTCGCCTTGTGCCTCCGTAAGACAGCAGCGCGGCGTTGATAGAACAGGACGAGAGCAAATGGTCGCAGTCTCTCCGGCGAAGGCGCAGAAAGGCGTTTCCAAGCATCTCTTTGCATCTTTCAGGACGGGCTCCGCGATTCCCCTGCCCAACCGCGAGAAATTGTTTCTGCTTTGCTACTGGATCGCAATTGACGCGTTGGTCTATCATGTGGTCAGAACGACGCCCGAGTACCTGGAGTTTGTCGAAGACGTCTACATTTCTCTGCAGCAGGATCTACTGTTATCAACGAAAAAAAAAATGCGCCCCGTGGAGGACCGGCGTCCAAGCTCATTTCATTTGACAACAAGAAGGACTGTCGGCGCGAGCGCGTGGATCTCACTTTGCATAAACCTGCATCGCACCTCTATGCGACATCAAGTTCACAACGCTACGTGAACCTCGCAAAAGGATCGATCTTCGTGCAGGAGCGAGCCACACTCACTGTGTAGGTGGAAATTAAAGAAGACGCTCGCCCGGTTCCACGTTGCTTAGCCCGAGCTTGGGGTTCGTTACCGAGCCGACGCCCGCACGGATGCATTGATTTAGTTGTTCCTTGGATACGCACAGCCCGTGGTGCACCAGTTTGCGCTGTACAGCCTTCTGCCGCTGCTTTCCAGCGCGTGCTGCGCCTTCCAGCTGCTCCTGAATGCGTTCAGCATCGGGTGTGCGGGCTTCAACACTGTGCTGGGACCGGTCCGGCCCTTCTTTCTCGCGATCACGATTTTGAGCCAGGTCCTCATGTGGTATTCCATCGAAAAATGGAGCATTCAGCGGGACCAAGCCATCTTAGCCACTGTCCTCGCCGTCGTCCTCTCCCTACTGCCGGAAGCGCTGGAGGCTCGCCTGGAGTGGAAAAGCGGGAGAGTCAAGCGCTTTTTGGGGCCCCTAGCCCAAGAAAAGAGCGACGACTCAGTAAAGAGCAGTGCCGAGAAGCTCGTGGTTGGTGCGTCACCTGCACTTGACCCAAATCGAGCCGATCGCGCTCCCTTACCAGTCGGCGGCGGACGAGTGCTGGTCCTGCAAACCGAGGGCATGGGCTGCGTCGCGTGCGTTACCGCCGTCCAGGGAGTGCTGGAGAAGAGCTTCCAGTTGCCCTCCGTCGTCGACCTGGAGAAGGGCCGCGTCACCGTTCCCCTGCCGCGCCGCAAGGTGGACGGTCCGACGAGAGCGCCCGGCGAAACGTCGGACTCGCGCCCCGCGGACATCGCCACGGCTGTGACCGATGCGGGGTTTCCCTCCTCCGTTCTCGCGGTGAATGACGTGGTCGCGGACGACTCTACTCAAAGTCCATCCCGCGAAGACAACGAAGTACTAGCACCCAGCCCTTCTTTCGAGCAGGGCATTCTCATCCCCGCAATTAACGGTCTACTGTCGTCCAGCTGTTGTCTGGTGCAGCTGCTGCTCAACCTCCTATCCGCATACGACATTCTGCACGCGGGGTGCGCGGGCCTGAACACGAGCCTCGGTCCGCTCCGCAACCAGATCCGCGCCGTGGTACTGGGCTTTCTGAGCTACCAGTGGTTTGCCTACTTTTCGTCCGCGACAAAAGGAAACGCCTTTATGTCCCCAAGTGGCAGCGCTGTTGCGACGTCCTCGTGCTGCGACCCCGGAAGTGCAGCGCCGCTCGCTGGGGATAAGGACGCTGACGTCGAAGTGCGCGCACAGAGCATGCGTAGACGCAGGCGCAACGCGCAGCTTCGATCTAGCGCCCTCACCCTCTTTCTGATGTTCCTCCCAGAGCTGTTGCGGTATGCGCATCAGTGCGCGCGCTGGATCCCGGCCGTTGCGCCCGAAGTCCGACCCGACCCGGCGGACGTTCAGAAACTCTCCTACGTCATCGACAACATGGGGTGTGAAGCGTGTGAATCCGGGGTGCGACAGCTATCAGCCACGAACCTGCACCACCCTGCGCACGTCGTGTTTTGCATGCAGGAGAAGTGAATCTACTAACTCCGTAATAAAGTGATCATTCCTAGATCAAAAGCACCCAGGAACTTTTAATGCCGCGAATACCAGAAGGCATGTGTCGAACGAGTACAACTTTCGAAGTGAGTCGTTTTTATGCAAAGATGCGACTTGTTTGTACAAGTAGCATGCTCGACAGTAGGACACTGTGAGTCAAGTCGCCGCTCATGATTTTCGGTGACAAGCAGGTATGAGGGCGGTGCAGTTTCCCACATGATATCTGGTTTTGTTGAACCACAGCGGTGTATTGGACGTGGAAAGCCTGGATTTCGAAACCGGTCGTGCGATTGTAACCGTCAACGCAAACTGGGTCGGCATAGATCAACCCGCGGGAACCCCTGCCGACCGGGAAGGCACAGACGACGAAGGTGGAATTGCTCTAGAACGTGAACCCGACAGCACCGCTATCCCATCTTCTGCAGCGCGCACCGAGCCGCCACTGTCCCCGTGGGAAACTGAACTCGACTCGGCGCTTCGGAAGAAGGGCTACGAGCTACATCATCCTGGATGGGTCACAAAAAAGATGAAGCTGAATCTGAAAAATGAAAAGACAAAAAATGGACAGGCAGCAAACCCTTTCCGGTAGAAGTTGCGTGCGGCGCAAAACGAGCGCCTTGCTCGATGTATACCTGCACTCAACAAAGTTGCGGTTCTGTTTGTTTCCCGGTAGTTGTGACTACTACTCTCGACTTGTAGACGCCTTTTCTGCTCGATGGAGATGTAATCAACACACCGTCTGGCATTTTTTGGGAAGGAACACGAACGAGTTTCAGAATCTCAAGAGGACACTCAAATGTGAAGGCCTTGCGGAAGCAGAAAAAATGCTCATATTCCTAGACAAATTTGTATTCCACTATCAGTGTGCAGAAAATCTTCCGACGCGTTAATGTGCCACTTTTCAAAAGAGAGTACCCAGTACCGTTCTTTCCCCCAAGTACCGCCTGCGGGGTGTAGCACCACGTGCAGATTCAAAGCTAAACTAACTCTGCACTCGATGATGCCTGAGGGGTGTGATGTTCTGCGAAGGCATGATCTTGAATGAGAACATTCTACGTACGCGAAAATACATATTCATGTTCCATCTGCACTAAATTAACTCCCGAAAGCCAGCATCCGTGCACGCAGCTTCGAAGTTTCGGCAAACGAACATGCAACGCAGCTTGATACATGGCTCTTTGATCATAAACTTCAGATCTCGAATCAGGTTCACAAATTGAATAAAATGCAAACGTTTGTACAAATTTGATGTAGTTCACCATCTCGTAAGAGATTTCGAAGAAAGATCGTTGACCACGATCCACAACTGATGATCTTCGCTCGTACGCTTTGCGTTTGCTGCACACTACTGTACTTCGGGAAACCGACTGGATTTACGTTTGGCACAGGCGACATGTCAGGGGTAGTTTTGAACAATTGATGCTTCACTATCTGGAAGATGCATCTAAAAAACGTGTGACTTCTTCGGTAAATCATTTTTTTAACTATGGAGCCTACCCAGCTCTTTTTTCGCAACATTTTTCCAATTATTCAAATTTGATAATGGCAACCGGAATTTCAATTTTTATTTCGAATCTTACACTACAACTGCACGGCTGCTATGAGGGACCTGGAGAATGAACATCAAAATGGCACTACAAAGAGCCGAGTCGCACCAATGACGTTTGGGGCGAGTAGACGGATTTCATCTGTCCATACTTTTCCGTTTATCAAGACTGCCAGCGTTACTTCTTCACGCTTAGGCTCGATATTATGAGGGCGCTTTTGCTCCATAGCCTCTGCGCTTGTTTTTGGATCCGGAATGTGACGTTAGCTCCCTCGCCAAACTACCACGGCGAAGGGGCACCACCTCCGGAACTTGTGGACACGAAAAACGAGAACGATGCCTCGCTTTTTCGGGGTCAGGTCGGCCGTCCGCTCCCCCGCGTGAAGCCACCACCTCCGGCGCTAAGTGCCGGGACGCGGGTGGAAGCCATAGTTCCAGGTCCTCGCGCGGCTTCGTTCGCCGGGAGCTCGTCTTCCTTGGATGCTGGGGAAATTGCCAGGGCGGCGGGCAGCTGCACCGCAGCCGCTAGACCAGTTTCCGGAATGGAGGTCATGACTACATCCTGCGCATACAAACAGTGTTCTGGCAACAAATCGAGCAAACGACGACCGACATCACGGCCCGAAAAGGTGCGGCAGCAGAAGAGGAAGCTCGGCATGGGCCAGGGGAGAGGAGCACCTGCGGGAGGCGCAGGGAAGTGGACCGGATCGGGCACACCAGTGAGCGGACGCAGCGCACCGACAACGGGGAAGGGCGCTGGCGGCAGAAGTAAAGAAAGGGTAGAAGAAGGAACTGGGACTATGGTAGCTTGCCGCTTACGACCGAAACCAGAAGATGAAGGTTCTGGAGCTTCTCGTGCAACTTCATCAATTCAGATTCAGCCACGAAACGAAGCGCCGCTGACTGAGACGCGACTTGGTGTTGAAGCAGGTGAAAAATTCGGGGGGCAGGGTAGGAGCGGTGCACGGGGGGTGAAAAGTGTAGCAGGACGCGACGAGGGAACTGCCATAGCAGACACATTTCAGCGGAGCCAGGTATCCTCGCAAGCGTCCGCCTCGTCAAGCGGCAGTACCGCGGGGCAATCTGGATCTGCTTTGGGTGCTTCAGAGTCGGGGAGTCTATCCGACGGAAAAAGATTCGACATCAACCTTGGAACGGCACGGGTCCCGGAGCTACACGAGTGCGCCGCTCCGGAGGCCGAGCGGGAGCCCAGCGGAAGCGCCCTTGCGCGGACCGGGCGCCCGAGTGAGACCTCGTGTTTCCCCGATCACAGTAAACTTGCAATTAAATCCGCAGAGCTACTACGTCCCAAGCTGTCCGAGGAGTACTTCCCTTTGCGTCCGACGTCTGTCTGGGTTGAGCAGGAGATCCCCCATCCCGCGGGCGTGTGCTCGTGCTTCGTCCCGAAGTCTCAGACGCGGAGCGAACCAAGTGAACCACAAGCGACTTCTGTCGGTTGCATTGGCGGTGTAAATGCCGTTCGAGTCATCCCCGTGCGGCCCGGAGATGCCGATATTCTCCAAGCAGTTCATTGGTATCAAGACTTTATCCCAGCCACCGGTGCTGCGAGCCCGGGAGCACCAGAACCGCTGGCCGCAAATAGGTCCGAGAGCGGACCATCTTCACCACAGGCTGGTACTGGCGGACACCGAACAGGTAATCAGTCTGCGCTTCCCGCTCTATCGGCAGAAGACGTCCGGGCGGGCGAGCCCGATGATGGGGGCGAGCAGACGCCGCGATCACACCAAACTGCAGTTGGTGATGGACGAAGCACTTTCAGACAAGCGGGAGCAGCACAGCCGGAGCGCGCGACCGTCTGTGCACCTCGTACTGGTCGGATTTCTATGACTGACGCAGAGCAGTGGCTCTCGCAGAGGGCAGATGAACAAGCGGAGTGCTCTCACGCTGCACCCTGTCTAGTCGTGACACGGGACGAGACCACTGACCATCCTGTGGAGCAGGCTGGCCAGTCAACGACCGACGAGCCGGGACTCAATTGCGCAAGTTCATCGACACGGAGGGATGGAGGAGGCTTCCCACATCGAATTGACTTGGGCGTCACCGCGCCCTCTCTCGACCGAGTAGAAAGAGCAAATACAGTGGCCGCGGCGCAAAGTCATTCAGACTTACCAGCATCCGCTAGTACTTCACCACCTAGTAATGTCAGTGCTCCACCGGCGCCAGCAGCGAAAGTCGCGGCAACTACAATCCGGGAAAGTTCGGGCGCGGCAATTTCATCATCATCCACACATGCTGTTTCTAACCCGGATCTGCAAGCGGCGTTGAATGCTGCTTCTTTAGAACGCAGCGGTTTGGGAAGAAGTGATCCGCAGGGAGCCGCGGGTATGATTCATCTAGGGATTTCACCAGCTGCTCTTGTATCTCCAACTATCGCACCTACTTCTCCAAGCGTGCAACCGAGTAGCCAGGTTTCCTCTGTGGTTCCGCCTTCGCAGACGCAGCCGCTTCCCGCTGTTGCGGTTCCCAACTCTGTTCGCACACCACATTCCAAACCCGGACCGTCGCCTCTGCCGGCAAAAAATCGCTCAGGAGCTGCGCCGGCAACAGGATTGCTTTCAGATTCCCATTCCCCCGACGGTATGGGTGTACTCGTCCCTGCTTCTTCCTTTTTACCACGGAACTACGTACTGGCGAAACTCCGGGAGAACGGCCTGCGACTGCAGTACCTGAAAGCGGAGGAGTGGCAGAGCGACTGCGGCCTGGTAACCGAAGCCGTCAGTGAGAACGGTGCCGCCCTCGCGTTTGCAGAGGACGACGCGTGCCGGAGCATGAAGAGCATCTGCCTCTCCGCCGTGTCGGGCTGCGGGCGGAGTCTGCAGTTCTGCGGCCCGGGGTTGCGCGGCGACGCGATGATCGTCGAGCTGGCCATCCGAAACGGACACAAACTCTGTGTGCGGGGACCCGCGGCGAGACAGGGTTTCACGGCGGAAGGAGGCGAAAACAAAGATAATCAGCAGCAGCACCGGCAAAGCAGTCCTGGTGTTCTCCTTCGGGCTGCGGCACAAGGAGCTCTGCGGCAACGGCAAACGAAGTTTTTGGTCCTCTCTGAGGGAAGCCAAGCACAAAAAGTAGGACCAAGTTCGGACGCAGTTCTATCCACTGCTCCCATCACAGCCACGACAGTACGCCTGTTGCAACAAATGAAGCCACGGCAAGTAGAACACGTGTTGCAACTGCAACAGCAGCCACAGCAAGAACCACAGCTAGAAGATTTGTTGCAGACCGAAAATCCGCCCCTGCCAAGGGAGCTGACAGACGAATCGCTATGGCGCGTGTCGCCGCTGAAGTTTGCTTCAGCGGAGCTGCAAGGTGAGAAAACGGTTTGCATCGATGCGGTCCGGATACAGGGGAATGCACTGGAATTTTGCGCCCCGGGGCTGCAGAATGACAGCGAGGTGGTGCGGCATGCACTAGCTCAGGACCGTGAGGGCGCACTGCCATTTGTGTCCGCGGAGCTACAAGCGAGGTGGCGTTTAGACGAAGAGTTTTTTCACAAGTGGTTCTGGGTGGCTGTCAGCGGCTCGCTCCTTCTTCTTGCCCTTGGTTGCTTCGTATTCTGGCAGCTCGTGGTGGTGCGCCGCAAATATCATGCCATTTTGGTTTCCCGAAGAGCGATGCAGCAGCGTTCGCAAAGAGAAAAACGCAAGAAGCAGAAACGAATAGAAACAACTCTCGTATCTTCACGAGAGTTTCTAACTTCTGTTACGGATGCAAGTTGTCGTCGTCGAGATGCAGCATTCGCCGAGTCGGAAAAAGAAGGTCCGTCTCTCCCGCCTGCAGAACCGCCTCTACTGCAGCGGCGCTACCCAGCGGACATGGTCGTGAACGTGAAGCAGGCGCATGTGGCTACTAACGGAAAAAAGAAAAATTCGGCGCGAGGAAAACATCTTCGCCTGAGCAAAAACTTTCGGAAGGTGCGGGTGGCTGGCAAAAATAATGATTTTTACTTCAAGCCCCCTCAGCGTGGGGATCTTGCGACCCATCACGTTAACGGAGGTGGACCTCCTGTCACTGGCGCTCCGATGGCCTTCGGATTTTTCCACGGTCACCATTTCTACGGCCTTCAGGCTTACAAGAATGCACCTCCTGCAAGAACCGGGGGCGCAGACGTCTATGGCGGAAGGCAACTTTTACCGGAAAATAAAATCTGCGTCCCTCACAAAGTCGATACGAGCTATTACCCTGCGCAAGAGGAGCAGGAGGTGGGCCAGGGCCGTCATGTTGCTGCGCCGGGGCCCGAGCCGGGTGCCTCTACCGCCGGAAGTCCAGCGCCGATCTCATCCAGTGCCGGAGTCAAGCGTGAAGTGGAGTATGACAGTCGCGGCAACGTGAAGCGAATACGAATGGTCGTCGAAGAATCCGACGTCTGCCGCACTGAAGATGTGCGTCGTTTTGGAGATGAAGCTGAAGATTTCGGCGCGACAAGGCTAGCACAGCAAGAGGGCGACCAGGTACGGCCAACGAGGTCCTGCGCGAAGAAACTGATGGCTGCGGAAAGCGGAACCAGTCTCAGAGAAGGAAAGGAAAAGACCTTGAGCTGGCAACACAACAAGGACCATTTTTGTTCTGACGACAAAAGTTACAGTGAAAACAATTACGAATTTTCCCAGGCACAGAGCACATCTCTTGAAACATCTGATATGCGGTTCCAGGAAGAGCTCAATGCAGAAGCCCGAAGATGTCACAGAGCGTTTGATGGTTCCGATGTTTGATTCGCATGCGGGGCCGTCGCATGCGAGAATTACATACTTTTTTGGCCCTTCATTCCATCGCAGAAACACTGGAGCAGGTCGCCAGTCGAAGATCGCAGCCATAGAACAAGTAGCGACATTGAATTGATGCATGTATGATTTTTTCTTATGATTGTTTCTTATTCTCTCTATCTAAGACATCGGCCTATTTTGATAACTTCGACCCCTCCTGTTGTCTTTTCGATACAAACGATTCTCACTCTCAGCGACGCGACGTTCGCAAAAAGAATGATACTCCCGGATACTGTTATAAATATATGCTGCGCAGGTAGCACAGCAGCCAGCTTTTGTTACGCAAGTTGTGTAAGTGTGCATTTGACCAGATAGGCTACATACAACTACCAACCACGAATCAGCTTGCTGTTGCTGACAGCACCTGTTGAGGCTAACCTTTAATGGCGAAAGATGTACGGCATAATGAGCAATATGTCCCTGAAAGATAGCAGAAAATATGAACAACTTCGTAGCCAGCTGCGGCTGCAAATTTCACGGCTCACAAACATTGGTCCGCTGCACGTGTGCGATTTGATCCTGCACAATGCGATAGTCGACGCAGGTCTACTTTAATTTCATTGTGTTCTCTCTGTTACGCCGCGTTGTAAGATCCTGACCGGTACAGTGCCTTTATCGATTTGGAAAGTCGGTGTCCATTTTTGTGGTTCCTACTCGGTTGCAAGTATCAATCATGTCGTCTTTCGTGTCAATGTCAAGGCCCCTCGGACAAGAATTTGGATCTCTAGAATCGGTCTGCTAGCCTTCACAATCCCTCGGAAACCACCTTAGTTTTATAGGAGTACGTTAGGTAGTACTTACTTACATAGTCAGAACGGAATGCCAAGAAAGGGATCCGAAGGCAATAGAACTGAAAGTGAAGATGAAGAGACTCGAATGTCGTGTAGCACGATATAGAAGGACGATCCGAAGGTTCAGAGTCTCGGTGACCAGGTTTATGCCAGTTTCTGCAGAAGCGCTCGGAATACTCATCCAGAAATTGTCTGCGAAGTCTGGGACCAGGCTAAGAGTCATCGTACTTCTCCTGCTTAGCCGAGTACACCATCCTCTCAGTTTTTTAGCGATCAAAACATTTTTCAATCGAAAGCATGTAGACATCAAAATGGATCCTGCCGGCGTCACGGTAAAGCAGCTGCAAGGTAAGTGGACGGACCAATCTAGCGGTGCGGAAATCGTAGTGGATGGCAATGCCTTAATTGATAGCACGGGAAAGCGTTTCCCAAAGGCTTTGGCGAAACCGGCAGGCTCCTGGGGAATTGGTTGCCGCACAGACACGCTCGACAAGATCGAAGCAACCGCAGAGCGCGTCACACTTTTTTGGAAATCAAATGATGCCGACACCGGCAGTGTGCAGCAAACCAAAAAATGGATACGTTTCCATTCCAGCCTTCCCAAGGCGTCAAACTCAAAGCGCTCGCGCTCAGAAGCTCTGCCCAATGCAAGCGTCGAAGCGCCTGATAACGTTCCGACGGGCGGGAAGACGAAAAAGTCCAAAATCGTGCAGAAGGCTACGCCCTCTCTTGCGGAACCGAAGTTGAGCTTCACGTTTACGATCGACATTATGAAAAACCACTTGTATAGATGCAAGGAAATCAACCAGTACAAGGCGTACGGTGTCGGCGAGTGCCGATGCGCGCAATACACCGGGGAGTACATATTGCGTCCAGAGCCGGAGAATCACTACGATGACAACGCAATCAAGCTGATTCGCGACGACACGCAGAAGCACACAGGGTATGTGCCAAAGCCTCTAAATGCCAGGGTCCTGTCCTGGATGACGCATGCAGGCTGCGAAGTCTCCGCAGCGGGCTATCGGGGTGCCAAAGCGTCTCGAACCAAATGGGATAAGTTACCCGTGGTGATTACCGTAACCGGGCCGCAGGGTTTCTTGGAGACTGAAAGGAATTCGATGGAGGCTCTTAATGTGATCGAAGACGGTAAAAAACTTGATCGCTACATGCAGCACGCTTAGCTGATAGCTTTTGTCCGATTCCTGCTCAACACTTTGGACATGGTACAGACAGAGCTAAACTTCGATCCTGAAACGGTAGCTCCAAACTACTCTTCCCGTCGCGGTTGATGTTCTAAATAAGAGACGTTTGCTGGCGGCGTTCCCGTGGACCAAGCTGAAGTGTTTATTCGGCACTTTTTTCTTTTTCCAAGCGGTCATAATTCTTTTTACCTGTGTCTTGTCGGTCTGAAACATTGATCATAATAAGTGTCTGTATCCGTGTCGTTGAGCCTTGTTATATGACTTACTTTACGATCATGCAAACCTTTGGCAAGATGCCGCTGCGAATGTGTCGCTCGTGGGTGATTGTCAGTTTCGTCTTGGCTCGTTTGGTATGCGTCGCTGCGGAACAACTAACGTTTCACGAGCCGGCTCCCGAGGCCCTGACACTGAAGATCTTTCGCATGCTTGGAGTGGTGGCTACGCCGGAGAATCCTGGTTACTTTCAAATATCAGCGCACGTCAGTGGCGGGAGCACCTTAGCGGCGTCACTCGGCGGCCTACAGGTTTGGATTATGAACAGTCTTTTGTTTCGTGGCACGAGTTGCGCCCGCGGAATGGCGGTCAGACAACAAAGAAAATAGATGCGTTTTATTCTTGTGTATGGAGTGTGATCTGTGACTATGTACCTTTTTCTTGTCCAAAACAGGTAATAGCAGCAGAGAAGGATTGGTTTGACCACACGAGCTCGCGGGACTCTTTTTGTTGTACGCAGCAGCACATTTCCGAGGGGAAATGTTCGCAGGAGAAGGTTTTTGTTGGCGCTTCGGAGGACGGTAACGGACCGGCGTACTCCGTTCCCGTGACGACAGACGCGCACAAAATCACGAAACTGCCATTCCACCAGAGCGGCGTGTTTTACATAGGCCTGGTGCATTGCGGAGACACGGACCTTGGCCACCTGGAAATTATCGGTATCGTTTTTTACTAATGCGGAGAAACCTAAATGAGCAAGCAACACCAAGAAATGCAAAGTTATTCCGAGGCATGATTGATATTTTGCGTTGATAACGATCCACATCAAGCCCTCGGTTGTGAACAAAAAAAAACGCAGGCAACGTACAAAGCAAGTCGTCGCACGGCTATCTGTCCGGACTGGACGTCCAGGCGATGCACTTCACGGGCGGACTCAGCATCTTCTACTGCGTGGCGCTGGCCTTCTGGATGCACCTCTGCTGCAAGTTTAAGTCGCAGCTTGTATCCGTGCACTACTGGTATGATCATGCGATTCATGCTAACTAGGATTTTTGGCAAGAGTCAAATAGCTTGGATTTTTTTTTTCGAGCTGCATGTCGAAGTCGATATTTCTCACCAGAGCATGCTTCGAATGAACTGCAAATACAAAAAAACGTGGCTACAACGTTCCTACGAACTCACTTTCAGCTTGAGCCTGGTTCTCTGTTGCTGCTTCGTGGCTTCTATGGGGAAGTGGATGATGTATTCGTTGGGGAATCACAGTGAGCTTTCGCCGCGCAGCGCGGAGGTCTTGTCGGAAATGCTCGGCATAATCAAGTTTGGCGTCGGTTTGGTGGCCGCGGTGATGATCTCGCTCGGGTTTGGCACCGCCCACGAGAGCGTGACCGGAAAGGAGTTCACCTGGCTCATGGTTTACTGCGTCGCGTTTTGCACGTGCGCAGTCGTGCGGATTCTTCTTGGCGCCCAGGTGGCCAGCATGATCTCGACCGACCTGGAAGGTCCCTTGGAGGGAACCGGCTCCCCCTCCGCGCTTGCCGCGCTGGTGTCTCCACACGCACTGTTGGTGCTGCCGGAAGCGCTCATTTTTGGCGCCATCGCCAACTGGGGCTACACCGCGCTCGTCTCCCTCCAGGATACGCTCGAGCAGCAGAAACAACACGAAACATTAAGGGTACTAGAAATAATTCGTGCTCAAAAGAAGGTTCCTGCCGTTTCTTTGTAAGTAGCTGTTCTATTTTTCACATGGTTGCAGCTGCAAAATTTTTTGCTTCTTCCTCACGAAGACCGTATTGTGCGTGACGAGTAGCGCCGCTCGTGGACGATCATGCAGCTACACCACCAACATGGCAGGTCATGTCGGGGTTCTACCGCACGATGCGCGGCGCGCTGATTTCACTGGTCGGCATTCTGTGCGTCCAGATCGGAGTGCAGAACACATTGGACGGGGCCGCGGTGTGGCCCTTCCTCTGGATCCTGGATGAGGGCGCACCAAACGTGATTTACGCGGTATGCGTCAGCTGTACGCTGCTCTCCTTCTGGCCCTCCGAGAATTTCAAAGCAAAGGCCATGTCGCAGCAAATCCAGTTCGACGACAACGAACTCGATGACATAATTGGCGCGTCCCACCCAGACGGCATCGAGATGGCAGATATGGAGGCCGGCAGTCCCGGCGGGGAAAGCGAGGGGAACAATAGCAACAGCAGTCCAAAATTGCAAAATTCCGGAAAATTCCTGGAATGAAACAGATAGATGATATTTTCGGCTGAAAAACGGCGAGTTTCTCAGCCACATTATATATAGCTCGCAGTATTGTACCTGAACTGGTGCATGCCGAGGTGAAAAAAAAGGCATGCTAGACCACGAAAACTGTAACAAAATCAGAGTTTCGACCTTGTCAGGCTGGAGTGTGCCCCATGTGGACAAAAATCATCGGTACACATTCAAAAATTTTCGGTAACATTTTTTACTTCCTACGGTTTTTTGTACTTGCCTCTCTCGTGCGGACGAATGCAAATCTCACTCGGTATCTAAGACCTTCTCGTACATTTTTTTCCTCGTGCAGCAAAGAAAGTTGAAAATAACTGTGTCGTACGTATAAGCTCGGTTTTGCAATCATTGTATGTATACCATTATAATTCCACTTGACTGAAACCAGGACTCTCGCTCGCAACATTTTAAGAACCCCTTATCCGGTAGATTTGTAGCGTATCTGACAGTAGTTTCTGATTAACTCCATCGCTCCTTAGCGTGGAGATTGATTACGTTCAGACCAGACCAAGTGGTCGATTACATCCGTCGTTTTCTATGCATTGTCGCAGTAAGTAGCTACAGTATACTAGACTTTTTGCGATTGTGAACGCTTGGTCTGCATGAATCTAGGGCAGTGCTAAAAGCGTGGGCAAACGCCTGCCGCCGCCCTCCCGCTCGGCTGCATTGGAGGTTACAAGTCAATGTGATCCCTCGCGTGGCCGTGGAAGAGGCTTTCCCGGATAGGCCGCTGCTGTCTTCGTGCCAATGCAGCGACACGAATCCGTGGGATCCATGGCCGCGTCGCTGCAGATGCAACATGAGGAAACGAGCCGGACGTCTTGGATTCTCGAGGGGAGCAAACAGGAAGGCCAGGCAACCCTTTCTCGGCCCCACTCAGCGGATGCGTTGGCAGCACTCCTTTTGCAGCAACAGCCCGAGGCCGGGACAGGAGCTTCCGCAGTGTCAGAGAACGCCTTTTTAGACCATTATCATCTAGCAGCGGAGCAGCAACTGCCGCGACAGGCGAAAAAAGCACCACACTCATCGTCCATGACGCTGCTCGGGCTTCTGTCGCCGACCGTCTACAACGGGGAGCGCGAGCTGCAGCCACTGTCGCAGGATCTGTCGCCGAGCAGAATGAAGAAACAGAAGATGAAAGGGCGATTTCCGCGCTCCAAGCGAGCTCTGGCGAGCAGTCCGACAGGAAGAAGGTCACCCGCCAGTTCGCAGGGAAGCAGGTACTACAGCTTTCGCACATCATGGTGTCTGCCCTTGTAAAGCTGTTCCGTCAATAAACACAATATCTCCTAGCTGCAACACGACAGCACGGAATGATTTCATACGTCGGTCCTCTGGAAGATGCCTAGTTGTTGTCGAATCTGAAAAAATAAAAAAATACTCACACAGACTCTCGCCAACTGCTCGCTCGTCACCCGGCCCTTTCGACCGTGATGTGAAAACCGCCTCGCCCGTCGCCCAGCGCTCCCCCAGCCTATCCTGAGTAAAAACGTACCCACCCCAGAGTTGTCATGCAGATTTGCAAACACAGGAAGACTTGTAATGCGCATCCCCATGAGAGCCATTTCCAATCGTGTTTTGGAATTTGTGATGCTGTGAACTAGTGGTTTTAGTAGGCCTAGAAAAGGCAAAGGGACGGACTGCCCTTAGATCTCCGATGTGATGCTGTGAACAGGATGAGCAGATGAATCTGTGACGCGGCTGCACTTGCTAACCAGGACTACACTGCGGAGTGCCATTTGTCATGCGTGACTCCCAAAACTCCTAGGTTTGTGGTGCAAAATCCCCATCCTGACTATGGGGCGGGGGCGTTTTTACACAGGATACAGCCCCGTCTACAACTACTCGTCGCAGAACCCCCAGCGAATTCTCCACCCAGCGCTGCCACAACGACCCAACACCCACGCCAGCTCTTCGGAGAGACAGCTCTTCTCGCCCTCAAGTGCCAGCACCGTCTCGCAGCAACCACAGCCGGACGGGGCAGGTGTTTTTGTCGTCAATCCCCCGCCGGAACACATCATGAACAGTAGCAACGTAAGGTTTTTCAGTAACACCGGACCACCACCCGGTGGCGGGATAAGTCCGACCGGCGGAAATGGTGGCGGTGGCCTCGCCACCTCATATAGTTTACTGCCAGAGCAGAAGGCTTCCTCTCCGACCTCCGCCTCCGGAACACATCAGCAACCGGTACAGCTGCTGAGCAGCAATGCGCTAGAGAACCAGCAAACTCAGGTGTTTATAGACGAGAGGTGGGTGGTGCCCCCCGCTAGCGCCTCGGTCGAGGAGACCGCGAGCTCGGAGCATACCGCACATAGCTTGATGGTACCACCGTCCACAAAGATGAGTTCTGGATCCACCTCTTCCGGAATGAACAAACAAGGTGTAGTACAACTGGCAGGCGCCTCCACTAAGGGTGATATCCTCCGCGTGATCGGACACCGGTGCACGATTTTCGACCGGCCCAAGCGGTCCGAGATCAGGAAGTACGCGGTGTGGAAAATGTACAGTTCGCAGGCCTCGTTTCTCCAGGGCAGCGGCGCGCACAGCAGCTCGCAGGCGCTGCTGTGGGCCCTGCACCGCGGCGGGCAAGACGAGTTTGCGCACTTTTTGGAGGACGAAAACATCGAGGGCCTGGACGCGCTGGACGAGCGGCTGCTGGAGTTGATGTATCGCGACATCACGCCGGAGGACTACGACACGCTGCTAGAGCTCGACGAGGCCAACGCCAAGAAGACGGCGGAGCGGAGCGCGCTGGACCGCCTACCCTGCGTGACGGACTTCTCAGGGTACAGTGAGGAGCAGTTGACCTGCGGCGTCTGCTACATGCGAGTGGACGAGGACCAGGAGGAGGTGGAGCGGATTTTCCAGATGCCCTGCCGCGGACGACACATATTCCACGAGGCCTGCGTCACGAAGTGGCTACTGGAAGTCAAGGCGGCCTGCCCAACCTGCCACGAGCCGATCTGCGAGGAGGCACCTCCGTAGCTACTTACGCATGTGGAGTCGCATGAAGCGGAATATATGAATTTGTCGCATTTATTCCTGCTGTCTTGCAGAAACAATTACATAGTCGCCGACTCATATCATATAGTCAATGTTTCTGGCAGCTCTTCGTTGCGTTTCCATGCATCCTTTTTGTCGACCGTTTAGCACCAAGTCAATTATCTCTTTCTCACGATCTGTTTCTCCTCCGTGTCAAGATCATTTGATCCGATTGTAGAATAATGGTTTTGGTTTGGCAGGATAATTTGCTGTGTACACCTACGACATTTTGGACTTTCATTTTGTACAATTCGGGACGATGAACATATTCGTTGTAAGCGTATCAAGTCGAGGACGTCGTGTGCAACGCACACGAAATTGGCTTGCGCAAGCCTTTCTGCTCTTCCAAATTAATTCCTATGTTCAGCTGGCTTCGTATTCGTTCCAATCGTTAGTCGCTTGTTTCGAGATCGCACTGCATTACCGCTGCTCGGTTTGATCGTTTGAGAATATCAGGCATAAAACATTTCGGAAACAAATCTAAGTCGCCTGGAGACTTTCGCGTCGCGTACATCGTCAGTTCGTTTGATCTATTGAAGGAGTGCGCTCACAACATTCCTCTGCCTGTCGCCCAAGGGTAATTCGGAATTCAGTTTCCGCGCGTCAGCTCGGGGGAAGTAGAACCGGTGCTATCAAAAAGATCCAGTCAGGATAGATTAAAACACATTCATACAAATAAAGATGGGCCGCCTGCTGGAGCACTGGCTAGACGTCGACGCAGGTGACCTAGCCGCGTCTGCCTTGTCCTTCTGGACGAGTAAGAAGGCAAGCAACTTTGCCAGAGACACCAGCACGGACCACCTGCCACTTCGCTGCGGTGGAACATCTGTTCGCAACGGCACGGGGTGCAACAGAACACATTTCCCCGGCAGAAGGACCACGAGTTTTGCTTACAACCACGGTTTCATCAATGGTGACACGTGGACGCCGGCCAAGAGGCCGCCGATGGATGAGATGCTGGCCCTTTCCAAGAAGAAAGTCGCCACACTCCAGGACGACAGTATCACCGCGCGCCCGACCCCGGAGGAAAAGGCGCTCGAGGAAGAAGCAGCTCACGACCGCGCGCTGCTGGGCACCGCCTCGCTCCAGGACAAGTACGGACCCATTCTGAAAGCGGCAAAGCTGCAGGCGATCGCGGAGGCGGACGGAGATGCTACCACCGCGCAAATTCCGAACATGAAGGCGAGGGTGGTGTGCAGCCACTTCCACCACGGTCACGACAGCGGCGACACCGGGGAATCGAAGATCCTGGAGGTCCGGCTGGACGACGAGGAGGAGGATGCGGAGAACCCCGCAAAAATGCCCTGGATCCCCTGCACCAGGTGGTACGGGGCAGACAACATCATGAAACCCTCTTGCATGATCGAGATGGACGTGCGGAAGAACTCCGCGGCGCGGCCGACGGGGGAGGAGATGGCGAAGGACGACTTAGCAGTTATCGTGGACCACAAGACGCGGTTCGTGCTGGAGAACTTTGAAAAGGTGGACGGGATCGAAAACGCGCTGAAAAACTGCCCGGAGCCGGCGGACGAGTCGCTGTTCTTCAACGCCTGCCCGCCGCCGGACCTCCAGCTCGCCTGCAACTGCAGTAAGAGCGGGCACGAGCAGGTGTGGGCGAAGTGCGCGAACCCGATGACGAAGTGGGTGAAGTGCGACGTGGGGGGAGTGACGCGCATGGAGCTCGGGCCCGACGAGGACACGCAGCCCGGGTCGGTCACGTGCACCGTGCACGGGCGGGTGGTTACCATGCCCTACCTGAAGGGCCCCATGTCGACCCTCGCCCCCTTCTACGACTACTGCAAGGACGAGTGCGGCCCCGTCGGCCGGGAGAAGCACGCGGTGATCGACGGACCGGACATCGATTGGGAAGTACGCAAGGCGGTCGCGAGTTGCCCGGCGAAGAAACTGTCCCTGAAGTGCAAGTGCTCGGGGAAGAAGTTCGCGTCAGAAGCGAACAACGTCGGGATGCAGCAAATGTACGAAGCCACCTGCGGCGAACTGCCCTCGGCGCTGGAGTGCACGGATCACAAAATGGTGAACAATTTGCACACCTGCAAGGTGTTCGTCAACCGCGTGAATCTGCGGGGCCCCTTGAACAACCTGCCGAACTACCGCCCGGTCGTCACCGCGGAGGCGGACACGGAGGAATGTGACAGCGTTTGCCCGTCGCCGGACCAACTCGGGGTGAAAACCCAGAAGGAAGCGGAGCAGGTGCGGAAGGGCCTCGACCCGGACACGGGGGACGTGGTGAACGCCGAGAAAAAAGAAGCGGAGATGAAGGAAGACGCCCAGAAGGAACAGGAACTGGACAAGGACCTGGACGAAAAGGGGGTCGCAGAAATGAACCAGGCGCGGGAAAAGTTGAGCGGGCCGACAAAGGATTTGAGCGGAAAGGGGGACGAAGACCTGGCGGACGACGACGACGCGTTGCCGCCCGACGTGGCGGAGGCATGAGATCGTAGCAACCGCTTGATGCGCGGGGAGTGGTCAAAACAAAAATCTGGATGATGGAAAGATGAAATTCTGCAAAAGAACAAGAACAGCAACAAGCCTCCGGGTTTTTTTCAAAATGCTTTATATTCATATACCTTGAGAGTTGATGCTACGCGCCATATCAGAAGAAAAGTTTCAAAAAATAAAAATCCCTTTCAGACTTCGCGCTGGAGTCAGTTCGTTTCGGTTTCTTTTTTTTTGGGTTTCTGGAGCACCTGTTGACGCATGTCGAAATCTGCAAATCAAGTTATGTCATGATATACCTTGATGCTTCGGCATTTCTTGTTTCTTTATTTTATTCCTTCGGATTTTTTTCGCCATTCCGTGTTGAAAATTAGCAGTCGTGCTTTGCAAATTTTGAACATAAAGGAGTTGATTTTCAAAAACAGGCACAAAAAGGAAAGATTGAGTCGATCACGACAAAAGTTTTAGTTGCCCAATGGCCAACCCTAATTCTACGTAGGCAGAAATATGAACATGTGAGCCAAGTAGTTTTTTTTCATTGTAAGTAGCGACGTAACGTGTTGTTTCCTGTAAATACAACGCTCAGCATCTCCTCGACAATGACACGACTTTTCGTTTTTGTGGCTTGCTCTTTTTCTGTTTCTGGCAAGATAGCGATTCCTAGTCCTGTGGCACCAATTCATGACCGTTTTCCCGACAAAAGCGTATCCAGTTCTCACGCGACGGGCCATGTGGCACAAACGGCGCAAGCCCACAACGAAACCGGCACCAGTTTCGCAACCAGCAGCAAGGATGCACCGGTTTCGCTCTTTCGACTGCCGAAAAGTGCTGGCAACGAACCGCTGCAGCAGACGGGTACTAGCGGCCACGAGGACCGGTCAGGCTTGCAACTGGACCCGGCCGCACTTGCGGAACTGCAAACACTGCCCTGGCCCTTCTACGCCGCGGCTGCGATCGGGCCGGCGCGCGTCGGCAAGAGTTTTTGGCTGGGGCAGATCGCGAGGTTGTTGAACCGGAACGTCACGAAGCTTTTCGAGGTTTCGGATACTAGCGAGAGCTGCACCAGCGGAGCTTGGTTCCTCTCCGTAGATTTGGCGAAGGCCGACAAACACATTCTGCGCAAAAATGCGGCGCTCGAGAACTTCTACGCGAAGTCGCAAAAATCCCACAGAAATCAAGGAGCAGGACCACCGCAGCGCGGCACGCTGCTCCTCTTCGACCTGCAAGGTAGCGACAAGGGCAGTGCCGCCGACCTGCAGGCCACCGACTACCTGTCCGCATTTGTCGCGTTGTTCGCCAGTCGCTCGCTTTTCTTTTTTGAAAAGCACGTGGAATTTTCGAAGGCGGCCTTCTACGAGCGGATCGCGTACGCCGGGAAAGTCTTGAAGAACAACCCGAATTTTGTACCAGCGGTTTCTTTCGTGGTTCGGAGACCGATGAAGCTACCAAAGAAGTACGCGACGCGGGAACAGGAGCTGGCAGATGTTTTAAACATCCAAACAGACAGGGTAATAAACGACGCGGAGCACGACCACAAGCACAACTACGAGGATTATTTTCGCGTTTTCGAGCTGCCGGAGCTGGACGTAGAGGACAGTAGTGTTTCCGAGACCTGGGCGGAGAAACTGCTGCAAGACGCCGTTCTCGGGCTCGATGGCAAAGACACAAATTACGGCTCGACGCTGCCATCCCTGCAGACCAGCGACGGGACGGTACTAGATGCCGCGGGCCTGATCGCATTGATGGAGGAGATCGCGTCCTGGCTGCGGACCAGCAATGCCGACCAGTTTTTCCAGGTGCAAGATTCCGTCCGCGAAAAGGTTTGTCGGAGCCGCATGCAGGATCTCGTGCGACGGGTCTTCTTGGCGAAGAAGGCAAAGAGTACTGCCAGCGAGAAGGATGAACAATCTGCGATCAATGTGGAAGAACTGTACGAGGACGTCGCAGCGCAGTTCGACGCTGAAACGGTGGCGTGGTTTTTTCGAGAAACTACCACTGGACAGTACGAGATCAACCTGAAGACCGATTCACTAAACCGAGTGGAAGAACTCCATAGCAGTCCCATTTCTTTGTTTCTGGTCCAAAACGGGGGACTGCGCAGAACATTTTTCGACTGGTGTACGGACAAAGCAGTGCGCACGAAGGCACTTACCTTTCTTCGAGACCACTTGGCGAAAGTGCACGAGCAGAGGCGGGGATTTTTCAACCGCTTCAAATCGTTCCTCGCACTCTTCGTGTGGACGGGGCCGATCAGAGCAGTGGAAGGGTGTGTGGAGTCCTTTTCCCGCATTCTCGAGTTGCTGTTTCACCGAAGAACACTGCTGGTTCTGGCTGCGATCTTCGTTGTTGCCGTTGGTGCTGTGTTCCTTCCAAGGGTGGGCGCCGGGACGACCACCAGCGCTGTTTCGTTCAAGCAAACGCTGCTCGCTACCGCATTCCGGATTCTGACGACACTGCTCACCGTCACCTCTCGGCTTCTGTTCGCCATCTTCCCTTGTTTTTTCCTGGGAAACAAGCACTTCAGGAAGTATTGGGATCCGGTCGTGGATGCGAGCAAAGAGCTGCTACAAAGAGTCTTCGAATACGCTTGCGAATGGGCAATGAACGAACGTGGAGCTGTGTCATCCTCTCACCCATCGCTATCCTCCATCGACGCCAGCGTATTGGCAGCGAGCGGGAGTAACCTTCCGACCTTCGCAGCGTCAACAGACCACCCGGAAGGGGAGAAAACAGCTTCTGCCGGATCTACTACTGTTTACGGATCGTTCTCCTCTACTAGCAGCACGTACTGTTCCTACGCCGGTTTTTTTGTCGTGGAGTTTTTCGGGCGCAACATCGACTACCTCTTGTACGGACTTTTCCTCGCGATTTTGTGGTACGCGGTGCCGCTGCTCACGCAGGCGTTTCTTCGGGGGATTCTCAACTTTCTCGTTTATCACGTTTTCGGCCAGAGCAGTTTCGACAGTGAGATGATGTTGAGCGACGAGGAAGTAGAAGAAGAGTTTCTTGCACAAGACGACTCGAGCCCCACCAGCAGCTATTCACCGAAGTCTCCGGAGCAGAAAACTACCTCGCTTTACCGTGCCTCGCGCGCGCCCTCCTTGTTTCACTATTTGAAGCACAACTTTCTCTCCTCTGCTGCGCTCAAACGGATCATTTACGAGAAGTGGCTGCAGTACGAAAAGCGGCCCCAGTTGGTGAATCGGAGAGCCGTGTGGGATTTGAATGCGGAGCAGCATCGGAGCTTCACCGAACAGCAAATCGAGTTACTGACGCAGTCTCCGGAGTACAAGTGGCGGTGCGGCGTGTTGAAGCAGTCACAGGAGGTGCCAAAAAACTGGGAGTGGAAGGCGCACTACCTGAAGTTCGCGGACAAGAGCGCACCGATCAAGCGGGTGTCGCGGTCGAAGCAGCCGGAGGACGCGGTGGCCGGGGAAGTCCTGCAAATGTACAATTTAGTCAACGCCGCAACGACGAAAAGCAAATCAACGCCGAAAAAAAGAAGCAGATCGCCAAGGTTATTGTAGACAGATGTTATCACAGTTGCATGTATCCATAGTTTTTTTGACACTTGAAATCCAATGAAAATGACAACACATTTAGTTTTGAAAAGTTTCGCCAGCAGTTTTTTTATTCCATAATGTTTTCGCATAGCTTTATCACGAACATCAAGTGCATGGGACGAGATTGAAAATGAGTGCGGGTACTTAACCAAGTATTTCTTTGAATGTGTACAATAGCAGTTCGATGAATAGATAATGACGAACGCTTGCGATCCTTGTTACTTTTTTTGATTCGAATTCCCTCGAGAAGGAGAATTATACAAAAACTGAATCGATTGAGCGCCAGTGCCGTTGTAATCGAAACTGGAAACACCGTCGTTGTGATGACGAAGCAAGTTGGATGGCGAGGTGACGATTTGATTTCGATCGGGAGTGCGTCCTCGAGAGCAGTTTCGTTTACGTTAAAGAGAGAGCGGGAGTGAAATCATATGAGCACGCTCCTGCATTGTTTAAGTAGTGTACCAGCTCCGGAAAAGTGCAACCTAGATTCGCTGCTTCGCCCTGTCAACAGTGAGCTAAGGGACAGTTCACTATGGTATGTCTCGAGCAACACATTCACGCACTGCAAATGGATGTCATCACGGATTCCCGTTCTCGTCCACCCGCTCTCTGTACGAGGCGCTCGTTGGCAGCGAGAACGAAACTACAGGCACGGAGGAGACCCCGGACGCTGCCACGTTCCGGACGCAAGCGGAGTCTGGACGGGGGCTGCAAGAGGGTCCCGAACGGTTTTCGACAAATAAAACCCGCACCGCGTTCAGCCCCCAGAACGACCGAGCGGACCGGCCGTTTCTTTTCTTCCGGGACGGTGCACCGGACGACGACGAAAAACGCGCGGAAGAGGACGCGACTACTCAAGAGAAACTTGGGAATATCAGCACAAGACTACTCGACCCCCGGCGCAGTTCGCCACAGAACAACTCGTTTGCCTCCCGGATTGGCATCTTGAGTTCCATGTTCGAGGCGATGGGCGCCGACGAGGTGGATGAGGAGGAGGATAAAAGCCTGCGATTGAAGGTGACGGCCTTTTCTCCCCCGGAAAGCAACGCCTTGTCCCCCGGCCACGTCCTCGATTGGCGCGACGATTTGGATTTCGACACGACGCCTCTAATCCAAAAAATGACAGAGGAAGACCCGAAGTACCGGGATCCGGACCAGCGCTTCCGCCGGGCTTTCTACACAGCCGGCGTAGCAGAGGACAGAGAGCGTGGGTCGTATGCGGTGATGCACCATTATAGTACCGGTACTAGCGCACAACAGTCCGCTCGATCCCGGTCTGGCTCCCCAGCGTTTGTGCATTCGCCCGCACCAATTTCGCCGAACACCGTGTTCCGGAGGTGCTACAACCGTATCAGCTCGGAGGCCAGTTCCGCCCGAGTGCAGCTCGAAGTGCACCGACGGTACTTGGACGGCTTGCTGTACAAGTTGGAACAGAATGACCACCACCTGCGGGCGCGTCTCGCGACCTCGCCACTGTTTTCGCCGCTCTTCGGACCCGGGGGTGGGCCGGCTGTGTTAACCGCGCCGGAATCCGGGCACAATGCACTTGGCGCGGCCGAGAAATTTGCAGAGGAATTTGCCGTGCCGGGGATGGCGACCGGGTTCTACGCGAGTGCACTCGGAGGTGCGGCGCACCATGGTCCTGACTCGCAGCATGGCCAGCCGCATCATACCGAGCTGGACGCTGCTGCGGGTGAAGGCGCTTTTCCTGGGCATTCTGCGCAATCAGAAGATGCTTACCGTCATCATACAGGAGGTCATCCCGGTTTGGATTTTCTGAACATGGCTTTACACGAGGGGGGTTTTCCTAGTTTTCTCGGCACGAAACTCGATCCGGCGCCCGAGCACCGGAGCGAGTTGCTCTTCCCGCAGGATCTTGGACACCATCATCATCATCACCACCGGCACCACCACAGAAAATCGGCAAAAGCTCCGCATGGGGAGCACGCAGAGCTTGAAGCGACTAAGGCTCCTGAAGAGGAGAAAACCAAAGGTCCGTCTAAACAAGAAGACATGATGAAAGGGGACGCCGAAATAAACGAAGGTAAAGCTGCTCTTGCTCCTCTCGGGAACAACAAGAAACCAAGGCCAGAAGGCGAGGGGACCACCGATGCGGTGGAACAAGAAGTAGCAGAAGGAAACGAAACAGAAGATGCGGAGGAGGAGGAGTCTTCCGAATCTCGGCTTAGTTCCTCCTCGTCTGAGGAGCAAATCTATCTGCAAGACGCGCCCAAGATCCACCGCAACGTGCTCCGTCTGAAAGAAAGTGCCTCGTCGCAACAGGACATTGAGAGGAAGAGCGAAGAAGTGTGGATGCGCACGGGAAAACGGAAGAGTCTGGCGGAGTTTCGGACCGTGGCGGAAGTCGAAGTCGAGGAGCGCTCGGACACTGACGACGAGGATAACGGCTCTAGCGGTTCGGAGAAGGTCGTCGCCGACGAATCTGAGGTACCGTACTGGCGGCGGAAGAAGAAAAAGAAGGGTGAAAAGAAGAAATTTGGGGATTCCACAAGCGAGATATCTAAGCTGGAAGAAGAGGTCGAGAATGTCTCGGCCGAGGCGTTGTTCGAAAGCGCGGCACTTCCCTCCACTTTGCGACACCTGCCAAAGCCAGAGGATGCGGAAGATGAGGCTTCGCTCGTGCCGGATGCCAAGGGAAAGAAGATCACGCTGGCGCAGTTAATTGAGAAAAAACACTCCAAGGATAGTACTAGCGCGTTGGGTCGTGGACGCGACCGCAAAAAGCGTTCTCCCGAGGACGGAGATGCGGTAGATCCAGATGGTGTCGACGAGGCGGAGGATGATCTTGCAGCGGAGCTGGACCGATTTGCACCGCAGAATGTGGAGCGTATCGTTTTTCCCGCCACGGTGCAAGAGTTACTGCTTGCGCGCTCCCGGCAAGAGGTAGTCGAGTTTTCTTCAAGTTCGGAAAACGAGTTTGGTGGTCGGTTTCCTCCAGGATTGTATCCCCAAATAAAGCCCGACTGGCTCATGGACGAGCAGGAGCTAATGCGCCTCTCCGGCCGGGTTCCCGTTCTCAAGTACAAAGACATTCGAAATCTAGCCGGAAAATAAATGCACTCGAGCTGAAATTTGATTGTAACGCGAATCAATGGGTGGCGTCCTGTCGTTGGGAACCGCTAGGATCGATCGACGGAAAAGTCACTTCCTAGAAGAAATGCCGAACAAAGCACAGACAAACACTTTATTTCGACGAAGACTGATGAAAAGCCCGACACTGCTCGGCTTCTTGAAGCAGATGTTGATAAACAGTGTGTTCGACCAAACTTACTTGCGCAGCTATATAGTTTGATGTACGTTTTCAAGAACTTCCATGTGGGAAACAAATTCAAACGATCTCATCTCCCATTTTATTATCCCATGCGTACAAAATGTGTATCACCTCGCTGAATCAGTATCATGTTCATGACAACTATCTGAACATCGCCTCTGTAGCGGACTAGATTTGAGACTACAACCCCAGGCTTCAAGATGTCCATCGTCCGTCCTAACGTGCACACGTGCACGCCCTCCGGTCCGTGGCTGCATTTCGACGGGCAATGTGAGGCGGAAATGGACCTGATTACGAGGATTCAAAGCATCCCGATCCCTTTGGACCATATCAGCGAAGTTCTGCACCCGAAGTACGCAATCATTCTTGGTGTGGGATTGGCCTGCTACGTCGGTGGTATGGAACTTTTTAGTGTTTTTTTTTGAAGATTTCCTCCCAATGGATGTAGCACGAAACTCGTTGTACTGGCGCAACAGTGATGTCTTCTTTCTCTTTTTCCACCACGCCAGGTCGGGAAAACCAGCTGCATTACTACGTGATTGCCTCTTGGTTGTTGTGCGACACGAGCCATTTTTTCCTGAAGTGGATGTTTGCCGGAGACCGGCCGTATTGGGTGGCAGGCAACAAGTTCCAGCAGTTCGCACACACGTGCGAGGCCGGCCACGGCTTTCCCTCAGGGCACAGCTGCGTCTTGGCCAGTATCTTGGGGGCGTTCTATTGGCGATGCGTGCGGCCGCTCGCGCCGAAGACTCACCGCGCGTATGGAGCGATTCTGGTTGCGGGCGAGCTGCTGATGATGCTCAGTAAGGACGAAAATTTGAAAAATTTTCTTCACATTTTGATGTGCAATAGCATTTGTGCTCGGTCTAATCATAATGCGTTTGTCGAAGAAAATGAAAACATACTTCCTTGCCTTTCCCCAGGTCGTAGCTTCACCGCGTCCCACTTTGTGTCGCAGACGATCGTCGGATCGCTGTATGGGCTGCTGTTTGTGCCGCTGAGCAAGCCTTTCGGCGACCACATGATTTTTGCGGCCAAGAACAGGCACAAGTTCACCTTGAAGGACAACATTATGCACATCCTGTGGGCGTTCAGTATTCCGGCGCTGTTTGCGCTGCTGCAGTACGTGGTTCGGGAGCTTTTGTACGCACAGCTTTTCCAGCGCGACGTCTACCGTTCGGTTCAGCTCGGCCGCGAGGGGTGCTATGACCCCGCGAAGCTCAAGGTCGGCACGGTGTACCAGGGCCCATTGTACGAGATTATTGGCGTCGCGCTTTTTCTCGCCCTCTCGCTCGGGAACACAACTTTGCGCCGACCACTCTTCGGAAAGGGAGGGGAACCAGTTGGAGAAGGGAATGAATCACTGGAAGAGATTGGCGATGTGTCAGCAGTGGAGAAAAGTACCAGTGCAGCCAGGTTCAGTTGGTTTCCGTCCTTCAGTTTCGCAAAAAAAGCCACCTCGGACAGCGGCCGTTCGACAGCGTCGTCCAGCACCACAGCTAGCAGCGGCTCGAATAGCTCCGCTGCTCTGAAAAAACGCGCCCGAAACGCAACGCCCGTCCCGCGGAAGGACGACGCCGGGGCGGCGGACAAGATGAAAGCCATCCGAAAATCGACGTCGCCCAAGCAAAGTAGAAACAAATCGCCTGCGTCCAGTTCCCCGGGGAAAAATAAGAAAACCAGCCCAATGAAGAAGCGCGCGTCGGAGGAAGGAGCGGACGAAAGCGCTGACGCTGCTGCAGAACAAACGTCGAAATCAGCAACATCAAGTGCGATGAAGAAAGAGACGGCAGAGACCGCGACGTCTACAGGAGCAGCAAAAGGGAAAAAGACTTCTTCAACTACTGCCGAAGTTACCAAAAACGTAGCCACGTTGGAACTGAGTCCGACGGAAATTATTTACGACAGCTTGGACGAGGTCAAGTACCTGCCACCAATTCTCTGCAAGATGCTCATCTACGTCACGCTCGTGCTGGCCTTTCGGCGCGTTTTGGACTACGACGGCTTGTTCGTTTTTCCCGATTGGTTCAAGCGACTCTCCTTTGCCTACGTCGCGTTCCGCTTGGTTTGACGGACGCTCTGGACGGACTGTGATGGGACTTGGCGAAGTGTACAAAAGTTTTTGGACGATACAAGATGATCGCTACAGTTCGAAGATATCCCCCCGTTCACGGTAACCATGACCATGACGACGTAAGACGTTTATGATCTCTGCTAATCGGAAGAAAAGGGTTTTCGCCTGGAATTGCCGCGGGGCAAACGATATCGAAGATTCACAATGTCGTCCGCGATGGCACTAAATCGCATTCGAAGAAAACGACTGATAACAAATTGTAATGAGAAAAAAACGCTTCTCTTAACGCTCTGAGCGTGAGCAGCCCATACCCAGGAAACCGCAGGTCCGCCACTTGCTAGCAGCAGCTCGTTGTTCGCCTTGTTTCGTTTTGTCCTGAGGGAAGGAGTATGAATGCGCTATCCGCACGAGGGACAGGGGTAGTTGCGCGCTCTCTTTGTGATCTCACGTTTTTGTCACAATGACTTCTCTTTACTGCACGTCACTTGATTTGCCGCGGAAGAAGAAGCGTCAGCCAAAATAGATTTTACTTGCTTACCTCTCTGCCGCACAAGCTGGCAGCTTTATTGCTTCCCTTAGAATCTCCACCCAACATTATGAAAGACCTGGAACGGCAGGCTGCCGGCGTTGCGGGGATTGGGATTCTTGCCCTCTGCTTTCTCGGTGGATATGCGGAAAGTACGCGGGAAAGCATTTCCTTGGAATCCTTGGTGAAGGTTGACAACGCGGCAACTGCGGAAATTCTGGCCGGCACCATCCGAAGCGTCGTGCTTTGTTTCTTCTGCACCGGCGTGATCGACGTCATCGTCACTCTCGCCCTGCTGGTCTATTTCTTCGCTGTGGGCACCAAGAATCTTCGTTTTCCATTTCCGCTATCGGAGGAATCGGACGCTCGCGGGACCGTCTTTTTCCTGACTGCTGCACTTGCCGTGTTGTTTCGTCTCGCCTACGCGTGCGTCATCATCTCCTGCTTGAACTCCCTCGTCCAAGTGCCGAAGCTCGTGTTGGTACAAGCAACGCTCACCGACGAACAGCGAGCAGCGCGTTCTTTACTCATAAAACAGCTTTGGGACGCCTTCTATCTCGGGTTTAACGGCGTTGCGCTTGGACTTTTCGGCATCCACCTCGGCTTGCTGGCAGTGCCGCTCGCGCTGGTCAAAAAGAACTTCTTCACTCAACTGATTCTGCCCATGACGCTGGTAGCAGCCGGCGTAGGCTACACCGGGGACGCAATTGGAGTTTTTCTTCAGGACAAAACGTACGGGTTGACGTCGAGTGGTCTGTTTGTCGGCGAGGTTTTGCTGATGATCTGGCTGCTTGTGGCGATGGGGAAAAAAGGACAAGAGAACGATCAAGGACAACAACCGTTTCTGCAGTGAGATGAAGGGCCTTTTGTGTTTGAAAGACGACTGTACAATGTGGATATTCGTGTATTACGAGATCAATGGCACGTCGAACTTAGAGAGTTGGACACATCAACTTACTTGGTTTGATTTTCATTGCCTCTGGTCCCAGAGCAATTTCTCACCGGCTGCACTTACGATCCTCGGTGACAGATGTTGAAACAATATCCCAATTCCACCTACTGTGACGAGCTTCAGTAACGCAAGCAATTCAGTTTTTAATCTGTGATGCGTCTGCGCCTGATCATGAAGGATCTCTGATGCAATACTTAGTGGATTGAACTCCGGTAGTTCATCCAGGAGCGCAAAAGTCATGTTCAACACGACCCTTGATCTCCTTGCGTGTTTACTTGATTTCGGGATGTCATCGGTGGCGCATGCGCTTAGACGCCTGCTTCTCCTGTAGCCTATCTACAGTTCTTGTTTGGGGGTAAATAAGTAACCTACATCTTTTCCACATGTAAGTTAGTAGATTGATTTTACACTGTCACTGCATCTCGTCAATGTGCCTTTAAGTAGGGGCTCTGGAGCACGGAGCTTTTTTTTTGGAGCAGTCTGAATTATGGCGGAAAATAACGAGAATACCTGTGGACCGGCTGCGAACGCAAAGGCCGCGGTGCGCTTCGCACTCACGAAAGCTAATGGGGATGAGCTGGAGGTGTTTGCAGTGCCCGAGGTGCAGGCAATCAGAGGAGCAGCCGCCGCGCACCTATCGCAGCAGGCGTCGGATGGAAAAACTATTCCAGCGTGCTTGATCCGGCTGCTCGATGCGGACACGGGCAAACTTCTCACAGACGCAGAAGATCTAGCGCAGCACGGTGCACACCTTCGCGTCGTTGTTGCCGGTCCGGACCTTTATGGTGGGGGAAAAGACCTTGAGGCCCTAGTGGAGCTGCCGTGCGATCAGAAGCCCGGCTTCTTCTACTATGCTGAGACGTTTGACGCCGTGGAGTTCTTGGTGTTTATGGTGATGCGTGAAGAGTGTCCGCGCGGCACTCCCGAGGACCCATCTTTCGAGTACGAGTACAATAGAGACCACTGGAAACACAAAGAGTGGCGAGAATTGGGACGCAGTACGGACTATAGAGGTGGCATTGTGGACTACTTGCGCGGGGAGGTCTGCCACGCAAGCACGCAACAACAGCTCACTTTCCTCTATGATGCTTTCCGTGCGACATATTCTGCAGAGGTTTTCGACCGCCTGCGTCAGCGACTCGCTCTCAAGGAGGATCGCTGCGGTGACCCTGACCAAGCGGAGCGCGAGACCGTAATGCCGCAGTTTTGGTCGCTCTGGGAAAGCATTTCTTTTGTGCGGAGCCTCGGGCTGGAGTTACTAGTTCCAGAATGTGTCTCGCTAGAAACTGAAGCCGCGAACGTCCGCAGCCTCGTACTGCAGGCCGCGGAAGAAAAAATGGTGTTTGGAGATGGATATTATCCGTGGTGTTTTTATTTCTGGCGCTACCCGCCACATGTCGTGTTCTCGATCGCTGCGGATCTTGTAGAGTGTGTTCCACTACGATGCTGGTCTCGGGACGACTGCGCAAAGATACGGAAGATAGCAGAGGGTGCCGAGAATCTGCAGCGGGATCTCTCGGACGAGGAGCCCGGGCCCGCTCGTGCCGACTATGACGACATGAATGAACACCATTGCCACCATGCATCATTTCGCATTTTAATCCGACTCGCAGCTATTCATGACCGCATCATTGATGAGCTCGAACTCAAGAAAGACACCGATCGCGATGCTGATTGTGATGCGAGCTCTTCTGGACGCGAGGATGGTGATGATATGCCCACGTAGGATGTTGCTTGCTGACTGTTCAGAAGTTCGCATAGCAAAAAGCCACTGAAGGATTTGTGCAGATAATTGTGTCCCATTCGCTCCTTGTCGATCCTAATCATCTAAGTGTCCGCTACAATGTGTCCCATCATCCGTCAGAATCCTAGAGCGAGCCAAATCAGGCCGTATGAAGTGTAGCCGGTGTGGTCCATGGCCTCACGGCTGTCACCACAGCGCTGCACATCTGAAAGTGCTGGTACAACGTTGTTGTTGGCAATGTTTTTTTTTCTTTGTGTGTGAAAAAGAGCTGGCGCCTGTACTTACGGCGTTTGCGTGATTTGAGAGACCCGGCGATGCCCTGGGCTGTTTTTGTATGCTTTGCCGTCATTCTTCGGATGTACATGAGAGATATCTGTGTGCGGTCTGTTGCAATTGTTTTTTTTTCATGTTTTTCGCGTTTTTTTTTTCTGCAATCGAGCGAAGCCCCCGAAATCAATACCACCCCGTCCCCGTGCGACTTGTTTTTTTTTGGCCGTCGATGCTGAAATCTGAAATAGTTATCTGAGAGCGCGATAATGAGGTGTGCTTCTGGGTTGGCGTATCCGCGTGTGTAAAATCATACTTACATTTTGTGGTTTGTGTTTTTTCGTTCGTATGCACACTGCCCTCGTCGTTACACAACACAGCACCTGCCCAGTGAAAGCTAGGACAAAAGCCCCGTCTTCGAAAGTTCCAACGAAAGCCCTGTCTTCTACTTTTCCGAAGAACAGCATAGAAAAGATGGCTCAACAGTGGAATTCCTCTGGACGGTCCCTGGCCAACTTGCCGGACCCGGTTCAAATCCAGAAGCAGAAGGACGCTTTCTCCCAAATGCTGGAGCAGCAGGTACTATATCACTTTTGACTTCTCAATCTCAACCGCGGAACAATTGGGGAACGCATCACAGCGCGTCGTCCCATCTGCATGAAAAATGTTCTTGAGATCGATTCGCGTAAATCAAAAAATCACATCAGATGAAGCAAGGGCTGGAATCTTTGGAAACGCAGCTGAAAAATCAAAAGCAGTTCATTATCAACCTCGAGTCGTGGAGTCAAAGAATAAAGTCAAAGCTATGCATGTTGAATTCCGCAGCGTTTCGTAATTTCAGATTTACATTGTTGAAAAACGCGACGTGATGATTTTCATGTCCAATGTGATGCTGCAAAATTTTCGATGTTTCTTTGACGTCACTCAAGAGTTTGGTAGGATAGTGATGCGTGAACAGGCCACTCAGCAGAAGCAGCAGTACGCCATGCAAATCGACATGCAGCTGAAGCAGGAGGTACGAGTTACGAAGTCTCGTTCAGAAAGGCGGCGCTATTATCCTACGAACACAAACTTAGGAGGATCACATGAGAGTATGTCAAGCTTCAAGCGTTCTTTTCGAACATTGTGTGTTTTCCAATACTACTAAACAGGAAATGGCTTTGGAGCAGCAGCGTCAGGAGAAGGTGATGCAGCTGCAGCAGTCGATTGCCCACCAGAAGCAGCAGATGGAGCAGCAGACGATGGCCATGCTGATCGAGTACCAGCAGCGCAAGGCAGAGGAGGAAATGGCGCGCAACCAATACGAAATGGAGCGCAAGCAGCAGGAGATGGAATCCAAAATGAAAAAGGTACCACATACGAGGAATTTTGGATTATTTTTCTACGTGCTTCATGCGTAAGGGTATGGGTATGCGATGGCGATCGTTCTGTTAATGGCGCGTACGCACTCAGGATCGTGAGTGGTTGATCTATTAATCCAAAATATCGCGAACAGGAAATGGAGAAGTTCTCTACGAGCTTTTCCAGCGGCTTCGATATGGGTTCCAGTAACAAGTGGGGCGCTTCTAAGTCCGGCTACTACTGAGCGGCCTGCAGGGTGCAGCTGTTGTTGATCGTTGTTTTCATCTCACGATTTCTTTACCTCTGCTTTCGCTGTGAAAGAATTTTGTACTTCTGCTTGCAAAAAGTTGATTATGAAAGTTATTGTAGCGATCATTGATTTGTTAAGGTTTCGAATGACTCGAGAAAATTGTATACTCATCGGTATTTCAATCCGTTTGATACGATAGGATTGTGAAATTGGTACATTGTAAAACGCAAAATCCCATAATAAAGTAGCGGCTGTATATTAGCATGAGTGACAAAAGTGTGCATTCACCAGTGTAGAATGTAGTGAAAACGGTACCAACACATGGATTTTCAGATGTTGTTGCGCGCGAAAGTGGTATGTGCATGTACATGCGGGACAAGAAAAGAAGGTATACACGAAGACAGCGGGGAGCGTTTTTCCTACCAGGTCATCTGATCGCCGTTTTCTGCTACGGTGGTGTATTCGGTGCGCCCTTGCAGCTTTTGATCTACTAGTGGTACCCAAGATCTTTTCCGATCCGCGTACCCAAGATCTTTTCCGATCCGATGGCTCATGATCGTACCAAGTTCCTATTTTTGAGTGAAAATCCTTGAGTGAAGCATCTGACAGGAGCTGTTGTCATTTCTGGATCACGAAGATCATGACATGGTGTGTTTTTTGACATAAAAGGAAAGCGCGCTGTCGCTTTTTGCTCGTTGAGGCCCTGTTCGTGAGGATGCCCTAGTAGTAATTACCTGTTTCAGTTGAAAAAGCATGTCCTTCTGCGCCACGGACTGGACCTGTTACTCGGAGGCGGGGATTTTCCTCCTCCCATGCTACGTGTTCCTCCTCTTCGCCTTCCCCCTCCGCTACTACGAAGTCAAGCTCTCTGCCCGGTGCGCCACACCAGGGAAGATGCCGCGTCTGCACATCGCCAAGCGGGTTCTGGTGGTGGTGCTTGCCTGCCTGTCCGCGCTGATCGGGGCCGTGTATCTGGCTTTCGTGGGCCTGAACTCCGCTTCAGCAGACGACAACGGGGTTCTTGTGTATTCCGCGGTTCTACACGGCGTATGTTACGCTTGCGCCTTCCAGCTGCTCAAGGAGGAGTACCAGCGGTATCTACCGCAAACCTGGATCGGCTTGCGAGGCCTCTGGTTCGGCAGCGGCATCGAGGGCTTGCTGCGATTCTTCTGGTACCTCAGCCTCAGCGACTATGGGTTCCTGGAAGTGTACGGAATCAGAGTGGAGGAACCAGACGGGCAGCCGCTGGGAAAAGCGAGCGCCACGACTGGTTTCGATAGTATGTCGGCAGCGCCATGGCGGGAAAATTTTGCCAGGAGCGAGAGCGCAAATCTGCTGGACGCTCGGTTGTACAAGCTTTTTTCGGGGGGAGCAGCATTTCTTCCTCGTGACGACCTTGTATCTACTTCGTCATCGGTTTCAGTACCTCCACAACCAGAACCACACAGCATGCTCACAAAAGTCGTGGACCATTCTTCGAGCGGTTTAGAAGATCACACCAACTACGACCACCTCCGTCACAAAACCCTATCGCACAACCTGGACCTCCCGCAGTACGATCACCTAGCTTTCTTACATTTCCTGTTCGAACTCTCTGCCCTGATCTTCGGGGGCTGCCAAGTGATTCTGATGTTCCTGTCCTTCTGGGCCCACGACCTGCCGGTCGACGCCTTGCTGTTACAAAGCTTGCTGCCGGTGGATGACGAATTCTGGACCCGGTACGTGGACAAAGCCAGACGCGCCGAGCAACCGCACGCTTCCGTGTTTGGCGCCGAGCAGGAGGATTTTGACGTTCTTGCCACTTACCAGCCACCCGATCTCTTGCTGCCGCACCCGCGCGGAACTTCCGCCGTGTCCAGTCCGACCGCGGGGTTTCGGCACCAAAATTCGAATTCGTATCTGCGAGAGCTGCAAGTAAATAACCCAGCTGTAGCACAGAATTCCTACTCCGTGGTTTCGGTATCCCGAGCAGCTGGTGCTGTTCCAAACACAGCAACAGCCGAGCAGGCGGGGGTTGCAAAGTGGACGATTCTGGTACTTCCTATAACCGAGAGCACGACAAGCAATTCCGGCAACGCGGAAAATCAACAAGATTCGTCTCCCTACGCGTCGAGTGTGAAAAGCTGGGAAGAGGTGCGGCAAGTTCGGGAGGAGCTGAAGCGCACCTTTGGTACCCACCCATTTTGGGCCTGTCGGATACCGTACCTCGCGTCACGCCCAGAACAGTACAGGGGCGAGGAAGCCCGGGCGTTGGAGGAATGGTTGCGACTAGTTGTGGAGCTCTTTCTGAATCAAATGGTGCAGCTGCACTCCTCTAGTACAACGTCCGGATTGCTGCTGCAGGGACCACCCGGTAGTGCGACCGCCACCCCGGTCTTTCCTAAACCAGGGCAGAGCTTTCGTTTTCACCGAAGTGCTTCTCGCGGCTCCGCTGCAAATTCCCCCGCAACTTCGATCACGCCTTTCGACTACAGACTCGGTACGGCTGGGGCTGCTGCTGGTGGCGCATTTCTCTTGCAAAAAACGCGGTTCCTATTCGACTTCTTTGGTTTGCCCTTTCCAGAGACAGTAGTTTCCGCCGCAGCGAACGACATGCAGAGAATAGAGAAAGTCGACGAAAATATCGGGTGGACCTTCGATAAAAAGGGGAATCGAACGGGCCTAAGTATTAACACGGCCTTGTCTCCTCCTCCAGAATCACCTTTGACTCAGGTCGGCGCGCCCTATTATGAAATCACCATCCCGCGGTTCGAGCTCGTGCAAAAGGGCGGCTACGTGGCCTACAGCATTCACATCATCGTCCAGGGCGCGGAGCTTCTTTTGGGCGGAGGTTCTTCTTCTGGCGAGAAAACTTCTCTGCAACCGCCAAACAAAGTCACTGTCCACGCGGTCTCGCGACGCTACCGGGAGTTTGCGGCGCTCGAGACGACTCTGCAGTACCATTTGATGCGGATCAGGACCGCGGTCGTACAAAAACTGCCTCCTCTGCCCGCCAAAATGCGTTCCGTTTTGCGCAAGGACTACTCCTTTTTGCAGCGGCGCCGCGCGGATCTCGAGCGGTGGCTGCGTAGCGTCGTGACGCATGCGGAGCTGTGCGACCACGACGCCGTGCGAGAATTCCTGCTGACAGAAGACCCGGCAGCGACGTTGGTCACTACGGAAGTAGACGATCACCCAACGTTGAGTTTCGCAGAACAAGAATTAATGATCCCGCGCCTCTGGTCCCCCCTCTCCCGCGGCCACTCCGACACGCCGGTCTTCCATCTGCCGCGCAGCGCGGTTCTGCGGCGCGGACGCAGTCTGGACGCGTCTCCGAGTTTCACGAAGGAAATCGAGGGCGCCTCGTTGCCGAGCCCGCGGGGCAGTGGCACAAATCTGGTCGATCACGATTCCTCGGACTCCGTCGGGTCACCCCACCCGTCTGTCAGTGCCTTCGAACACGACCCGACGTCTTCAAAGGACACAAACAATTTGATCAAAGACAATCAGACTGTCGGAGGAGACAAGATGGCAAGCAAGACCCAGGACATCATGGGCGGAAACACCAGGGAGGAGCACACGGATAATTCCTTTCCTACAGCTGCTTATGTGGAAGGTTGGGAACCACGCACGGACAACATGAACCAGCAGTACTATTCATACGGCATTCGTTTGGAAACTGATGCCGGCGCAAGTTGGATGGTGCATCGACGTTTTCGCGATTTCGTTCACTTGCTATCGCAACTCCAGACCCACGCCGGCAGCGAGATCTGCGAACTGCTGTTACCGCCCTTACCGCCGAAATACCACGTTTTGGTAGACCCGACGCCCGAACAGAGGGCGCCAGCGCTGGAAAGTTTCCTGCAGCAAGTGCTGTCCAGTGAGAACGCGCTGTACTTTTGTCACTGCGAAGGACTCAAAAACTTTCTGCAGGTGCCGAAAAGATAGTGAACACGAGCCGCTTTAGTCTCGATCGATTCTCACCACTACAATGACGTCTCCCTTTTATTCTCGTAGGAGGAAAAGAACTACGTCAACGTCTTGGCAAATCTAATGATATCGACGCAACGCATCAGATTTCGCATTCTAACATGGCAGGCACTTCTGGTGCAAAAGAAAGAGATAGTGCCAGAGAAAACCAGTTCGTTATAGATAGAAGTAGTTGGGGTTTCTTTTCTGGAAAGATCACGGGATTTTTGCGCAGCCTTTCTTGTAAGCAAGGAATGTACGAGCGACACTTCAGTGCGAGGTTGCCAGCTCCAATGACGATCTTCAAGTTGCGCCAGGTTCAATGGATCTCCACGTCGTAAGCAAGCACGAAATCATCGAGATCGTAACTTTATACTAGTCTCGTCAGTTGAGTTTTTCCTCCCGCTCCGGCTGCAGCCAATTTATTTGAAACTAGATTGACGCAAACACATACAAGCATACTACCAGTCAAAATTAATGTTCAATAAGGGTAAACGAAAGCGAGCAGATGTGCAGGCCAAGCTCGGCTTGAATATTGTTTTCGACCAATAAGTTGTACTAAGAGCTGAAAGCTGTTCTTGAATGCCAAGTATCGTCATCATATTTTTTGATACGAAGTCTACTCATGATGTGTAACTAAGGCGACTCCGGAATATTCGTGGCTGCTCCTGGTAGTTCTTCCTCGTTGAATAGGATGAGTACAAGATAAACGAACTTGAACGATACAGATCTGAAATGCGGACTTTTCACAATTAACTTCGTATTTGTCGTACTTGCCCATTAGGCAGTTGAAGATTCTTGCGGTTGTCAACCGCTGAACACCGAGAGGATGAAGGCAGGCGGTGGTGGGCCCGGGGTAAGGAAAAGCGGCGGCGGCAAGCAAAGTGGTGGCGGGGGCAAGCAAGGCAGCAATGGCGGCAAGCAAGGCAGAGGAGGGGGAAAGCAGGGCAACAATGCGAGTAAGCAAGGCGGCAGTTCTGGGAGCAAGCAAGGGGCCGGCGTAGGAGGCCAATCGTCAAGCTCAAAAAATTCCAACAAGGGCTCCTCGGGCTCAGGAACCAACAAAAGCGGCGGAAAGGCTCAGTTTCAATCAGGGAAAGGCAAGGGGATCTGCACGTCCTTCGCCCAGACCGGAACGTGCAAATACGGCGCTAACTGCAAGTTTCAGCACATTTCTCAAGGTGGATCTTTCACCGGTTCACGTGGTGCTACTGCTCAGGGGGGCACAAGCAATAACTACTTTGGTTCCACCGGCGCTGCAAACGCTGCCTCGTCCGCTGACAGTCGGCGTTTCCTGAAGCAGCTGCACGCCACCAACGATCCGGAAAAGCTCGCATTGCAGATCCAGAATTGTGGCACATACTGGGAGCAGTGCTGGGCCGATGCAGGGACCAGCGGTTTTTCCTTCCGCGACCTCCACCTCCTGGCGCACGTGTTCGCCAGAATTCCCTACTCCAAGACGGGTGAGATTTCGCCGCCGCCACTGAATGACTGGACAAAGGTCATGATCAAGTTTCTCCAGACCGGCATCAAAGCGGATGAGCCACTTGTCAGCTTGGTCGAAGTCGTTCTCAACGTCGTGAAAAAAATGCTCGAATTTGAATGGGAAGAGGAGAAGGGCGTGGTGCAGACAGCTCTGCAGGATGTTTTGGAGGAAGCTGAGAGACCGCTCTCGCGACGGGAAAAAGACCAAAAAAGCGCCAAGGATCGCATCTCGGACCTGGTCGATGAACTACAGGAGAAGGAATGGATGATCAAGATCGCCAACAAAGCAAAGAAGGCCGATCTGGGCAATGCAGCTGCTCCGAGCAGTAGCAATTTCGCTTCGGCAGAAGAAGAAGAAAAAAAACCGTTGGACTATAAAGACTGGCCGATAGCGACAGTAGACTGGCTCTGCACGGCAAAGTTCTTTACGCCAACGGCTTTACCTGCAATGCAGGTGCCAGCGTCGCGCTCCAAAGGAGTGTACGCAAGTCGGGACCAATACCTGGACACGACTCAAAAATTGATGGTTGCTATGGCATTCTCGGAAGGCCATGGTGCCTTGGCTCCAAGATGCTGGGAGAAAGATGCTCAGGGAATGTCTTGCCAGGCAACCCTCTGGCCGGTTTCGGAAAAGACGGGAAGTGGGGCGGGTAACAAACGCTGCCGAACTCGAAACTGCACAGGTCAGGTTGTGCTAGCTTGCAAAAATCAGTACCACAACCACGGTCTTTGCGGACGCTGCGCCGCGCAGGAAAAGGCCCGAATCCTGGGCGCAGCAGGCATGCACGCATCCACCCACGTGTACGATGGTCGCGTATGGCGCGTGGATCCGGTGTCTGGAAAAATTTTCGTAGAGCGATTTGCTTCCCGAAAGCCGCCCACCGAGCGCGCTGTGCACTGGAAGAGCACGAAGCGCCTCTCCTCGCCCAATCTGGTAGGGGTAGTCAAGCTCGGGAATCGGGCGAACCCTGGGAGCACGTTTACGGGCCGCGCGCTTCGTGGAAGTGATGCCATTCATTGGGGCGAGGTGGCAAACCACGGGATCCCGAAGGACGAATTCAGAGAGCGTGAGAAGGGCAAAGTCTGCGTCAACATGACTTCGATCACTCGCAACTTTGACCCGGAGGCCATCTGCGAGGGCGATGTGGTCGCCATCATCGACTGCATGACGTTTGTCCCGGAGTACGTTCCAGTTTTGCGCGCTCTCGATTTACAAGCTCAAGAAACTTTGCCCTTTCAGGACGGTTCCATGCTGAATCTGAATGCGGAGCGCCCAGCCGACACCACAAACTGCGTGTCCCGGGAGGCTTTCGCCGCGTACGCCACGGGAACGGTGCCTCAAACAGTCATTCGGCAGCACGTGAGCAACATGATTTCCGACAGCACTCTTCAGCCAATTCGCGAAATCCGGCAGGACATTGCTCTCTCAAATCAGATGGAAAACGAGATCACGACACTGGTCGAGCAAACGACGTTGGACCAGGGACAGCTCGTGAACTTTCTGGATAGCATGCGGAATGCCGTCCACCTGACGCAAGGACCACCGGGAACGGGAAAGTCGTACTTGGGAGTTGTGATTGTCCGGGCCTTGATGATCGTGCGAAAGTTCTGGGTGCGCAAGAACCCGTCGGTGGGCCAACCTCCGATTTTGGTACTGTCCTACAAGAACCACGCGACGGACGAGTTTTTACTGGACCTGATCAAAGCCGAAAAGCACGCACTTGCCCCCGCCTTTCAGCGGCGCGGAGGACGCGGTGCGAACTACAATCTAATTCGCATGGGCAACACAGACGAGCCGACTCTGGCGCCGTATTGCGAGCGATGGCAGGCACAACAATCGAGCGGCCGGCTGTTGCAGTGCAAAAATCAGATGCAGCAGTTGAACGATTTGCGGAAAGCGTGTAAAGCAGTGTGCAAGTCTGCGTTACTTTTCAAAAGCTATCACAGTGACATGTTCATCACAAACAGCGATGGTCGCCGTGAAGACGAGGCGCAAGCCAGAAAACGGCAACAGCGTGCGGCGTACGAAGCGACCGAGGTGCTGTTCGCGAGCATCGTGCGGGCTCGGCGACTACAGGAAAACTTTTTGCAGGAAGATCCCAGTTCCTCTGTTCCTCCTCCGAAGAAAAAGCGCCGGCGGCGCATGAACAGCTTTGTGTCCATGTCATCAGATGAATCCGACGATGATATTGAGATGCAGGACGCACGCGACGACGGTCCTGATATAGAAGAGCGGCTCGACGCGACCGCGAGGTTTATGACACTGGACGATGAGTCAGACACGCGCTTCCGCCAGCTGCAGAAGACTTCGAAGCTATTCGAAATGCAAGAGGATTTGCACGGACTGTACGACGGACTAGCGCACTACATCGCGCTCGATCCTGCCAAGTATGAGGACCCGCACGAGCTGTTGCACATGTTTCTCGTCGGCACGAGGCCGTATCCAGCGTGCACGTATGAAAATTGTCGCGAACTGTCCTTGGATCACGAAGTAACGCTGTGTAACGACCACCGTTGCCACCTTCCGATTTTTCAAGCCGACGGGAGCAAGTTGCGGTGCTCGAAACCCCGCGACCCTCTGAAGCAGTATCTGTGTGCCGACCATGCTTGCCAAGCCGATTATTGCCAAAAGCCGCGTTTTAGGATGGACGGCCAGGAGTGGCTGTGCGAGTCCTGCGTTTGCTTCCAATGCGTGAAACTGGGTATCGTACCGGCGCAGTGGGCTTGGGACGAGCCGCCGCGCAACGTGTGTGAGAATCACAGGCTGTGCACTCTGCCGGATTGCCAGGAGCTGGCGCTTCCGGACGCTGACCACTGTGAGCTGCACTCGCGACCCAGATGCCAGTACCGGAAGCTGGGCGGGTGGGGCTTCCAGTGTGCGGAGGCTGCGATTTCTCGCGATTTTCCGTACTGCCGAGCGCACATCGATTTTTTTGCATCCGAGGAATCCCCAGAGCTGAAAAGTGCTGGTCCTGGTGCAGGAGCCGGGTCTCAAGAAGTGGAGCTCGAAGCAGCGATCCAGCTGAACAACGAGAAGCGAAGGTGTGCGGGCAAAACCCGGAAGGGTAAGGAATGCAGGTCCTGGGCCGAGCCAAATTCGGACTACTGCCATGCGCATGCGCCTCTTGTGGCGAAGGCTGTAGTAAACAGTGATCCAAGCTGCACAGGGGAGCGGAACCAAATCGATTCGCAGCCGGCGCACTGTGAACCCACGTTAACTTCGAACACTGCATCAAAGTCTACCACTGCGCCGGATTCGGCACTGCCAACTGGTGCCGACGATGGATTTGCAACACCACGGAGCGGCGTTTCTGAAGCGGACAAAACCGAGGACCTCCTGCAGGAAGTTGCCGGGCCCGCTCCCGCACAGTCCCTGGGACCAGCCGGGAGCGCCACAGAAATTCCACCACCTTTCCCCGAAGCTGCAGTCGAGGAAGGTAGTGATGTTGACGAAGAGGCACATTTTCGGCCACCGCCAGGGCTTGACCGCGCCGACATGGGGATGGGCAACGACAATCCGGATGAGGCAGAGGAAGCCGATGGATTGCAGCACCTTCGCGAGGTGTACGATTTTGAGGAAAATGACGCCAGTGACGCATTCAACAATATAGGCGAGGACGATCCGTGGAGTGCCTCCGGTGCCGCCCCAGGGATGAACGAGGGGTTCCAGGAAAGTGAAAATAAACAAGGTACTTTTACAAATGATGTGCAAGAAGATGCTACTTTGCCGCGCCACTGCTGTTGTCATGCAAAAAAGTCGCGAATCGGCATCGAAAAACACTAAAACTACATGTTGAAGAGTCTGTATTAGTTTTTCTGCTGTAGGTTTTGTTACAACTTGCCAGGAGCCGGTCCGTCTTCGTCCGGGAGCCAAGGTTACGATGACAGCTCAGCAGTGCCGCCTCGGTCGCCTAAGCGAGAGACGCTGGAGAAGCGACCGCCGCACGAATGGGCCTGGGACATGACCCTCGAGCAGCGTTGGGATGCGTGCCAAGACTTCATGTTCGGACAAATCGAAATTATGCAGGAGGTGCTCGAATGCGTAAAACAGCAACTGCCTGTCGCGCGGAAGCGCTTGCAGGAAGCGGACATCCGCACCAGGGCCAAAGTGTACGAGAACAAGACCGTGATCGGGGGCACCATCGTCGGATGCATTGCCCGCCTCGAGGCTATTCGGGCCACGCAACCGTTTGCCGTCATTGTCGAAGAGGCCTCGGAAGTGTTGGAGCCCTTACTCTTCTCGTGCCTGTGCCCGAGCACAACGAAGTTTGAGATGATTGGAGACCACCTGCAGTTGCAGCCGAGCCTGATGGACAAATTTGAATTTACCCTCGTGAACAAGATCAATGTCAGTATGTTCGAGCGCCTCATCCGCGCACCCCCGAATCACCAGGTGCCCAATGGCGTGCTGTCCATCCAGCGCCGTATGCGCCGGGATGTAGCGGACCTCACGCGCGAGTACTACAAGGACATCGTTGCGATCCAGGACCACGAAGTATGCAGCACGAAAGTGATTCCCGGTTCCGACGCCCGGAAAAGCTTTTGGATGGGTCGCGAGATCCCTGGCGTGCAGTCGCACATCTATCTCTGGACGCACACCGGTGCACAGACCAAGGCCGAAGTGGGCATGAGCAAGATCAATCGGCACGAAGCAAAACTGATTGTGCACCTGGCATACTACCTGGTCAGCTGCGGCGTGAAGCGGGAGTCGATTGCCATTCTCACACCGTACAAGGGGCAGCTCATGCTGTTGCGGAAAATGCTATTGCAGGACAAAACGAACGACCGCCTCCTGGCCTGGGACAACACGGCCAGGAACCAGGTGCGGTTGTCGACAGTCGACCGATTCCAGGGGGACGAGGCGGATGTGGTGCTGGTATCCTTGGTGGTGGATGAGAAATCGAAAACGCCCTTCGTGAAATTGGTGAACCGCATGATTGTGCTGCTGTCCCGGGCCCGCCTGGGTATGTACGTTCTGGGCAACGTCGGGTACTTTGAAAACCGCAGCGGTGGCAGCGCTCAGAGCATCAAACACTGGATGCGGACGTTCGAAATTTTGCAGCAGCCGGCGGAGACCTCGGACAACAGCTCCGACCGCAGCGTGCAGGTACAGCGAAAGGATGTCGAGAAAATGGGTTTGTCTCAAGCCTCTGCATCTGTACAGCAGGACTTGGAGCAGTTGCTCGCAGATGATGTTACCTGCGTGGACGTGAAGCTGTCTGGTGCTCGCTTCGACGGTGCGCGGGTTGGTGGTAAGCTTCCACTCTGCTGCCCACAGCATCCACTCGCGTCCCGCATCGAAGTCGAGAAACCGGAGGACCTGGCGTTGGGCTTTTGTGAGGTGGCCTGCGAGTACGTCTTGCCCTGCGGACACGACTGCGGGTTGAAGTGCCACTGGATGCAGAAAAAACACAACACGAAGTGCAAGGTCTCAGTGGACTCGCCGTGCGACAAGCACCCGGATCCGGTTTTGTGTCGCGACGTGTACCGAAATGCCCCCGGAGCGCGCCCGGACCAGGACGACATCGAGATTGCAAAAGAGAAGTACGCCTGTCCCGTCGACGTTTTGCTAGAACTGCCGTGCAGTCATGAGGAAAAGATGCCTTGTTTCCGGAAGGAGGCGATTTTGAGCGGCGGACTGAAGTATCCCGATTGCAATCAGCCGTCGCCCAAACCGTATCTCTACCCATCGTGCGGGCACTCTCTTGCCGTGACTTGCGCCGAACTGTCGCGCTACGACAACCACCCCTCGCAGGTCCCAAAGTGCGAGGAATCGGTGACCTACGTGCCGCAGGACTGCAATCACACCCGGTCTGTCCGCTGTTACCTTGAGCAACAATACAGAAGTGGGGCTGCGCTGTACACCTGTCCAGAAAAGGTCGACATTCTTCTGCCTCGCTGCGGGCACAACGCCAAAATGAGTTGCCAGCAAAGTGTCAAGCTCGCAAAATGGGAGCCCGGTCCTGGGAACGAGCGATGTTCTGAGGTCGGAGTTGTACGCGAAGGGGTTCGCTATGGTCCCAAGGATTACACATGCCGCGAGGAGGTGACGTTCGTCCGTGCATGCGGGCACGAGCAGAAGATGACTTGTGAAGCCGCGTTTCTCGCTGCAGAAAGGAAGCCTCCGTGCACGGAAAAGGTAGAGGTTACAAATCCGCATTGCGGCCACACCTGCGAAGTTGCGTGTGCAGAGGCGCAAAAATTGAAACATCTGAATATTCCTAATCCTTCGAGCGCGCCGCAGGACGATCTGTGCGAGACCCGCGTGACGCCGTTTCCAACCACGTTGCCACGCGGCATGGAAAAGTGCAAACACCAGGTGAAGCTGCGAAGAAAGTGTGGCCATGTCCAGGAAATGTCCTGTGCCGAAGCGCGACGGAGTCCCCTCAGCAAGTGCACTGCGACGGTGGAGATCCGTAGTCCGCTCTGTGGGCACGTGATATCCGTTCCTTGTCACCTGAAGAGTGCTGTGGAAGCGTGGCAGCCGTGGAGTGCAAGCGTCACGGAGGAATTGCAAGAACGTGAGGCACTGGTGCCGAACGCCAAGCCGCGGTGCTCGCTGCCAACTAACCAAGATGCGGTTTTGAAGATTCTCAAGACTTGCACAAAGAAAATCACAGTGGCCAAGAGCTGCGGACATACGTACAAGGAATCGTGTAGAGAGCTGTTGACGATCGTGCAGGACGGTGGGCAAGTGAAAAAAGGTGACAGTTGTTCGGAGCTTGTGACGCGGACGTTACGGGATTGTTCTCATGAGGTCACCATCCCCTGCAAGAAGTGGCAAAAGTATCAGGCGGGGCAGATTAAGATCGATTGCAGCACGGAGATTGTCGTCCCTTGCTGGAATCAGTCTCGCTGTGGTCATACGGCCCTAAAAGTGAAGTGCTCCGAAAACACCGCTGGTCTCGTGTGTTGCGGCAAGGAGTCCTCTTGGCAGTGTCAGCATGCGGACCAGCACGTTCATCAAGTTTCTCTTTGCTACCAAGGAGAGCCAACGATGTGCCCGACCTGTGACGATTCCGACCTCGACAAGGCCATCGCTTTAGCCCGGGCGCAGGCCGGTGAAAAACCGTTCACGGAGACACCTTATGCGCTGCTGAGAACTTCTACTTCTCGCTCCGTTCTCCGAAAAAAACAAGGAGGAGTGCGACAGGCCCTTTTCGGAACGCTGTTCAATCGACGAGGCGCAGAAGAGAGCTCTTGCCTGATCACGTCCTCGTTAACTTGCATCCACCCCCACAAAGTACGGGACTTGCTGGCACTCGATGCGGATTCAAGATACTCGAACCTGAAGAAGTTTTGGGAGGAACAAGGATCCGTCTTGCAAAAGTGGAAAATGTGGCGGGAAAAGAATGGTCCAGCCGCACCCTTCGATCGAGAACTTTTTTCACCGAGTCTGATCCCAGTGTTTTTCGTCGTGTCGCAGGACAAGGGCGCCGAGGAGCAAGAACGGGGCTTCCTCAAACGGAGTAACTTTGTGCGAGGAAAGACCTTGGGTGGGATCGCCCTCCACCGGCTTACCAAAGACAACATTGCTACCGTTGCTCATGTCGCGAAAGGGTCTACGCCCAAGAAACTGCTGTGTGGGTATTTGTACACTGTAAAAGCGACAACCGATGAAAAGTGGCCGACGAAGCAGGGCACCAAAGACCTGGTCAAAAAGTGGCGCGAAAAGGAGGGCTGTGACACAGTCGAGTTCGCAGTAAAGGACACCACCGAACCGCGCAAACTCATAACATGGGACCCGTGTGCTCTCTACGCGACACACTGCCTTGGTCCGCTGAGCCACGAAGAACTGTGTGACTGGGCCGAAGATATCGACTTGAATCACCACGAGGAGTTGGATGCAACGGATTTGAAGCCCCGGAGGATTGACTTTGTGGCCCCCGGGGTCGAAAGTCAAAAGATTACAATCGGCAAGGTGCAATCTCCAAAAGACGAGGACGGCGAACTATCGCATACGAGCAGTAGTAGTGCGGCTGTCGGAAAGCCAGCCCTTGAGACGTCAACCCCTCTGAACATTCTCCGCGACACTTGGGCAGCGACGGTTGCGTTCCCAACCTCGGCAGCAGCGGGAAATGAGGAGGACGTGTTAGGTCTGAAGAATGTCCTGTCGGGCGTCGCCGAAACAGAACTCAAGAAAAAGCTGCAGTTTATTAACGCCGACGCGGAGATCTTCGCGGGCAAGAAACTGCTTGAAACAGTGCTAGGTAAAAAAGCGAAAGGCAAGAAAAACAAAACCGGCGAATCACTGACCGGACACCTGCTGGCTGCGCTGGAGTTTGACGTGTTGGACGACGCCGATCGCGCCACTATGGAACTCGAGCAGTACTGCACCGAACTGCGGCAAAAAGGCGACCCCGCGCATCCACTCCTGCTCCTCGCGTTTGCCCGCATCGGAATGGTGAGTGTCATTGGAGCAGCAGAATTAAAATCGACATCAAACGTTGACGCAGACCAACTGCTGCACACGTTCTATTCCCGGTATCCGGGAATGGCCGAGATGTTGCTCACGCCAGACGAGAAAGAAACTGCCCAGCAAGTAAAGGATGACAGTGCAGCGCAGAACGATGAAACCAACCAAAGAGCCACTGGTACTCTGGCAAGCCCTGCGGACCAGTGGGAAGATGCGAAAGATACTTATAACCTCAAGTCCGACGCTATGGACGAGCTTATTGCGCTGACGGGCCTGCGAAAGGTGAAAATTGCAGCACTGCAGCTCTTCAAGACCGGCCGCGTTTTCGCGGATATGGACGCCGCGAAGCGGAAAAAAAATGCGCCCTCGCTGAACTACGTCTTTCTGGGAAACCCAGGGACCGGGAAAACAACGGTGGCGCGGTTGTTTGCGCGCATTTTGCGAGATGCTGGGCTTCGGACCAAGACTAATTTCGAAGAGTGCAGCGCGCAGACGCTCAAGGAGGAGGGCGTTGACGAGTTCAAGAAGAAAGTGCAGAATGCTATGGACGGGGTGCTGTTCATCGACGAAGCTTACAATCTGGACCCGATGGGTGACAGATTTAAGGGCGGCCCCATTGCCAACGAACTGCTGACCTTTTCCGAGAATGAGCGGGAGCGGCTGTCCTTCATCCTGGCGGGGTACGAGGACGAGCTGAACGACAAGCTTTTCGCGTTCAACCCGGGTTTCAAGAGCCGATTTACCGAGGTGGTATTTGAAGACTTCGATGAGGACGAGCTTCTGTCCATTTGGAACCACCAGCGCGAAGACAGGGAATGGCGGGAGGCCGATGACCGGCTGGGGAAGGTGGTCATCCGCCGGTTGGCCAAGCTTCGAGGTCGCAAGGGCTTTGGCAACGCGCGGGATGTGCGGAAGAGGCTGGATGAAGCCTGCAACCGTGCCATGAACCGCGACGAGGTTGACGCGAGCAACCTGGTAATCGAGATGACGGACGCCGTGGGCGAGAATCCGGTCTACAATGACAAGTTGCGCAAGCTGCTGAAGAACATCGAGAAAATGACGGGGTGGGCGAAGGTGAAAAAGGCCATGCAGGCTCTGGTGAAAACCTGCGGCGAAAACTACGACCGCGAGTTGAATGGGCAGGCGCCCCTGCCGGTGTTTCTGAACCGCATGTTTTTGGGAAACCCCGGCACCGGGAAAACCACCTGCGCCAAACTGTACGGGCAACTCCTCAAGGAATTGGGGTTTCTCTCCAACGGGGAGGTGGTGGAAAAAACGGCTGGCGACCTCGGTGGTGCGGTCGTGGGCGAGGCGAAGCAAAAGACCGTGCAGCTGCTGGAGTCGTGCCGCGGAAAAGTGTTGCTCATCGACGAGGCCTACGGGCTAGACGACGGCCTATACGGGAAGCAAGCCCTGGACGCCCTAGTCGAGAAGGCGCAGGGCACCGAGGCGGACGACATTGCGGTGCTGCTGCTCGGGTACGAAGAGCAGATGCTGACCATGCTGAAAAACCAGAACCCCGGGCTGAGTCGCCGGTTCGCGCCGGAGCAGGCCTTCTACTTCGAGGACTACACGCCACCGGAGCTTGACGCGATTCTGATGCAAAACTGCAAAGATCAGCAGTATCGTCCCAGCATGGAGTTCCGCGAAAAGGCGAAGAAGAAACTTGAACGGCAAAAGCGCAGCGAAGCCTACTTCGGCAATGCGGGCGCGGTGAAAAACCTGCTGAAGGCCGCCTTGACTAAAGCCTCTGCGTCTCGGAAATGCGAGGCAGACGGCACCATGAAGCTGCTTCCCGAGGACATTGAGATGCCGGAAGACGAGTTTGCAGGAACGGATCCGTTTGAAGAGCTGGACAAGTTGTACCGAATGGACAAAGTGAAAGAGACGCTCCAGAAGGTCAAGAACCAAGTCGATCTCGCGGAGCAAGAAGGCGACGCACGGCCGGATCTTGGCCACTTCGTTTTCGTTGGCGCACCGGGAACCGGGAAGACCACGGTGGCCCGCATCATGGCCCGGTTGCTGTACCGCTCAGGATTCCTGGCCCGCGAGACGGTGGTCGAGACCACCGGGCAGAACCTCACCGGCGAGGCCGTCGGCACCACCAAAAAGAAGGTGGAGGACGAGCTGGACAAAGCCCGAGGCGGGGTGTTGTTCATCGACGAAGCGTACGAACTGGGCAAGAGCATGTACGGCTCCGAGGCCTGTTCCGCACTTGTTGCTGCTATGACCAGTGAGAAGTACGCTGGCTTGGTGATCGTTTTCGCGGGCTACCAGTCGGAAATGCAAAAAATGCTCGACACCAATCCCGGGCTCAAAAGCCGGTTTAAGCATTTCCTGGAGTTCCCCGATTGGGATGCCGCAGACTGTCTGGATCTGCTGCAAAAGCGCGCTGTCAAGGAGAGTTATGCAATGGAAGACGCCGCAGCTGTCGATCGTGTCCTGGAGAAAGGCTTCGAGAAGCTGCGGAAGTTGGCAGGCTGGGGAAACGCTCGTGATGTCGACAGTGTTTGGAAAGAAATGCTTGCGCAACGCGCTGATCGTCTCGCGGGATGCCCGGACGACGGGCGGCCAGAGCGTACGTTGCAGACTGACGACGTCAAGACTGCGATCGAAAACCTCATCAATATTCGGATGGGGAACGTATCCTCGGGCGCCTCTTCCGCTTCGAACGCGGATCCGTTTGCGCCGCTGGATAACCTTTATCGCATGAGTCTCGTAAAGGAAAAACTGCAGGGAATCAAACTTCGCGCTGAAATGGCCTTGAAAGACGGCGAGGACCCGCCGCCGCTTGGGCACTTCGTCTTCTCTGGGGCGCCGGGGACGGGCAAGACCACAGTCGCGCGCGTGATGGCGGACATCTTGGCGAGACTGCAACTCATTGGACGCAATAACGTTGTTGAGACGTCTGGTCTTGAGCTTACCGGCGAATTTGTTGGTCACACGAAGAAAAAAGTCGAAGAAGAGCTGGACAAAGCAAAAGGAGGCGTTCTGTTCATTGACGAGGCTTACGAGCTCGGAAAAGGGCAATTCGGAACCGAAGCGGTCACGACACTGGTTGCCGCAATGACAGATCCGGCGTACGCGGGCCTCACCATCGTCTTTGCGGGATACCAAGCCGACATGTTCAAAATGCTTGACGCCAACATCGGACTCAAGTCTCGCGTGAAACACTTTATCGAGTTTCCAGATTGGACTGCCGACGATTGCAGTCACCTGTTTTACAAAATGGTGACGGACAAAAGTTTCGAATTAGATTCCGACCGCACGAAACCGCTTCTCTTGAAGGGCTTCAAAACTGTCATTCCACTCAAAGGTTGGGGAAACGCGCGCGACGTGCACAAATTTTGGGATGCTGTAATGGAAAATCGAGCCACGCGAGAAAACGTGACACCCTCGGGAGAAGGGACAAAGATTATTGCCGTGGACGACGTGAAACTTGCAATGAACAGCTTTGTGGCGGAGCGACAGGGAACGTCCGCGAATACAAAGAAACTTTCAGCAGACCCATTTGCCGCTCTCGACGCCTTGTATCGCATGGACGATGTGAAGAAAGTTTTGCAGACGCTGCGCGACGCATACGAGATAGCAAGCGTGGATGGCGTAGATCCGCCACCGCTGGGCCATTTCGTTTTTGACGGCTCTCCCGGCACCGGAAAAACCACCGTGGCGCGGGTCATGGCCGAAATTCTGGCCAGTCTTGGTTTGATTGCGCGCGGACACGTGGAAGAGACGTCGGGACACAAAATGTGCGGCCAGTACGTAGGCGAGACCAAAAATGTCGTTAAGGATTACTTGAATCGCGCCCAGGGAGGGGTATTATTCATCGACGAAGCATACAGTATGGGACGCGGGCAGTTCGGCAAGGAGGCGGTGGACTCTCTCGTGGAGGCCATGACGGATCCTCAGTACGCGGGCGTCGTCGTGGTCATCGCCGGCTATCCCAGAGACATTAGTGACATGCTGGATTGCAACGCGGGGCTCAAGAGCCGGTTCACTCATAGACTGCCATTTCCAGACTGGGCCCCGAAAGATTGCGTGGAATGCTTCAAGAAAAAGGCGGCAACGAAGGAATTTCAGCTCGAAGCCGGGGTGGAGCAGATTCTCTTGCAGGGCTTCAAGGTTCTCTCCCGGCTCGGTGGATGGAGCAACGCGCGGGACGTCGGGGGGTTGTGGGACGCTGCGTACAGGGAGCGTGCCGCAAGATCGAAGCAGACCGGAGATACGAACAAACTTCTCACCAAGTCGGACATTGATAAGGCACTCCGTTCGAAAATCGATGACCGAAAGGCGGGAACTGACCAGAAAAGCATGTTGGGAGGACGAGCAGCCGGTGACGACGATGAATCCGCTCCGGTACGGATGGTTGACAGCAGTGCGGCGCCATCTTCGTCGGGGCAAGTGCAGGACCGCGACCAAGACGTGGAAAACAAAAATGAGCGGGAGGAGTGCGCAGAGCAGCAGTGCGAACTGGAACTCGAGGAGGTCTTGCTAGACGACGTGTCGGGCGACGGGGGGAATGGCGGCCTCGATCCTGTGTGCACGCCAGTCGCCGAGCGTGACCCCGGTGTCTCTGATGAGGTTTGGAACGAGCTCCAAGCCGCAAAAGAAGAGGAAGAGCGGTATGCTGCTGAGCTGGCGGCTAAAGAGGAGGAGCGGAAACGAATCGAAGCGCAAATCGAGGCAGAAATGCGCGCAAAACAGGTACTCGTACTTCATATTCAATTTTCGGCATTTGCTTTGCTGGTTTGCATCGAGCAAAACCCAGATATGTTTTCTCTCTTAGTACCCGACCTAAACACAGAACCAAACATGATCGATGGTGCAATTGCATAATAACAGCTCGCCAAAGAAGCTTACGAAGCGAAGATGCGGGAACTGGAGCGATTGCGTGCGGAGGAAGAAGCGAAACGCCGTGAGCGGGAACGAATTATGCAGAAGCTGCGCAAAATTGGAAATTGCCCTATGGGTTTTGTTTGGTACAAAACGGGCGGAGGGTGGCGCTGTGCAGCAGGGGGTCACTTCGTCAGTGACGCGCAATTGCACCGCGATTTTTCGATGCCATGCTAGGTAGGTGGCGTCGAAGCATACCGAAACACTGAAGTCAGAAAATCCCTATCCTCTTCTAGAAAATTAGAGCTTATGCAGAAGCATTTTTTCTATGTGTAAAGTACAGGCCTAGTTTAGTCAGTTGAAATTCATCACTATTATTTGATAATGTGACGAATGTTGTATATACAACAGAGCATACAGTTTTCTGTTTTTCGATACAGTGCCGGTAGACATGATCACAGTAAAGAACTTGAAGACCACACAGAAATCGTAACATAAAATCTTCATTTGTGTAGCTGACATTGTCCTATTGGTAAGTAGTTTCCAAGAAGAGCGGTGAACGACCGAAAATCTGTAAAATTTCCCGGTGCCAGGAATCACTTTGATTCCCTCATTCTTCAATTTTTTGGCACCCAAGTCACCCATTCCAACATACAAGTTTGTTAAAACTCATTCTTATCAGAAAAAAAATACAAGAACCCATTCAGATCTAGAAGCTTCAACGTCATTCATGTTGCCGCTTGAATCCGTTTTATTTTCACAGCAGGCTCTTTGTCTTTCATGACTGAACCAACGGCGAGTGTTTGCTGTTATTGATTTATCATGCTTTTTCTTGGCCAGTCATGCGCTACAGCACAAGAGAGAGCACTAGCATCAAGCCAAAACGATGCTCTGAAGTCGTCTGGTTTGTTTCGTGTAAAGTGCTTTCGTCGAAAGATTCGACTTCGTAGCTGAGTGAGAGTTGGGCACGAAGAATCGCGGCAACAAGTTTATCGCTCGCGCACGCCCTGTAATTGATTCCTTCGCGACATGATCTAACCCTGAGCGCGACGGAGGCTGCGTGAATCATGCCGACAATCGCATCGAAGAGACAAGGGTCGTTCGCTCTGAATACCACGCCCCACCACGGCGAGAGCTAATTTTTGATTCGTGCCGGTTTTGTATGTAGTGAGGTCACCGAACGGTTCTAACCGGGGAGTTTTTTTGCCACCCAGACAGCAAAACGGCCGGCAGTTTTCAAGCGGCCGGAAGCGTTTTTTGACATAAAACATTTTCAATTATCAAGCGGACGGGGCTTGGCGTCAAACAAGCCCGGTCGAAAACTATCGATTCGCACTTGATAAAACGACGCAGGGGAGCTGGCAAAAGGGGCGCCCTTCTGAGGCGCCCACCGCCTTAGTTTCTGGCGATTTTGGGCGTCCAAAAAGGGGCGCGCAAAAAACGCGCCCAAAATCAGAACAGCGAAACAGCATGGCGCGGCCGCGATTTCGGAGCATTTTGGGCGGCCGCGAAAGCGGCCGCCTTTTCGCCGGTTTCAGAGCCTGGGAAGCTTTGCAAAAAGCGCCGGCGTGAAAAATAAAAACGCGAAAAAGAAAAAGCGGCCCGCACGCGCAAAGCCAATCCGCATGCTATGGGCCCGATTTTTCTTCGCTTTTTGGGCGCCCCCCGTGGCACCCGGATCGGCCCCATAGCATGGGGGCTGGCCTTTGGAAAGGGGCTTTGCAAATGTGCTGAAATTTGTGATGTTTCTCAAGTGACCGCCATACCGTGCGGCATAACGTTACTCAGGGCGGTATGGCGAGCCCAGAAAAAGCAAAGCCGCGGCCAAGGCAGCGGTCGGCAAAAAAACGCCCACGACCTCACTACCCCCGCCCCGGCGGCTATATATGGCAATGTGAAATGATGTCTATCCCTGTCGCGTATGTGTTTTCTCATTCACTTTCACTTTCTGATTCTGTTTCCTCGTTCAAGGGTCTTGCTTGCCCCGGAGCCGCAAGCACGACCGACAGACCAGAACGTGGCTACGGCCCAGGTGCGTGACCGAAACAAGATGTCCACGCTATCAGCATTTCTAGCGTAGTCCGAGCACTACTCAACGAAGCAGGCTGGCAAGCGTCATCTGCGGACAGACGGCACCGCAATCCGAGGTGAGCAGAAGTTCTTCTGGATCCTGGCCTGAGCCCGCTCGTCCACGACGATGCCGACCCTAGTGGAACAGAGCCCGGATTTCGTTCCGAACTTGCCGAGTACGACGGTCTCGGACGACTTCAACTACAACGTAGCCGATGGCGAGTTCAAGTACCGCAACGACCGAACCCACAAGGGTCTGGTCAAGTGGAAACTCGCAAAAACGGTCCCAGATATCGGTGGTACGGGGTGGAGGACGAAACAGGGGCACACGCTAAAAAATCACAACTTCTACCGAACGCCGCCAAATTCAAACAAATGGAATGATCCGGTAGGGGGGTTTTTGTTGTATCTCGCTACTGTAAGTAAAAGTAGTGATTTGCCCATGCAAAACACCTTGCATGAAGACGCATGTAGACGCAAGACCACTACTTCTTTCTGAGGTTTGCAAATTGGAAAACTGATGTCATACTTGTCTGCAGGTACACGCCGGCTACGAGTCATGGCGTGCATTCCACGGTCCCAGGTTAGAGACCAACGCTCGTCTCATCGAACAAATGGACAGCATGGACGACCTCATTGAAAATTGGGAAAAGAGAAAAGCGTATTCAGACTTCCTAAATTTTCAACACAACGTAATGCCTGTCGCTTCTATTTGAAAGCGCAGATGACATTCTCACCTCTATCTTTCATCGGCGGACGAAGTGCTGCACCCCTTTTCAATTTTTTGCGCACATTTCCATTACAGTTTCGTGAACCGAACCCGAGCCGAGCAGTTGGATCGGTTTTGGCGGCAAAAGAGGTCACGGATGCGGCTAGAGCGAGCGACAAGCTGGACGCCGCACTTGCGGGCGAAACGAGAATTCCATGACATATACGACTCATTCGACGGAGATATCAACTCGTTGCCGTACTGGGCTCTGCGGAAGGTTTTGACCGAAGAAGTGGTTGCCGGGGACCGAAGGGCAATCGATAACATAACATGTAAAATTTTATTTCCTCTTTCGTGCAAAGTTGTCACCACGTCGCTGAGTTTTAAGTTGTTAAGTGCAGTGATAGATTCATCAAAATCGAAATCCTTGATTAAAAGGAACTGCACCAATAGAATCGTTGCGCTGTGGGTAAGTACCAGATTAGTGAAAATCAACTCGCTGTCTAATTCCAGAAGAAAAACACGTTTACAGCAAAATTCATGCGGGAAGACGCGTTCAAGCGAATGCTGAAGGCGTGGCGCAACAACCGCAGAATAGAAATTATGTCGGACTTCGCCGACCGCTCGGAGTACAATCAGAGACTACAACAAATGGCGGGCCAGCCCACGGCGGAGCGACAGCCGAGAAAGGTTGGCTTTGTAACTTTTGTATGGCGTGTTTTCCTTGCGTTGGGCACAGCGCATGAATGACGGCGACCTACCAGTAGAGATCCAACCTGGTTTTGTTGTTCTTCATACCCATTTTGATAGTCATAGTACTAGTGCACAATGACTTCATGACACACACATACAGCACACACGGCCGATGGTAACCTCGCGACTCAACGAATTGAGCAAAGCCAAGGAGGAGTTTTCCAGTGCCGATATCACCGCACACACGAACTTCAGGAATTTGCGTATCTTATTTCTCCTTTGATGCATCGTATGGGCAATAGAGAAACTGTACAGCACCGCATCACGATATTTTGGTGAGCGATGCGCCACAGCAATAGTAAATCCACGAGTTTATTCACTAAAAATATAAACTTGAACAAAACCTAACAGCCCTAATCGACAATGCGGTGGCGCTCGAGAAGCTGCAACCAGGCAGGGGCAAGAACGATTCCCTGATGGTGAAAGAAAAAGTGCTGCAACACGTGCTTTCCGTCCGACACCCCGAGAGACTACACCGGCCCGACAGAAGTTCGTTCCCGTCGCCCGAGCCGCTGCCGACCGAACCGCAAATGCACGGTGAGTTTATGTTTTCGCTTTGATGCCTCGTGATCAGACACATTTTCTCATGTGTTTCGTAGACGAAGTATTTCAATGTCGTGTAAATTTTTCCGTTCGTGGACGATGTATTTCGTGTAGAAAAAGGAAACACGACGAGTCAAACTTCGTTTGGTTTTGTACTTTAATAAATAAACTGAAATCAGGTATAATGGAGCGAACTCCACTCGCTACCACGCTGCAAAAGGAGTATCAGCAAGAATACGATCGCGGTATGGTCGACGACGAAATCGAGCGCATGACGTCGTGGTACAGAACAGCGAGAAACCCGACCGGAGAGCCAAAGTAAGTAGCGGTTTAGCTTTACAATGACGGACGAACTACATTGATCGCATTTGCTTGGCAGGTTCGATTTTTTACACCTTGTGTGAACCTGAATTCCAATTGATTCTTTTTTTGGAATAAATCGCACTTATACCTCACACTACAGACTCTTGCCCGGACTCGAGATTCACCGTGCGACTGCCCGGTCAGACATCAAGGAAGTATACGACGCTCTGGACCGATTCGAGGCGGAATTCAAGCCTATCGATGTCCTCGGGAACTTTTGGGACACAGCCCCACGGAGACAAACGGGCGAGGTCGAGGACCAACTGGCAGACGAAGAGGCGGCGTACGCGGCGTCGTGACGCTCCTTTTCGGTTCTTGGTGTGCCGGTGTGAGTCGCGGCAAAAATGTTGTAAAAATGTAAGAACTTGATGTTCATCACAACTTAACAATCCGAATAAATGTCTTGTTTATGATAGGTAATCTTAATCTACTAGCAAAAGTCTGACACGGCTCGCCGAGCTTGAAATGTCCGAATCTTATCTCAGTTTTACTGTTTTACTTCTAGCGATGTTTTGGAACAAATATCTATGCAAAATGAATTCTGCAAAGAATGCAACGTTTCCGAAAAATGCAACCGGGGTTTGCCGTGCAGCCGGCATGACCAAGCGGAAAACTTGTACCATACTGAAAGTGAACTTGGGCTAAGCAAGAAGCTAAAGAAACATGCAACTCTCGGCCGCAGTCAGCCGTACAATTTTTGCAGCTGTGTGCTGTAGGGTAAGGCGCTGTTTCATGTGTCGTTTGATGGATTTCAATTGCTTCTAGTTTTTTCTCGATCTGATTCTGATTTTTTTCCTTTTTCTCGCTTTGAAGCAAGGGCAACAGGCCCTCGTGATAAATTTCATTTCTTTTCAGTAGATCTTTTATCGTGGAACAAGAAGATTGTTGGAATGCTGAAAAAGGTTTTTGCAGAAATTCTACATTGAAGAGAACAGAAATTATGTTTTCCTCCACAAGTTTCCGTCCCCTTCCTCTGCTCCAGGTCCCGCCCAGAACAGTAGCAACCCTCGGCGGTTCCTGTTCTGGCGGAGGGGCAACTTCCTCGTCACGAATACGCAACGTTTGCGCTGGTATGCTATCACCCCCGTATCCGCAACCGGCAATAATATGCGCAGACGGAAAAAGTTCTGTTGCTCCTGCCGGGCCATCAATCTTCAATATGGACCCCTGGTCTGTTTTTCGATCCGATCAGTCAGACGTGAGGCGGTTTTCAGCAGACGAGAGGACGCTAGTGATGCGAGTCCTACCACAGTTCCGATCGTTTGCTTTCACGGCCCAGGCTGCGCAGGCCTTGAAAACCCTGCGCGAGGCTGTGCCGCCAAAAAAGAAGGTAATCCAGCTGTCCAAGAAGGAGCGGAAACAGCTGCAGGGAAACATCGGGAAATACGCAAACAGCGCGGGGAGACCGGAATTCCACAACGTGGATTTGGATCGGCACGGCCGGATCTGCGAACCGACCGACGTTTTCGAAATTGTCATCACCACCAGCAAAAACAACGTCTGGATCGTACCAAAATACTTGTTTTGACGCCTCAGTTTGTTCTATGGCGGATGATGATTTTTTTGGTAGCTATTACAGTACCGAAGAAGCTTGCGCCATATTGATTTTTCTGTTTCAGAGACGGGGTCAGCGACAGCACACTACGTACTGTCACCTTGAGCGTTCATGCCTACCTGTGCTTTGATTTGACTCGCAAAAGCAAAAACTTCCAGGTGGTGAACAACAAAGCACGGGAAGGCCGCACGGTTTTCTCGTCCCACGCCGGCAACGTAGGACTGCGCAAGTCCGGCCGCCGCACCATCGACGCGGCGCACCGAATCGCGTCGAACATAGCGCGCAAGTGCAAGCGGCTGGGCGTGTCGGTCTGCGAAGTCCGGTTCCGCTGGCTGATGAAGGTGGAAGCTATTCTGCAGGCCTTCCAGGCGCAGGGACTGCACATCACCCGAGTAACGCACGTCCCACGGCTCCCCAAGGGAGACCCGCACAAGTGTCGGAAGAGGAGGCGCGTGTAGGGACGTACTGCACCGGATGTTGACCACGTCCTTCATTCCTACTCTTACTGCGCAATACGAACTCATTTTTGTGCAGTAAATTGAACGTCATTTTTTGCTTCGTCCACGTACTAACTGATGAGCCCAGGATATCGTGCGACATAGAAATGCCCGCGTGAACTTCGTACTACTTGAGACAGAATCGTGAAAATTTCAAAATCTGTAGAGTACACACAACCACGCGCGCAACGTTCTGAGACAATGTTACGACTGCGCAAGCATGATCGGTTTCGCTTTTATTTGCTGACAAATTCTCTGTGTTTTTCTGCAAACTGGCATCGTGAAAACCGCTGTATTTCGGTGATTTTATTTTCAATCGTGAGTCGGGGTAAACATACGATTTTCATTTTTTCCCTTTGCATTTGTGCTTTTCCTATCTACTTTTTTGCAATCTTGGTAGTCGTTCTTTTTCGGTTCACAACAGGTCCTTTTTGGAATATAATTCCCGATAGAGTACCCTCATTTTTGCAAGTGTACTTTCAGTGTACATCAACAGGCCCGATAAAGGGTCGATCTGGCTGCACTTCTTGAAGTAGTTGGAATAGTGTGCCAAGCACAACTTCTTTGAGATCTCGTCGTGCTTCACTCAAAGAATCTCAAATCAGCGACTGTTTTAACTACTTCATTTGAGTCTACTTTTGGGCCAAAAAGTAAATTTCGTCTACTTCATACATTTGGGTCGTTTCATTTTACATTTCGTATGGTTTCGAGAAAGCAAGGCTGCTCCTTGTGACTTTATCAGAGATTCTTCCAATTTCCTACATCCTCACCATCTTTCTGTTTCTTTAGCCTCCGAGCCTGATTCACAAGAAGTTTGCGAGTACGCACCTCCTCCCTGGATGCAACATGGCACCAGGCAGCGACGTTAGCTCAACCCCCCCACCCCCCCTGAGTCCGATGTCTCTGACAGCGACAACCGCGGACACGACGCCGTCGCCTTTGGCGGAGCAACACGGCGGCTCGGTGTCCTCCTCGGGGCGAAATTTACTGGTCACCGGCGGCGCGGGTTTCATCGGTGGGCACCTGTGCGAGGTGCTGCTGCGTCGTGGCGACCGGGTGGTGGCGCTGGATAACTTGAGCGAGTACTACAACGTCAATTTCAAAAAGGAGACGCTGAAGATACTGCAATCCTACAACGAGGCAAAGCTCACGACGGCGTTTTCCGCAAAGGAGCCGGATGAATCGGAAGCAGCCTCGCGGGTAGAAGACGCGAATCAGGCCAGGAGGTTCACCTTTGTCGAGGCAGATTTCTGCGATCTAAACGCGGTGGAAAAGGTTTTCGAAACGGAAGGGCCATTCACCTGCGTCGTGCACCTCGGCGCCCAGGCTGGCGTCAGGTATAGAAAGAAAACCCGGAGCGATTTTGTTCTTGATGGGGGCTCTGCAATTACATTGTTTCATCTATCACCATGTTGAGAAGTGAGAAAATCTCAACTAAAACTTTTTCAATTGTTGAAGCCCCCTTATGTAGAAAAAACCTCACGACCAAAAAAAAATGCAGGTATAGCGTGCAGAATCCGTGTGAAGTGATTATGACCAACGTGATTGGGCAGCAAAGAATACTAGACGCCGTGAAGAAGTACAAGGTTCCGTACGCGGTCTGCGCATCTTCCTCGAGCGTCTACGGGGTAAGCAGCACAGCACCCTTCAGCGAGGACCAGATCTGCAATCAGCCGATCAGCCCCTATGCCGCGTCAAAGCGCTCCTGCGAAATGTTTGGACACGCCTTCAATCATTTGAACAAGATCCCGTTGACAATGCTCCGATTCTTCACCGTCTACGGCCCGCGAGGGAGGCCCGACATGGCGGCATTCAAGTTCATTCAGAAGATCGACAAGGTACAGAAAGGGTTTGATTTTCTTGCTGGCTGTATCTGTATTTTACGCATCTGCCACGAAAACGAAAATCAAAATTTTCACTTAGCTGTGCATCCTCCAAAGAAAGTGTTGTCTTTTGGCACTGAATTGATCGCTCCAGTAATACAATGAAGATACAAGCTCTTGCTGCTTTATTCGTTATTTGATTGAAGAACCATCAAAACAAATACAGGGAGAACCCATTGACAAGTTCGGGGACGGGTCGGCAATCCGTGAGTTTACCTACGTGAACGACATTGTAAATGGCGTGGTCCTGTCCATCGACACGGTGCCACAGGGGAACGGGTTTCGCGTCATGAATCTGGGCGGCGGAACCACACATACGCTGAATGACTTCATCGCGACCATTGAAAAGCACGTGGGATATGGATTGTAAAAATGTCTGGGTCTGGAAGAATGCATGTTTGTCATGCTTGTCTGGCATGACTCTTAAATCTGTCATGCACGTTACCCAAGAGCTCCACTTTTCTGTAATGCAGAAACGCAGTTTGTCATGCAGAATAGGCAACAGCTAGAAACTCAGAAACTTGTCATGCTGAGCCAGCATTTGTGGCCTCATCATGAGACGCCACCCAGCATCACAAGTTTCCAGACCCAGACATTTTTACATTTGATATGGGAAAGCCGGCAGCAATAAACCAGCTGCCCGACCAACCAGGTGACGTCGCCATCACGTCCGCCGACCAAAAGCATGCTTTTGCAGAGGTGGGATTCCAGCCAGAAATCAGCCTCGACGAAGGAATCCGGAGAACGGTGGAGTGGTACAGAAATTGCCCCTATCTGGAAGGGTAGGATGGTGCCCGGGCTTGAAGAAGTTTAGTTTGTTCCCCCCGGATTAGAGGAACTTTTTTTGTTGAGCACTTTGTTTCACGGGAACCTCACGATTATACGGAAGAAGTTTGTAGTTTTACGCTAGCGCTACATGCGTATTTTCACACATATAAGGATATCTACTATAATCGAACATACTTACATTGGGAATGAACGACAGCACGCACCGCGGGGACAGAGCTGGGCTTGACAGCTTATTCCTGCGAAGCATGCTTGATTTTTGGAAGAAGTACGCAGCGCGTTTGAATAAACGGGTCCACGGGCATGTGCCATCTAATATCGAACTGCCCCCTCCAATTATATGTCTGTGTGTAGATGGGAGGGTGATTTTCTTTTTTTCGAGGACAATTGATATTCCGCAAGCAACGTGTGCAGAGAATAGTTGTACTTCCTGCTACAGTAATGTCGACGCCCACATTGAAACGTGGAGCATTTTTGTGGAAATAAAACGCTAAAGATGCGCTGCGCCGCAGTAGACGGGTTGTGAAAATTTGCCCGATCACGCACTGACACTTTGTCGAGTTCCTTTTCCAGTGCCCCTGACGAGCCGTTCTCCGCGGACAGAATGTCGCATCTGTGCATCCGCCTTATGATCTGGTCAGAAGAACAGAATATCGTTGAGATCAAGCGCAAGGAGACGATCTACAAATCCCAGGTTGAACCAATTCGAGATAGAAATTATCTGCAAGATACATCCGTTCGATCCTCAGTCATTTCCCTCAGTGATGTCCGGTCGCGGAAGCAGCTGCACCTAAATCTTTCGAAAAGGATCAATTTGACGGTCGTGTGACGGAGGCGAAAGTGCCAAGTCATTGTCTTTGAGGTTCTGGTGGGGCCGTGCCGCTGCTGACGATACTTTCTGACGAGATCGATAATCCGACCTGATCCTCTTCCGTTTTCGGTTTCCGAAGTTGACGAAAATGATCCAGAGTTTCTCCGTCGGTTCTGAAACACGTCGGTCCGATGACTTTCCGCATTGAAATGAATGGAAACCGATCTTCGTCCTGAAGCAATGCGGAACGCATGAAAAATTTTCACTTTTCAGATGGATACCAGGCGTGGTTTAGATCTTGAAAACGAACACAAAAATAACGGACTGTGCCCTTGGAGTTCAGCACTTTCCTGCCCAGCTTCATGCAATTGTTCTGCTTTTTTCCTGAATGCGAGTCTGTCTATCCCCTACTTAAAAATATGCTGCGACCGATTTTGGTTTTTGATTTTGAAGTGGAACATTGAGTATGCTCCTGAGAAGTGCTTTCCGGCGCAATTGGTTTGGCCACGAAAGAACAGGAATTCTTGGGCGCCGGACTTCGTCATTTCCTCATCGACTACAACAAAGAGAACGCGCCTGCATAAGCCGGCCTCCTGCGGTACTACCAGCTCCAACATCAGTGGCGTCACTCCATGATCGTGTAACTTCTCACTGCCACCACATACACTTTTTGTCGACATCCCGTAAGAGCCCCCCTGATACCACCCGTACCCTCGCGGAGCACGTGTCGGAAATAGACAGAAAGGAAATGGGCAGCCCTGAAGGGTACAACCACGATCATAATGCGCAGGAGTCTTTCGCGTCTTTTAAAGAGATCGCGAATCGGCGCCGGCACCAGAAGCACTTCGACCCGGAGAAAAAGGTGCCCGAGGCGTTGTTGGTCGACATCCTGCGGACGGCTCAGCGGGCGCCTAGCAGCTTCAACACGCAGCCGTACAAGGTGATTCTCGTCCGCGATGCAGCCTTGAAAGAGGCGGTTGCGGCGCGCGCCATGTCCAACGAAAAGAATGCAGACGTTGTGCGCAAGGCGGACACCACGGCCGTTTTCCTGGCCGACTGCGAGATGATGGACGAGGTTCCGCGGGTGCAACAGCTGTTCTGCGACACGACGAATGCCCCCGAGGATTACATAAGAGACGCCCTGCCGAGGGCGATCGGCGGCCTTTCCGTTGGGTACGCAGGCGGGTGGTTGAAAAAAACGATCATGTACACGATTCACAGCTGGGTCATGTGGGGCATGCGCACGTTCGGGGGAACAAACATTGACTTTTGTCCCGTGCCGGGCTGGGCGTACCGCCAGACGGGGTTCCTGGCGGACCACTTCGTACTCGCGGCCACGTCGGCAGGGCTAGAGACGGCCGTCATGGAGGGGTTCAGCGGAATAAAGGCGATGGAGATCCTCGGCGTGCCGGCGGATAAGCGGACGAAGTACAGCTGCTTCTGCATGGTCTCCGTGGGATACCCAGATAACACAGAACCAAAGAGCAGAGGGTACACGAAATCAGCAAGGTTTCCATTTGAAGAAGTGTTTTCCCTAGACGGATTTGAGAAGCCTTTCGCTAGTAGTACCGCGGACGGAAAAAAAAACAAGTGAGCACGGGTCTGAAGTTGTCTGCCAGATGAAGAACTCATATTTATGATCGGGGCGCACAAGAAATTGCCTCGCCGCAGTTCTTGCGCCGACAATCTGCTGTGCTGGATCTAGACACATGCATGTTCTTTCGGTCTCCCGCTCCACTTCCAGAAGGAAGAGGACCGTCGTCATCGATCTGGTCAGAAGAAAATATCTTCGAGATCAAGCGCAAGGAGACGATCTACATCAAAGCCGAGGTTGAGCAAATTCGGGATAGAAATTATCCGCAAGATCCACCAGTTTTTGTGTTTTCGATCCTCAGTCTTTTCCCTCTGGACTTTTTGTTATAATACGCTCCTAATCTCGTTGATCACGATCAATCCAGAGACAGGCCACGAGGAGCATGACAGTGTAAGTAGTACTGCGCGGCTAAAATTTGAAAAGCAGTGCAAGGCAGGACAAGTAAGTTGAAGTTTAGAAAGAGCACACTGAATGCAAAAGTAGAAGAGAAAGATAAATTTAGAAGATTCGTACAACACAAGACTTCCGCTATGAATATGAAGTTTTATTTTAACCAGCACTTTCGCCACTAATTGTTACCCTGTTCTTGTTGAGTTGCACCAGCTACTCGCGCGTACTTGTGCTTCCTCGTAACGGTACATGTATACGGCGTCCAAACAAAAAGAATGTCCAAGTCGCCCATGCAAATGACCGCAAAAGAAGGCGGCGCAATGGGTGCCGGTTTCATCGCGATCGCACTTGTGTACCTGGTTTCCAGTAGTACCTTCCTTCCGACCTTTTCTTACATGAAGCACGAGCTGAAGTTTCGACACCAGGCCCTCCTGATTACCTGTTTCTTCTTGTTTCAAGCGATCTGCCTGCCGGTCGGGTTGGCCATAAAATTCGTTTCATGGGGGTGGGCCAGGTGCAAAGGGACGAAGCGGGATGCCGCACAGAAGAGTGGAGAACACACGGGAGACAGATCATATGATTCGACTGATGAGGAAGATCAACATGTCGGACCGGAACAGAATGATTGCGCAAAAGAGAAAAGTCAGAGCCGTCGCGGCGCCATCCATCGTCGTGAAGAGATGAAGTCATCTGGGGATCTTGGTGAAGATGACCCAGGATTTGCAGACTTGGAGGACCCGAGCACAGCGACTGGAGTTGGGAAAGGAGAAGAAGATGCGCTCGTGATAGCAAAAACGCAGGAGCGGTATCAAGCGCGACTAGCTCTAGGTTTTGGAAACGCATCATATGGTAACACCGTAGACGACGAAGAGGCGGAGCGCCAGCAGCTTTTGCGGGATGAGGAGAAAATCCCTGACGCCAAGGTGGAAGCTGAATATCCGGTGAAAGCGACGGCGTACCTGATTGTAGTCGGCATAATGGAAGTAGTGAATAAGGTGTGTCAAGCCTACGCGACGGACCACTTGGGGTCCAGCTACGTGATGCTGTTGGCAGCAACCAAGCTCATCTTCGTCGCTTTGCAACGTGCTGCGATGCTGAAGGAGCCTTGGCCACTAAAGATTCAGCTGCTTGGCATGGGCATCGTCTTGATCGGGTGCGCAATGAGCGAAACAAGCGTCATCCTAGACAACCACTTCTTCCCAGAAGACCAGCCGCAACTACAGGATCCACACAGAGCGGTCGCTGGGCAAGTGAACATCCGGCCGGTGACGCAGCGGGTGCGTAACAGTGGGAACGAGGTTGGGGCAAGCGCGGGTGAGAATACTAATCATCTGCAGCAGCAACCACCAGCAGCCCAGAACGATCCGAATCCTGTGCCGGCTCGTCGTGTAAAGAGTTTCGGAATCGGCATCGCGCTGGCGCTTGCTGCTCCGCTGGCGAGCTCGTTCGGCTTTGTGTTTCAGGAGTTGGCCGGGAGGGTGTCGCCGACCTACTCTTCGTTTCTGGGAACCGGCGTCCAGGGCATGACGTCATTTGCCCTCGCAGTAGGTGTCTACGCGGTTCTGATCCTGAAAAAGAAACAGCCGTCGTTTCCTTCTGCGCTGGAAGACATCGGACAATCGACAATGATGCAGGTCCTACTCGTGGTATTTTTCGTCCTCGTCCTCACGGGGGCGGTGACCGGACTCGTGGTGAGCAGAAAAAACGCGACAATCCGGGTACTGCTCGAGAACGTGCGACCTGTCCTAGTGTACTTTGTCGAGCCGCTCATCCTAGTGTCTGACAACCTCGGGCGGACGCGGTTCTGTGCGGATAGGTTCGAGGCCTGGATCTCGCCGACGGGGCACGTGCTAATCATTTTCGGCGTACTAGCATTCTTCCAGTGGTGGCCATTTCACGGGAGAAACGGAAAAGGAAGTGCGAATGGGATAGAATCAGATGCAGAAAAGGACGCGGAAGAGGATACTGAGCCACTGAGTCATTCGCTGGTGGCACAGAAAAGTCGAAGACAAGATATGCTTGGAGGCAGCTGAGGAGAGTCTCAGTTTGCACTATCACCAGACGCTCACCGGAAGCGAAGGTAGTAGCAGAAGAGCGTCGATCAGATTGCGCTAGACCTGATCCCCTGATTCCGAATACCTGTTCGGCTGGGCGCGTTCCGTGGGCTTGGGACCTCCTTCACGACAGGCTCTTCATACGCCGTGCAAAGCATGCGCTCCACCGAAAATTCTTCCGCCCTTTCCACATAAAATCGCAAATCCCACGCTTTTTGCCTCAATGATTGGTTCTCTAATCCTAAGGATGCTTTCGAAGCAGCGACATTTTTTTGCCTACGAGGATAGATTGCCGTTTTTGGGACAGAGGCACAATTTTCAAGGATATTTGGATGCGACGGGGTTTGTAGATGTTCATTTCATAGGTCTTATCATCCGCCAACCGTCATGAGTACTCATGTGCCGCGTCAAGCCTGCTATTTCTTTTCGCGTTCTTGTCTTGAATTCTATAAATATTTCTGTGCAGAAGTCGGTGTACAAGTGCTTTTACCTACTTACAACGTGACGTCTTTTCGGCTTTCTAGATGCTTCGATCCTGGTAGATTTTTGAAGATCACCAGAGTGATCTGGAGTTTCTTGATCCTGCTTTTGGATCATATGCTTTGGCTTTCGTTTTGCTTTGTCGTGGTAAGAATTTCGTGTGTGCTTTCTCGTCGTTTAACGACCTCTTCATATTCTTGTCTCTTCTATTTGATCTCCATACGTCGGTGTAGCAAGACGGAAAATTGGCAAATACACACGATTGTGACCAGGCAAATCTCGAAACCCCATTCCAGGATGCGCGCTGTTGCGATCGGAGTTGCCTCGCTCGCTGGGTTGACAGCAGCGGACTCAGTGTGGCCATCCTGCATTGAACAAAACACAGTAATTCGAAATGCAGGAAAGGCTTTTTTCACCAACGTGGCCGGTTACGGAGCAGCAGCAGGGTAGATGTCTTTGTTTGAGCTCGTATTTCATGCGTGCTTCGTAGTCTTGTCTTATCGCGATGAAAAGTAGACGTCGGTAGACCCAATACTTACTTGCATATGAATGCTTAGATCACACTATTAACACAGGTGCTTTCTCGACGACTGCAAAAATACGGACAAGTTCGCGGTGTCTTCAATCGAGTCTTGCATCAACGTGTGCAACTCCGAACCGGAGTGCGCCTGGTGGGTCTTCGGAACAGAAGAAGGTGCAGTGTTGTTTTGTGATTCTTGCATATGATAACATTAGTTGTACCAATCAAGGTCCAGAGACCACGAGGAATGGCCGCAGCGAAGTCGAAAAGGAAATTCGGACAGACTTTCACTACCATGATAAGTCGATCATTCATTGTGGCATCAGAAGTACTATTCTTTTCCGACATATCAGGTATGACGAAGTGCTGGATGCGAGTAGCGGATGACGGCCGCGAGGCAGGAGACGGATGGTCCAGCGGTGCCAAGACCTGCGCGCCACCAGGTACAATATTTTTGGTGACGACGTCTTGGTTGAACCTATAGCGTGCTAGCTCCTATTGCTGTAATCTTTTTTACAGTGTGGCGCTTCATGATGACATCACGTAGCATGTTGCATCGGAGCTGTTTCAGGCCCCGGGGCAAACGTGACAGCAAATCTTGACGAAATTTGAATACAGATGTGCAGAAGCTGACGATGGGAAACACCGAGTGCTGGATCGACGGGTTTGACTACCACACCTGCTGCGACCCAAAGTTCGGACCCAACGGAAACACCCAGTGCTGGGATGGCATGTTCAACTACAACCGGTGCTGCTTCCCCCGACACGAACTGTAAAGACGTGAATCTTGCAAGTCTGGCGCGCTGCGCCGTGTTTTGAATGCATTATTACAAAATTACACACATTACAAACCAGGCGGCGAGTCGTACATAGGACAAAGTATCTATAAAATGCACCATCCGTTGTATGCGCGCACCAGCCATTTAGTAAACTTCAATTCTGTCAGATAACAGCCTTGAGCTTCCTTTTGATGTGCATTAACGAACCCTTGTTACGCATGGTACAATCCGTATTGCAATGAAGATCATGGTTTTGAGCTGCACTGGCTATTCACCAAGTCGTGGCTTCTCTGGTTTGTCCACGATACCAGGAAACTACCTGGGCAAAGTACGTATAAGGAGGCTTTAGCTAGTACCTCAAGTCTTCCGGTCGCGTCTCGGAAGAAGCTTAGATGAGGCCACTCTGTATTGAGAAACCAAATCTAGAACGCAGGTCGTTATAGACACAGCGTTAAGTACGCAGTAATACGAATGCATTTGTTTTCTACGCAGAGCTGTTTCTTCGGATGCAAAGTCAAAAGTGTTCGCGATAGGAGACCTCCGTAAACTTGTTGACCGTTCCCGAAAATTCAAAGTGGCACCAACTACCGTTCGTATACGCTTGTACCGTCCTTGTAGAGACTGCATTTCGAGTCCGTTCACATTTCTTCGTAAGTCCGTTCCCCCTCAATTTCAAAACGTCCGTGGTTGAGCCCTGTAGATGATTTTGCTGTACGTCCCTGTTGAATTTTGCTCTACGTCCCCGTTGAATTTTGCTGTACGTTCCCGTTGAATTTTGCTGTGCGTCCATTGTCGACTCTGAAGGTATAAAATGCTCAACACGATTCTTTCTCTCTCTCTCTCTCTCTCAAATTCCATTTCACCAAAAAACCGTAGGGCAGATTCTGTAGGAGGCATTCGTTCGGTCGAAGTCTTTTACAACTCCAGTTCTTTTTATTTTCTCTCTCTCGAGGCACCAACTCCAACAAAATGCGTGAAGCTATCTGCATCCACATCGGTCAGGCCGGTGTCCAGATGGGCAATGCCTGCTGGGAATTGTTCTGTCTGGAACACGGCATCCAGCCGGATGGTCAGATGCCGTCTGACAAGACCATCGGTGGCGGTGACGACGCCTTCAACACCTTTTTCTCCGAAACTGGTGCCGGCAAGCACGTCCCGCGTACCGTCTTCGTCGACTTGGAGCCCACCGTGATCGATGAGGTCCGCACCGGTACCTACCGTCAGTTGTTCCATCCGGAACAGCTGATCTCCGGTAAGGAGGATGCCGCAAACAACTTCGCCCGTGGTCACTACACCATCGGTAAGGAAATTGTTGACTTGTGCTTGGACCGCATCCGTAAGTTGGCCGACAACTGTACCGGTCTGCAGGGGTTCCTGATCTACCACGCCGTCGGTGGTGGTACCGGTTCCGGTCTGGGTTGCCTCATGATGGAGCGTCTGTCCGTGGACTACGGCAAGAAGTCCAAGATCTCCTTCACCGTGTGGTGCTGCCCCCAGGTCTCCACCGCCGTTGTGGAGCCGTACAACACCGTGTTGTGCGTGCACTCCTTGTTGGAGCACACCGATGTCACCAACCAGGTCGACAACGAGGCCCTGTACGACATCTGTCGTCGTAACTTGGACATCGAGCGTCCCACCTACACCAACTTGAACCGCCTGGTCGCCCAGATCATCTCGTCCCTGACGGCGTCCCTGCGCTTCGATGGTATAAGAATTTTTGGTTTGTTTTTTGCTTCCAGTACATTCATCGCGTTATGATTCATCGCCCTATTCTAGAGCTACAGTGATTTTTGCATGAGCTATGAAAACACCCTTGCGTATGTGCGCTGTCAAACACAAAGTCTTTGCTTAAACACTGAGTTAGCCCTGCTATGAAGGGAAAGAGATAAATCTTTGTCAATTGCAAATTGAAACTCAAATCAGGTGCGCTGAACGTGGATGTCACTGAGTTCCAGACCAACTTGGTGCCGTACCCGCGTATCCACTTTATGTTGACCTCGTACGCGCCGATCATCTCTGCGGAGAAGGCCTACCACGAGCAGCTGTCCGTGTCCGAGTTGACCAACTCCGTCTTCGAGCCGGCCTCCATGATGGTCAAGTGCGACCCCCGTCACGGTAAGTACATGGCCTGCTGCTTGATGTACCGTGGTGACGTCGTCCCGAAGGATGTGAATGCCTCGGTCGCCACCATCAAGACCAAGCGCACCGTGCAGTTCGTCGACTGGTCCCCCACGGGCTTCAAGTGCGGTATCAACTACCAGCCGCCCACCGTCGTCCCGGGTGGCGACTTGGCCAAGGTGATGCGCGCCGTGTGCATGATCTCCAACACCACCGCCATCGCGGAGGTGTTCTCCCGTATCGACCACAAGTTCGATCTCATGTACTCCAAGCGTGCCTTCGTCCACTGGTACGTCGGTGAGGGTATGGAGGAAGGTGAGTTCTCCGAGGCCCGTGAGGATTTGGCTGCCCTGGAGAAGGATTACGAGGAAGTCGGTATCGAGACCGCCGAGGGTGAAGGTGAGGAGGAAGGCTACGGTGACGAGTTCTAAATCTAGAACGCCTCACGAACTGTTGGTATTGATTCACAGCAGAGCTTTGTGACCTGGTGTCATAACGTTCTCTGCCACTACACTGCTTTTGAAGTGAGCTTTTCCTTCTGATCGTTTAGTCGAAAGGCCACATGGACGTTCAAAACAACTTCGACTTTGACTTTGTAGAGTGAAACAGTACTACAACTTCTTCTTTAGACGCAGATTTCCTGTTGCCTCTGCATCTAGTCATAGATGTAGCAGGTTCACAACTCGATTTGTGCGTGCAGCTGCCGCTCCTTCGGTGGAGCGTCGGTTGCGAAAATGGTAATTTGAATCCCACAGACTTTGCGTGGAGCTGCAGTTGTGTTTCAAACGCAAGCCACTGCTTCTTCGAAAACACAAAGGACGTTGATTGTTGCCATTGACCACTTAAAATCTGAGACCAAATGTGCCTCAGCGAAAAAGATCAAAACACAAAAGCCGTCGCAGTACTGACGCAATGAAAGCCTTGATGCATTGATACACATACGTGCTGTCTTGTTCTTCAGCAGTTGGATTTGATGCTGAGCCCGTAGGATTTTGGATATGAGTTTCAAGATTGAGGAGATGTGAAAGTAATGCAGTGAGTGTGACGTGCGTGCAACGAGAGAAAGTGCAAAGTGGGTTCCTGACCAGAGTTGCCTCTTGCGTGACATTGCATCTGTGTCTGTAAAACTAGCATGCCTTTTCTCATTAATTTTGACCCCAACAACTGCGTATCCGTAGGGAAATTTTTCGTAAGAAAAACCACCAAACATTCTCAAAATGGCCAAGATGATGATGTCCATGAAGGCGGCTGCCAAGCCGATGAAGAAGATGTCCAAGATGATGGCCATGAAGAAGAAGTAAGTGCAGTCGTTGTCTTTGGCGACGCGCACAGGTCAATGGTACCGTCAGGGTTGTCAGAAAGGCGCTCGCGTGGTGTGGTGTCTATCCACGAACGCTTGTAGCTAATGCCTTTCATCAGTAAGTGAGAAAGAAATCCATACGTAGGTACGTTCTACGGACGGTCAGTTTGTCACGATTGACTTCTGAGAGGCGTCGCGGCGTGCTTCGCCTATCGTCTTCGAGCTACTGTGCAGGCTTCTTTTCTGAGATTCCATGCAGTGTTCCAGACACAGATATTGATCGGCGACCGAGTATGGTAATGAGTGCAAAGGATGAATATGCACACCAGGAAGATCTTGAGTTGTGAACTGCAGTAGGCGTTCGCTCCGCGTTCGTATAATGCGCCGGGGCGGATAATCATAGTTCGATAAATGTCGAAGAAGTCGTGTTTGAATTTTAGAAAGCGCCCAGATCAATCGCTTTCGTCTGTGTCGCGCGTGTCGTTGGGGGGCATCAGCGCGTCGAAGCAGCCAGCTGTGGATTCTAACAACTCGGTTTCGTGTCGTCTGTGTTGGGGCTCGATGATTCACTGATGAAAGGTGCTTGTGATCAGTGCCAACGAAGGATCAGGATCGATCACCTCTTTACGAAGCTTACACTTCAACCTCAGCGTTCTATGGAGCTTTACAAGTTACTCATTCACGTAGACACATGCAACTTTAGTTGACTTATTCATTTTCAGGCACATGATGGTTCGATTGGAAGAGCTTTTACGAGATGCGAACGAGACTCTCGTGCAGTCCGACTACGGCTACCAAAATAATACCTCATTCCCTTTTCTTCCTCTTACGCGAGTCGCGAGGACGTTTCCGCTGACAACCTCATTTTCTGAAACACCCGAGGACGACGGACCAACGGGAGAAGAAATGCTGCCTTGCTGCGCGAAAAACAAATGTGATGAAAACGGCATCTCGTGGAGGTGCAGTCGTAAAACGGCTTCAACCGTAGATCTGCTCCGCTCTCAGCTAGGGAGAGGTGACAAGGCCAGTGACAGTGGTGCGCTGCCGGACACAGATCCCGAGGAGCTGGGCTTCACGGATCACAAGTTCTGGAAACTATTCGTCTACGGAGGCTTTGTGGGTGTCGTCGCAGGATTTTGTCTGCGCCAGGCTGCGCAAACAGCCCGCGTCCTCGAGCATCTCCGCAGCAAAACAAGTGGACGCATGACACGCAAGGAACAAGAGGAGCTTGCAAAAGCAATGGCGTCCAGCTCTTCGTCCGGCAGATCGGCCCCGGACTTGACATCGGACGTGTCGATGCCTTCGTACAGCGATGACGACGATCCTATTGGCGGGAAGCAGGGCAAGCAGAATCGAAGTAACAGCGGTGCCGGAAAGCCTGGAAAAAAGAAAGGTGGCAAGAAGAAAGGTAAAGGAAAGAAAGGGAAAAGCCCCAAGGGGCGGAGTAAGAGCAAGGGGAAAACTAGGTAAAATTGCTCAGAAGCTGAGGAAGAAATTGCACCACGTCTGTTACCACAACTTCAGGATAAAGATCTCCACATGTGCATGCAGCCAGGTGCATTCGTCCAGTTCGCGAAAAAGAATGTATATCGTACTTGGGTGTGTGGTTTTCGTCGTCTTTCCGTGTCGTCCATTGTGTCTTCACATCGTGCGCTGGGTCATTCCAGTCATACAGGCGAGACTGATTCGTTCGTTTTGGTTGGTTCTTTGTCGTGCTCTTCCTGCAGTATTGGAAACATCTTCTTGATTTTACACACAGGATCCCCCTCGCCGCTGTATCTATCCTCAATGTTCTAGTAACAAAGAGAGAATGTTGTTGAAATGTATTGCCTACTTGCAGTTCTCTGCATGTGCATCACTAGGCCTTTCACGGCTCGTAGGAAGAAAAGTAGTTCGTCTCAGGTAGACACGGGTGGCGCAGCGTCGGAGTCTGATTCCTAAGGGGTTCATAACATGCAGTGCTGGCTTCACTTTTACAAATCCCACATTTTGCATCGATCTCCATTCGTATAAGATACTTATTCCGCAAGCCAAAGAAAGAGGTACGCGGCTTTGAAATAGCAACAGCATGTCAACCGCCAGCACGCGATCGTCCCGATTACCTTTGCTCGGTGTGGAGATCATGGCTGATGTCGGCGCGGGCAAAATCCAGCCGAAGTGGCTCGTGCTCGCCGGGATGGGATCGTTTTACGCAATCCGAACAGCGGTCCTCTACTACTACAGGAAAAAGCAGAAGCGAGCATTTGAGGACCTTCGAACGCAATTCCTGATCGAAAGATTGTCGCGGCTACGACAAGTGATTTCAAAACACGGCCTGCACGAAAAATTCACGCGCGAGGAGGAAGCAATCCTCAAAGCCCTGCAGGAGGATAGCGCGAACGATGCGACGAGTGCTATTATTGCGACAGGGGGTTCATCTTCCGGACCTACGAGACAAAACTCCACTGCCAAGAAGGCAAAAAGCAAAAAGTCTTTCTGCAAGGAGATTCGAACGCTCTTGCAGAAGAAGTCCGTAACGGTCGCGCAGATCACGCGCGTTTTCCTGAAGGAACTAGTGAGGAAGTGCGGGCCGCCAGATTTGATGTTTTCGGAACAAACTACACCAGTTGTAACACGGGCCGACACTTTCCTGCATTTGAATCACTTCACCGAGCTGTGCGCGGATGAGGCGCTGAAGAATGCGAGGGCATGGGATCACGCGATTCGAAAGACTCCGGAAATTCTTAATGACGTGAGTCGATACCCGCTGCTCGGAGTGCCAATAAGTGTGAAGGACCAGTTTCGCGTGTGCGGGTCCATGTTTGAGCAGGGCTGCACCTTCGGCGGTTTGGGGCGGTTTTTGGTCCACGCAAGTAGCACAGCTACGTCCACCAGCGCAGGAGTACTTCCACCACGGTGGACGAGCTCCTCGAACACTGGCAAATCTTCTCCTGGTGGTGGTGGAACAAGAGCGACGGGCTCCAGTTTTTCTCTTTTATCCTCATCACAGACGCTGCAGGAGGCTCCGTGCGTGAAGGTGCTGAAACAGGCTGGGGCGATTGTGGTCGCTCGCGGAAATGTGCCGCAGATGATGTTTTCGTTTGAGTCCAGCAACCCGATTTTCGGCGAGTCGCACAACGCGAGCCAGCTCGGCCGGAGTTGCGGGGGCTCCTCCGCCGGGGACGCAGGAATGATTGCTGCCGGTGCGGTTTTCGGCACGATTGGCACCGACGTCGCGGGCTCTCTGCGCGTACCCGCCGCCTTCTCGGGCATTGTGGGGTTCAAACCGACGTCGCGGCGCCTGAACCTGTACCAAAGTTCTAACGCCCCGGGCATGGGCCGGGAGTTCGGTGCGCCGTTGTTGGTGCCCGCGGTCTTTGGCCCAATGGCCCGACGCGTGGCGGATCTCGAGCTGTTCATGCGAGCATGGTATTTTTGGAACACTGGAATCATGTGGCGTCTGCTTTCTGTTTTTTCATATCCTATTATTTAAAACTACACCAGCGGCCTATTGAGGTTGAATACAGACAGTTGTGAGTACTAGAGTGAATCGCCACGATGGGCCAGCAGGAGAGAAAGGCACTGAAATGTTTATCACAATTCACTAAACCAGGCTAAGCCCGCCCGCAAGGAAGATCGCGAGAAAGCAGGCCGGGGAGGAGCTTGCTCCGTTCACCTTCGCACTCGGGCAACAGACAAACCCGAATACCTCGACACCGCGCAGCGAGCGTTCCTCCCGAGTCACCGGGTTTGACCACATCGAGCAACGAAACTCCCTGGAGGACGAGAACGTCACCGACGTCGTGCGCGTCCTACCGAAGAGAATTTTCGCGTTTGACCGCACCCTTCCGCGGCTGCACTGGAAACCCTACTCCCAGCTGAAGATTCGGACGAGCCGGCTGCGCATCGGGTTCTTCGTGCAGAGTGGGTTTTTCGCCCCGTGCGAGACGTCACTACGCGGGATGAAGGAGGCGCTGCACGCGTTGCGGCAAGCGGGACATGAAATCGTGCCCTTTGACATTTCCGCGGAGTTGTCGGGCCGCGAGGTCTTGCGCATCTTCCTCAATCTCACGGTGGGCGAGGGCGACCTGCACAGTCTGCAAAAGCCGCTGCTCCCCGGGGAGCAGTTACCGCGAGACTACGACTACTTACATTTCGCAACCAAACTCCCGCCCTTGCCACGAATGCTTGCCCAGTTCGTGCTGCGGCACTTTTATCAGGAGGAGCGCGCGGCGTTTCTGCTTTCGTTGTTCCGACGTAGGAAGGGGAACACGCAGACGCAGAGGGAGCTCTTCGACTCGACGTGTGATTCGCTGAAAAAGTTTCGCGACGCGTTCGCCTTGCAGTACCAGAGAAAGCACCTGGACTGCGTAATTTTTCCGACCGCGCCCTTCCCGGCCTGGCTGCACGGGCAGGGGTGCGAGCTGTCCGCCGCACTGGCGTCCTACACCTGTTACGCGAACCTGCTGCAGTGGCCTTGTGGGTCGGTCCCGGTCGCGACGGTGCGCAGTCCGAGCAGTGTGTACTATGGGGACCACGGTGGAGCAGGCGGATCGGCGAACGCGACAGATGCGGCCGACGTGAGCCATCCGCTAGCGTCAATGGTCGACGAAGAGGTGTACAGCCCCGATCTGAAGGCGAAAAACAGCAGTGTCCTCAGTAAACACTCTGTTCTATCATCCCGAGAGGAAAGCAGCAACGTCACGACCTCGTCCCGCGTGCCCGACTTTATAGACCGCGCGGCGCAGAAGTGTCTCGAGAACAGCGCGGGGCTGTCGGTTTCAGTGCAGGTCATGTGCCGGGAGTGGGAGGATGAAAAGTGTCTGGCCATTATGCAGGAATTGGAGCGTGTGGTGGCGGAGAAAGTTCTGCAAAAGAGTGGAAATAAACCGAATACCAGTCCTCGAACGAGAAGCGCCAAACTGAACGAGCGACGGCGTCGCACCAATTCGGCGAGAAGGCGAAGTAGAACTGTGTCCGCGACGCGGTCGTTTGAAAGAGCCATGTCCGCGGTCAGTTCGCGGCGCGGAAACAGTTCGCGTTTGACACCTTCCCCGACGAGGAAGCGCGCGGTTAGTGACAGGTCTCTTAGGGCGACTTCCAGGTCTAGCCCGGTAAGCGGACGGACAGCCACCTCGGGAAGGAAGAAGAACGCGAAAAAATAAACGCGACGGTGTGACTGATCGTTATTACCGTAGTCTGAGCCTGCACGCGAAAAGAATTCACCAAGAAGGACCACACTAAGCGATCGGAACCACTTTTCCTAATGCGAGCGTATGATTTGCTCATTTGTTTCGATGAGAGTCAATCTCAAAAATGTGTTCGATACGCAGCTCCGATGCTTGAGAGTTTTGAAAGCCAATACTGCACCTCGGTTTTTTTTACAGAAGTTTCCTGCGCTGTTTCGTATAGCATGCGAGCTTCAGAGCGCTGATAATTACTTCGAGTGGACCGTTGAAGCACAAAATAAAAGCAGGATTGGCGACACCCCCGATTTACTGGATGGCGTAATTTGAACTGTGGTAAATTTTTCTATTGCTGGAAGGAAAACCAAAACTTTCAGTTTGAAGTGCATACACTTTGTCATTTTGCTGCAGAGCTGTCGCGTATAGCGTCTGTCTCACCACCCCGATGGTCAGTCTACTTGTTCCAAGAAATGTTAAAGCGATATTTTCGAATTTCGCTTCCTCTTTCTTCAAAGGCGGGCCGGACAAAATTGATCCAGTCCGATAAGATGGCGAACGCTTGAGGTTTGTGTCCATCGATTGCTCGGATTAAAATTGGCGGCTGTGTCGTGGTTGTAGAACTCGACAGCTACTTCGTTTTGCCATGATCAGGCACGCGAAGGCCCCGGACCGGATGCGCATACGGCGCAGACCGGTGAAGGGGAGAAAAGAAGGCGAGGAGAGCGCCCCGACAACTCCTGCTACGCCGATGGATCACGGGGGATCTGCGTATGATGACGAACAGCTCTACATGTCACCGCGCTTGAACCAACAAGCAATCGAGAGATTCGAAAAGTTCGGGCGCGCAACAGAGGTTTGGAACATTTTTGGTTGAAGCAATACGTGACGTTGATGTTCAGGATGCTAGTGATTAGATTGATAGGATCATAAGTATGTTGAACCACCACTGATCAGGATCAGTGCCCTTTTTTGTACGACTAACCTTTTGTCGGAGTCGAGGTTTATTCCACCTGGAAAGCTATTAAACAGAACTTCTTAGCGTTTATGGAGAATTTGGAAAAGGCCGTATCTACCGACGAGGAGGAGCAAGAGATGCAGGAAGAGGTGGCCGATGTTGCGGTCACCGTGGATGGCGAGAATGCGCCGGGGGAAAAGACACAAGACACGACAAGCAGCACCACCTCCAGCCGGGGACGTGCGGCGGAACCACCGACCACGAAAGTGTCTCCGGAGATCGCGACGGTATCCAGACCGCGCTCGAGCTCTGAACAGCTGCGCCGGGCGATCAGCAAGGACTCCGATAGTAGCAAGGAGCAAGTGCCCGTGGTCGCCTCGGAGTCCGGAGCGACGGTTCCCGACAGCTCATCGGGGATTCCGCGCGACAATTCTAAAGCAGACTCGGAGGGCTCCAGAGGCAGGGCCGCGGAGAACATCAAACCAAGTGGCACGTCTTCGCCCCAGCAAGGGCAGCGGCGACACTCCGCACCGGCCTTCATTCGGACCACTTCGCAGGTTCTCATGGAGAAGCTGAAGGCACAGGGCGAGAAGGCCACGAAGGGGAAGAACAAGCGACAGCTTGTATTCGGCGGGAAGGCCGTGGTGGACGACAGCACTCACGACATTCCGCAGTTGCGGAAACAGTCCGCCAAGGACGCGCTGCGCGCCCTCCGAACGCACTTGGCGAAGGCGAAGCCGGAAGACATCACCAACGGCCGGGCCTTGGTGGAACTGCTTTTCGGCGCAGTGGCAGAGGTGGTGCAGACGAACCTGGAGGACGACAGCACGCAGGATTGGTACCGCAAGACGGCGGGGATGCACACCGTGCAAAAGTGGCTGGAAAACTACCAGAAGCACCCGTACGGGTGGGGCGCGCTCATGATGATCCACGGCACCGACGAGGTTTGCTTCCGGCTGCGCACAAAGGTGGAGAACTACGCGGTCTACGCGGCTCTGTTTCTCAGCGCCAGCATCGTCCTCATACTAGCGCCCCAGGATTCCGTTGGATCGCTCTGCGAAAAGGCGAACTCGGAAAAACTTCGTTCAGAAGGTATGGTTGAGGAGCTTTATTTCGACCTTTTTGTTTTTCATTTTTTTTTCCGTTGGTCAAGCGGAATTGATGCTCTATTTCTTTTTTTGAGAGCTTTAGGAGCTGAAATGTAGATGTCCATAGCACAAAAATCAGGTGATCCGTTTTGGTGGGTGTGTCACATGCAGCAGAGGATTTATTTCTACTCACTGGCGGGAGCGACCTGTTCGCACGTGTTGGCTATTCTGCTCGCAATGGCCTTCATCAACGCCTTCAACGAAGCAGGTACCGCTTTTCGTCGCCTTTTGTTTCGTGAAACCTATTTTTGCAACAGAAAAATTAGTTTGCGACGATGTAGTGTCAACTGCCCGTCGTCTTGCGTGAGCCGAAACTATCTTTCAAAAACAGGGCGCGACTGCGACATTATCCGGATGTTCGGCGAGGGCAAGGGTTACCTTGCCACGGTGAAGTGCGAAAAAGCGTTTACCTACGGCCTTTGCCTCCTCTTCCTGGCACTTTTCGACGCGGTGTGGATTTTCTTGAGCATATTCGACGCGGTGGGGCTGTTCCTGGTTTTGGGCTTCGTCTGCTACTACGGGGTGTACAAGGAAACCGTGAAGCTGCTCTTCGAATCCTCCTCCATAATGTGGTACTGGCGCTGGGGCCGGGGCCACGCGTCCGGCCGGGACCCGTTTGTGTTGTCCCTGCCCATCGAAAGGCTACAGCAGAAGACCGCGGTGTCCCGACTCATGCACGCACAGCTCGTCGACGACGTCGAAAATATTTGGAACATCACTTGAGGAAGTGATTGAATTATTACTTTTTGGAAAATTGATTTGGAATTGTTAACACTGTACAATCATTTCTTTGTCAAGACAACCACGATGACAACTCAAGCTGCATTCGTGGTGCACGAACACCAAATCCATGTACGATTCTTGGACAAAAATTTGAAAAACATGCACACCTTTTTTTGGCAAATGAAAGATTCGTGCAAGAAATAATGCATCTATCATTGTTTCTCTCGTCAACCTACCCCGACCCTGTACACGAAGAGAAACCACTACCCGAGGTATGGTTTCCCATTTTGCGGTTCTCGGACTGCGCACCTCTCCCCCGATTTTCTCACCTATCGGCTTGGAAAAATCCGGCGCAGAATCATTTTCGGAATTTTTTCGTGTTCGCGGTCGGTTCTCTACTTGTTTCATGGGTAGGCTTACTGAAATGGAACCTCGCAAGGGTGATCTGCAAAGGCTGATGCACAGCTCAACCAGGAAACAGTTCTCAGAAAGATCCACACGGAAACACTACACACCTCTGAAGTTAGTTTTCGTTCTCCTGCGTTGCATGAACTACTTGGGAGTGACCTTGCGATGAGGTACTAACCAAGGGTATTAAAAGATGCTGAAAGCACTATTCGAAAACCCGCAACTGGTGCTGCGACGGGATATCATTATTCCGTTGACGACGTACCTGCACGACGTGGAAGTATACCTTCTGCGCGTGCGCGGCGGAGTGCTCTCGCGCTACGGCAAGCAGTTGCAGGGGCTCTCACCTGAAACTGCCGCGGGTCTGCTCGTCCTTGGTGTCGCAACGCTCCTCTACATCCTGATAACGCTACTCCGATGGCGCCGAGTATCACGATTGATGGAACCGGCATGGCGGTTAGTTGCGAAGCGCGACGCGCAACTGGTGAAGTCGCGCAGGCTCTTGGTGGACGAGCAAACGCCTGCGTCTGCCGATATAATGGAGACTAGCGGAGGAAAAGCGGCATCGTCAACGAAGATGAAGTCAGCGATGAAGGCGGTGCCGAAGTCTTCCGCTGCACAGAGGGCGAAATCAACTTCGCGATCGCGAAGTTCCTCATCCAGAAAAAATAGCAATAATGATCAAGAAATCCTAGGGGCAGCTGAAAATCCATTACAGGTGAGCCCAAATGACGCCGAAATCATCAATCCATCGGGGAAAAAGTCCAGTCCTACGACCGCAACCGCCGGAGGGTCTTCCTCCTCCTCTTCTTTTCAGCCGAAAACGGCCGACGGAAAAACTCGCCGATCGGTGGAGAGCATCCGCAAGCTTCTCGTGCGCAAGCAGGCCACGGTGGAGCAGATCGTGCGCGCATATTGCAAACAGCTGCTGTTAGAGTGCGGCCCGGACAAACTCAACTCCTTCACCGAGGAGATGGTGGCCGCCGCAGTGGAGGAGGCGCAGGAATGGGACGCGAAAATTGCGGAGCACGGCAAGGAAATCCTTTTGGACATCGAGAACTACCCCTTGCTCGGCGTACCGGTCTCGGTCAAGGACTGCATAGCTGTGAAAGACTGCCACACCACCTACGGCGGTCTCGCGCGGTGCTGCGCCGAACCGGCGAGCGCGGACAACGTGCTTGTGCAGTGCATTCGGGCGGCTGGGGGAATCCCGATCGCGAGGGGGAACTGTCCCCAGCTCCTCATGCTCGCAGAGTCGAACAACGACGTGTGGGGGTGCAGCCAAAATCCCTGGGACCCCACGCGGTGTTCCGGAGGAAGCAGCGGCGGCGATGCCGCGCTTGTGGCCGCCAATGCGGTCGTGATCGGATATGGTATGATGTTCAGGAAAATGAAATCATTTTCCGCGCCGATTGAAGGTTGGAGATCGATGATGAAATAGAGCGTCCTAGTGTAAGTGATGAAGGAATGTTGAAACTACACAATGAAAAAAAAAGCGAACAGATTTACTCCCCAAACAGGCACAGACATCGGTGGATCTGTGCGGATTCCCGCTGCGTTCACGGGCCTCGTCGGCTTTAAGCCGACGTCTCAGCGGCTGAACGCTTCGCACCGCACCAGCGGTCCCAGTGTGCGCGAATACGGCTCGCAGCTATACATTCCCGGAGTCCCCGGCGTCATGGGGAATTGCTGCGACGACGTGGAAGCGGGGATGTATGCGCTGCTGTACGATTTCAAAACGCGCAAATCGCTGTACGACCTGGATCGCTGCATTCCGAAACAGGGCTGGCGCCCGGTCGACGTGGATGCCGAAGCGGACACCCTGCGGATCGGATATGTCCTGAACGACCGGTTCCTGGAACCGTGCAAAACCTCGAAGCGTGCGATGGAGCGCACGCTGGCGGCATTGAAGAAAGCTGGGCACGAGCTGGTTCCATTTTTTCCAGGTCAGCAGGCCGAAATGCCCGAACCGGACGCAGACGACCCGCTGTCGATTTGGCGGGCGTACAAGCTGTACTGCGGCCTGTTCGCAGACGGCAACATGTACGGGTTCAAGCACAACGGACTACAGGGCCAGCCCTTGTTCCGGGACTACGCCACGATGTCGCTTGCCGCTAGTATACCCGAGGCGTTTGGGTTGCGCAAAATCATCCTCACCGTGCTTCGGTACGTGCTGTGTGAAAAACGAAAGGCCCACGCCTTCTCGGGCGTGACCCGCAGCCCTCGAAGCGTCCGGGAATTTTGGAACGTGTACACGAACGGACAGCGGGACTTTCAGGACAAGTGGCTGAAAAACTACGAGGATTTAAAGTTGGACTGCCTGATATACCCCTGTGTCCCCATTCCCGCGTTCCCGCACGGGGTGGGCAAGACGCTGGTCCTGGTGCAGAGCTACACGTGGATCTTCAACCTGCTCAAGTGGCCCTGCGGCACCATTCCGGCGGCCTACGTTCGAGAGGACGAACAAGAGTACGCGCCGGCCTTGTTCCCGAACGACTCACTGTCCAAAGCAGTGCGCCACAGCATGAAGCGCAGTCGGGGACTGCCGGTGGGCGTGCAGGTTGCGTGTCCCGAGTACGAAGACGAAAAGTGCTTGCACATTATGACGTACCTCGAAAAGCTGTTAGCCAAAGAGAGAAAATGAATACCTACCTATGCGCAACTGTTTTTTCATCTGGGCCGAAACGGAAAAACGCAATCAATCGCAAAACATATGTAGAAGATAGTCCTGTTGGAGGTTCGCTTCTGCAAAGCGAAAGGGTCGTTTTCGAAGGGTCGTTGCTTAAGTTGCTTTTGTCCCGATGTTCTTGAATCCATCTGTCTCCGTCATGACGTCGTCTGGGGTGCTGCAATTGATACCGTACAGTGAAACAAGCAAGGCTTTTTTGATGAGACTAGTCTACAATGCTGCGTGCGAAACGAACGCGAAGCGCATCATAGCGTCCGTCTCGAGCGTTATACCGGACACCTCTCTAAGTAATGCAGCTAGAAGCATTAATGCGACTTCTGAACCAAAAGCATAATAACGAACATTACAAATTCCGAATCTTATTGAAAAATCAGGCAGGCGTTTTTTGTTTGAAGAATTTGGTAGGGTTTCCATTTCGATTTTTTCAACCTGGTATAATCTATGTTTGGGACGCGTATAATTGTTCTCGCCACACAAAAGCACTCATTGCAAAGCTAGTCTACACTTCAACAGCACTGCACACGCTTGGAAATCTTAGAGTACAACTACACTTTGGCACCCAATGGCCGGCGGGCGGAACCAGACGCCAAAGGCGCGCGGGAGCGCCACCAAGACGGCGAAGAAGCTCGCGAGCGAGGCGAAGGAGCCGAAGGCCGACATGGGATCGAGCAGCGGGTTGAGCGAAAACGAGGACGGCAGCACCGGCGGCACGCTGAACGGCAGAAGTAAGATTCGGGGTTTTTTCATGACCAGTGAGGGCGCGCGATCGCTGGCCCTGTACGAGTACCACAGCGCGCCGCTGTCTGCCATCGACCGCGTGTTGAACCCCTACTGGACGCTCGCCGCCTCGGTCATCCCGAACTGGATTTCCCCCAACATGGTGACGTTCCTCGGTCTGTGCGCGCAATTCTCCGCCTTCGTGCTCGGGATCGTGCACGACCTCGGGTATCTGCTGCAGTTTGTCGTCTCCCTCACGGAGTCGATCCCCCTACTCCAGGGTGCAGACATCACCACCATTTCCTACTGCCTCGACCTCTTCGTCTTTTACTACACCATGGCCTGCTTCGTCTTCTACCACGTGGCGGACGCGGCGGACGGGAAGCACGCCCGCAACACCGGGCAGAGCACCCCGCTCGGCGCCCTGGTGGACCACGGCTGCGACGCCTGGTCGGTGCTCTGCGTGTTCAACTGCGCGCTGAGTGCGATCTTCCGCAAACCGAACGCGCTCGCGGTTGCCAGTGTCGGGGGAACCGCAAAAACAGCAGCCGGCCTGTTCAACAACGACTTCAACCCGCGCACGCACCCGCTGATGCCGTTGACGCTCATGTGCTACCACTTTGCGGTGTTCGCCTCCTTCTTCGTGGCCCAGTGGGCGCACTACCACACCGGCGTGCTGGACACGGCAAACGTGACCGAGGGGCAGATTGTCTACCTGCTGATGCTGTTCCTGCTCTCCTTCGCGACTCTGCGCCACTGGTCGCACTACTACACGGGGTACGAGGTGAAGGAGTACAACACGGAATTCATGACCTGGATCATCTGGGCCTCCATCGTCATCCCGCTCTACGTCACCTGCAACACGATGTGGATCGTGAAGAAGGCGAAGCGGTTCCGCCGCACCGCCGGTACGTTTCTCATCCCCTACGGCATCCACATGATCCAGTCGCTCTCCTTTCTGCGGATCCCGAACTTTTGGCAACAGCACTTCTTCAAACTCATCGTTCTCATGTCGCTCACCGTGGTCTACATGAGCTTGCGGGCGATCGTGGCCCAGCTGTGCGCCACCAAAATTCCCAAGGTGTACGCGGAGCTGCTGATCCCGGTGTCGATGCCCATCGCCGCCTACCATTTGCTGCTGAACAAGATGGTGCCGCAGGCGCTGCTGCAGTTCCTCCTCGGCGTGCCAGCGTTGAGGAAGGTGTTGAACAACCCGGTGGATCTGGGCGACAAGCTGATGTGGTGGTGCATCCTTTACACGTGCAGTCTGTCGCTCTTTTTCATGTTCGACGTGATCATGACCATCTGCCGGACGCTGCACATTCCCTTCCTCGCCCCCCTGCGGAAGCCGTGGCGAAAAACCAACTTCGAGCTGGCCGACCGGTTCACGGCCGCAGAAACCGAATCGGCCGCCAGCCGCGCGGGCAAGGCCGCCAGTGGTCCCTCCTCGCCGAAGAAAAACAAGTAGAAGGAGCAGACTTTTGCGGAAGGAATTTCAGCACTGGAAAAAGTTTGTTGTCGTACATTCTTTTGGTTGCCGCAATGTGCGTTGTGCCACCTCCAAGGCGCGACATTTCATTGTTGCGTCTGCAGTGCTTTGAGTACGCTTTACGATTTTTCTAAACTACAAATTCATTGTACGCACATTCGGAGGTCATGAGTATCACAGCTCTTACTGCGGAACAGTTTGTCCACCAAAAGTACACCCTCCAATGCCTACTTTGCCGCCAAGAGGCGCGGTCGGACTTCGTCCGAGGTGTTAGCTCGGCGGCGTCTAATCCTCACGAACCACGGTCTCTATTTTCCGCCATGCAACTGTTTACAAAAATCTTGTATACCCGTAGCGCGTCCTCATTACTGCTTGCTCCTTCCCCTTCAGATGGTTTCGCGTGCCTTGTTGCTGTAGTGTCTTTGCGAACGTGTGCTGGGGCTGATGGTGTGTGTCCAGGTAGAAATTTCTACTCTTTTCACTCGACAGGCAGCTCTACTTTCTTAGTGATTTGTGTGTACTGCCTTTACGTATAATCATCCGTTGATTGCCGCACATCAGATCATCGTCGTGCCGAGAAATATGGTTTTTGTTGTCCACATTAGGGGTAAGTATAGAGAAAATCCGTCGAAGAAGTTTACTCAGTTAGTAGTTGCAAACTACAGCATCCAACAAAGAAATTCTCTATCTACACCATAGCCATCGAAATTTTAAAATTAAAATGTACATGTTGCTTTTGTGTCGTGTCTATAACAGAAGTCCTGCCTCCGCAGATGAAATTCGCTGCAATCAATGGTTTTCTTTAATAAAAAGCTTCAACTCATCTACGAGTTATCGGCCGCTGGTGTTTTCCATTGTCTTTTTCGCACATTTTTAAACCGCCACAGCGCACAGAAATATCATAGACACAACCACTTCCACCTCTTGTTCTATGTCGTCGGCACAACTCGGGTGTGAGGATCATCGGAGAGAGAGAGCGATGTAGAGTTGTAGAATTCGATAACAACTATCGAAATGAGGTCTTCTTGCCGTACTTTATGAGTTGTCCGCCGATGCAGGCTTATTTCCATTGACATTTTGAACCCAAACGACGATGAGAATAGCAAAAAACGAATTGGGAAATCGATCGCAATACATAGGACGTTGTTGTGTTTCTATTGAACTTCGTTTCTTCGGAGTTTTTTTTCAAAAGGAGCAAGATGATCACGTTTTCTATGCCCCTTCCGAAGGCACCGAGTGCTACTGACGCGCCCGCCCCGACTAGGGCAGCAGACGAAAGCACGGAAATACGGAACGAGACCTGTCACTGCTGCACCTGTGGGCGCCTGCTGGGCGAGAAGGTTTCTCAGGTAAAATCGTGTGGCTTGTTGCTATTGCAGGCATACTCCTCTTGTCTTTGCCGTGCGATTTCATTCCTAGCGTTGCCGCGCATCACAGAGACAACAGCGAAAGCAAATCAATGGTCCTGCCAAACTTCAGGTAACGTCCGTCGCGGGCACGAAGCAACTTATCGTGTGGCCTCCTGGAGGTGGGACGAAAAGACGGAAGCTGGAGCAGTGACACGATAAAATCAAGATTTTTTCAAAAAAAAGTATGCATTCTTTAGCTGTCGATATTGATGAAAATTCAACTTGACGTTGTTTTGTGATACTGCAACTTTCGATGAAGAAATTTGAGAAACAATAAAACTAGACGTTTATTCTTTCGACCTTCGTGGACTTTTGAACTTCAACTTTTGGATGCCGGGAGGAGGAGGCCATCGTCATTGCTGGAGTCCCTGAATTCCTCCCATCCAGACAGCAATGCACATATTTCTATGCGTGGCACCATTTATTTTGCGAAGAAAAATATCTTGCACGCTTGTCATTGTCTTTCTGTCTCTAAGCACCAGATTCACTGAGGCCAATTATGCCGATGAGACTCTCATCTTCGGGTATGGTTTAGCTTTGACTCAGTATTCAACTCGTTTGTAGTTGTCACGTGCGTTATCGCTGTTTTTCGGAGAGCGAATTTTGTCAGAGTGTCACTCTGTGAAACTGTTTGCATCGAGAGGTAAAAAGAACCGAATTGCAGCTGCTCGGGTGTGGTCGCGTTGAGAGGTAAAAACCCTATGAACTTGCGAGGGGTTGTTTTTTCGGCTCTAGTTTTTATTTCGAGCGCGTGATGCAAATTTGCTCGTGAACAGACAGACAAGGAAGACACGGGAACCAGAAGCAACATCATATTTCACTTGTTGCAGCTTGAACCAAACAAAACGAGCGAAAGGAACTTGAATAAAATCGGTAGCGAAAGAACAGTACAAGATTTATCTATGCCGAAGGACACGACCACGATGTCCTCTAGCAAGGGCGGCGCTCCTGTCTACCTCGCAAGCGCGGCGGAGAACGGGTCGGAGCCCGACACTGCCACTCACTCCGGCACCGGGACCAGCAGCGGCTCGGATGCAGAGGCCTACAGCTCGCCGGACCGGAAACAGAATACTTTCTACCCGCCAGCCAGGGGCGACGACAGCGAGGAGCGAGAGCCCCTGACGTCCAGCACCACTATAACGAGCGCCGCAACCCTGTCCTCGTCGTTTGTGGCGGGCGGGAATCCGAATGACCAGAAGCTGAAGTTGCGGAATTTTGCCGCGCCAAGCAGCCCCACGGACGACGAGAAGGAGCGCGCTGACTATGCGGAGGAGGTGCTATTCAAGCCCTTTCGCTGGCTCTCAGACCTGAACGAGCTGTACGGCTTCCGGTTACTCTTCATGCTCTTCGTTGCACAGCACATCATGAAGGGCTTTGCAGGTACTTAATTTTGCTATATTCATTCTTAGGAATTTTGGGAGCACCGGAGAGTCTACCCCAGACAGAAGTACTTACTTGAGATTTGTGTTTTTATCTTTTCATCGCGGACTCAGTCAACATAGAACGAAGCAAAAGCTGGACATCCAAAATCGGTCAGGCACCTTCGTTGGGCAACCGGAGCGGTTTATCTACAAGTCGTATCACATCAGCGGTCCGCAGGTGCAGATTTACATGGGTGTGTCGGGGCTACCGTGGGCGCTGAAGCCCATCTTCGGGCTTCTTTCCGACCTGGTTCCGATTAACGGGTACAACAAGCGGCCCTACATTCTGGGCGCCTCCTTCCTGGGTGTGACGTCGATGCTGTTTCTGGCGTTTCTGGAAGTCCCTGTGACCATGATCGTGATGTTCTTCTTCTGCATCGCCCTGCAGCGGTCGGTGTGCGACCTGCTGACGGAGGCGAAGTACGCCGAGGCACTGAAAAAGAAGCCGGAGCACGGGCCGGACTTGATGACGTTTGTGTGGGGCGGAATCGAGATGTTTGGGCTGATCGCGCTCACTATCAAATGCAAAAATGTCTGGGTCTGGAAGAATGCAACATTTGTCATGCACGTTTTGTATGACGTGTGAGGTCTGTGATGCATGCCCTAGCATCACAGATTCTGTGAGATCTTTTCCATGCCTTTTCCGCATGAGAAACTGCCTCTCGGCCTGCTCAAAAGTGAATAGCTTTAGTGGTGATCATGCAACACAGATTTTTGCATGATCCAGAATTAGCATGACAGGTTGCAACCTTCCAGACCCAGACATTTTTGCAATCCATACTCATGTGCGTCGGTCCGCTCGTGGAGTGGATCGGGCCACGGAAGCCGTACTTGCTGCTGATGCCGTATCAAATGTAAAAATGTCTGGGTCTGGAAGAATGCATGTTTGTCATGCTTGTCTGGCATGACTCTTAAATGTGTCATGCACGTTACCCAAGAGCTCCACTCTTCTGTGATGCAGGAACGCAGTTTGTCATGCAAAATAGGCAACACCTAGAAGCTCAGAAACTTGTCATGTTGAGCCAGCATTTGTGGCCTCATCATGAGACGCCACCCAGCATCACAAGTTTCCAGACCCAGACATTTTTACATTTGATATGCCGTTTGCGTCACTGATTCTGTACCCGACCTACAAAAATTACCTCGACGAGACCAAGCGACCGGCGGCGGAGACCCAGGCGCACCGGAAGAAGCTGGTCACGGAGAATAAGGAGGTGTTCATGCTCTGCATTCTGATCACCATCTGCACTTTGTGCATGACGGTGTCCGGCACCCTGTTTACGTCCGTCCGCCTGCACGCGTTGACGGCCCTAGTTGTTCTGGTGGTCATCCTCTTCTCCTTCTCTGTCATCCTGCGCCCGGAAATCGCAAAAATGAACGCATTCTACGTCTTGCAGGGAAGCTTAAGCATCGGCATCGGCGGGGCGTCATTCTACTTCTTCACCGACGGGCCAAAAGAGTATAGGAGCTGTTAAAAATGTAGTCGTGTTCAATGCGTTTGCGAGTTTTTCCAAAAATTTGTAACCGCCTACAACTAGAACTACAACTTCTGACATCTTCACTGTCATGATTCCCTCTGCGTAACCAGCTCCGCAGAGAACTACATTTGATCGCAGGAGCTAAAACTCCTGACACCAACACCTCCAACCTGCAGGTATCCCACAGGACCCCACTTTTCCACCTTCTTCTTCGTGACCGTCCTAGGCGTGACCGGTACATTGTGCTCCCTGTGCGGTTTGTGGTTTTACAACCGGTTCTTGAAGAACTACAGCTACATCACTCTGTTGACGCTGACGAATCTGCTCGGGGTGGCGTTGTCCATTCTCGACATCGCGATTTTCACCCGTTCCAACGTGGCCTGGGGAATCAGCGACCACCTGTTTGTCATGGGCGGGACGGTGTCCGCCAGCTTGATCGGGAACTGGCAGTGGATGCCCGGCGTGGTGATGCTCTCGCAGATGTGTCCCCGGAACATGGAGGCCACTTTGTACGCGCTGCTCGCCGGCTGCCACAATTTGGGCAACAGCATTTCCGAGTACCTCGGCGCGTTCGTGCTGGAGGAACTGGGCTGCACGCCCACCGGGCAGGGTGACGAAACCACGAAATTCGACAACCTGTGGGTGGCCGCTTTGATCCAAACCGTGGTGCCCATGTTCACGATCGCACTAATCCCCTACATGATTCCCAACAACAAACAGACAGACACAATTCTCGTCGACGCGCCGGACTCCGCAACAAAAGGGTCACTGTACAGCAAGTGGTTTCCAGACACCACAGGCTACCAGCAAGTTGCCCGCATGGAATCCCAATCCCCGAGATCATCGGGAGATCCAGGATCTAAAGATTCCCCAACTGCGGCACGAGGAGCCTCTGTGTGAAGCATCCATAAAAACTAGACGGGCCGCTGCCACGGCACACAGCTCCTGTCATAAGATTTTTTGCAACGAGAACTTTTTCTTCCTTTAAGATTGATAGTACCGAGGTTTTGAATGGGTTTCGCATTACCTTGCCACATAGATAAATTGCAGAATAACATGCGCAGGCACACGTCTGCTATTCATTCCAAGAATACAGTATTGTAATAACTACTGATACGCAGTCGCAGCTCGCGACGTCGGGCTTTTCTTGAGAGCTATTTCCGCGGCATACAGACGCCTTTTTGCGTCTGATTGCTTCGCGCTGCATGCGCTTGGCTTAGCTTTGAGAATAAAGATAAATGATCGCTTTTATCGAGCTGTTTTTGCACAGATAGAACTTCATTCGAGGCTGTCGGCAAGATTAAGATTTATCGAGCTTCATGATATAACTGGCCACCTTCGAAACTCAGAACTTCTTCGGCTGTATGACCACCTTTTTTCGATATGGCCTTCATTTTGAAGAAATTTCCCGATGCCGACCGAGAATCAAGATTGTCACTACAGTGAATTTCGGTTTTTGCCATACAAGAGAACTTGGGCTACCACGGACGCTTAGCATTTCAATTTTCCGAAAGGACAAACAATACAGCGAGAATACGAAAGTTTATACTTGCGCTTTTTTAGCCGATATGGCGATAATTTTTGTCCTATCGCGAGCAAGACCAAGATTGGGCAACTACATCGATTGCAAGTTATTGCAAACTCCACTGTTGCACTAGCTGTAGCCGGAGGTGTCCTCCTCCGTAATCGTTATCACCAGGTCGGTCTACTGCTTTGCGGAGCGATGGAGCGTTTTTTCTTCTCGACTCGTTTGCAGAAGCAGAGCTCTGTACATAGCTTGGTCGATGAGCGTTGTTGTCGAATTCATTCTTCGTGAGAGCTGTCGCTTGTCGATGTCTTGTGTCGTTGTAGACTTTTTCGTGGTCGTTTTGTCGTCGTTGTGTCGGTGCCGCGATCGTTCTTTATCGGAAACTTCATCACTTTCACCTATCCCTCTGTGGACGACACTGCGATTCGAAAGACAAAGACTACGAGCCCCCTTCCGTGGGGAGTGCTGCGAAAATGTATCGCGGCGAAACAAGATGAGGCCTAGGGTGGAGGTCGATATTTTTGAGGCAGTTGTTTCCGTACTGCACTGATATTTACACCACGACTTCGCCCGGAGGAGAATCTAGGTAAGGACATTTCCTGATCAGCTCGTCGCGCGTTTGTCTCTCGAACCTTCGCGATCCAGCTCCGGGGCCGGGAAACAAAAGCAGAGTTCTTTGAGTCACCAGGCCCGAATCTGAGCTGCAGCGCAGAAATTCAGGGAGAGTTGGTTGCACGACTGAGAAGTGGAAATCAGTGAAGCGCGCTTTCTCGGTTTCTCGTAGCGGAAGCAGAGAGCAGGAGTAAGTAGCATTTCTTGACCCGCGCGATCTGCTGCTCAGGAACGCAGGGAGATTCCAGTCGATCAGTAAGTGTGGGTCTGGCTGTAAAAATACATACCGATTGTTTTGGCAGCCGGAAAGACCGATTCTTTGTTGAGCAAACGAGCGGGTCCGCGACACCAGTACGAACTTCTTGTTGAATCGTGGAACTAGGGAACAAGAAGAAGCGCGACCTACTTCACCCGGCAATAACGGAGTGTAGGTTTGCTTCCCAAAAAGGAGACCCAGTCTTCGTCTGCGTTGCTACCTGAAACGAGACACGCCGCCCTGATTCAGAAGGTCATTGCGCTTTCTGGGTATCAAGATTTGCCGCTCACATCAGAGATCGACTACGCGATCACCACAATCCCGAACGGAGATTTTTTTCAAGTTTTTTCTAACGCTTCGCGTTCTTGGAAGCGGGACGAGCAAGCTGCAGTGAGCGCAGGATCAACCTGTTCTTCTAGAAGTAGCTGTGGGCTTAGAAGAAAGTCGTACTTTCGTATTAAGAAACGCGGAGGAGCGCAGTCGGTCTAACCGACCTGGCCAGCCTTGGCGAATTTTCAAGCTAGGCGTGTCTGCCTGTACATCGCCGGAATCCAGCAGTAGAGGCAGCATCTTCTAAGGATCGCAACAAGACTGCTAAACGCGTACTACTAGCTGACACATCTTCAACTCGGAGCCCGTTTTTCTTGCAACCGTGCGGCAAGATGAACAAGGGCAGGAAGAAGGATGACTTCGAACCCGCCGTGCCGGCGGATGCGTTCGACCAGCTGTCTATCAAATGCAAAAATGTCTGGGTCTGGAAGAATGCATGTTTGTCATGCTTGTCTGGCATGACTCTTAAATCTGTCATGCACGTTACCCAAGAGCTCCGCTTTTCTGGATGCAGGAACGCAGTTTGTCATGCAGAATAGGCAACACCTAGACGCTCAGAAACTTGTCATGCTGAGCCAGCATTTGTGGCCTCATCATGAGACGCCACCCAGCATCACAAGTTTCCAGACCCAGACATTTTTATATTTGATACTGTCCCGGGATTTCCAGGAGGTCATGGAGGAGCTCACGGGCGAGGAAACTATCAAAAGGAAAAATCCCCCCACCCCATATCGAAATGGAAATCTGTGATGCGGGATTTGTGTACACAAATTGGCTTTCTATTGCAGGAAGGCATCGCGGCCAGATCCCCAGGCTAGGTAGGGCCGTATCGGTCTAGTTGTTCAGCATGGCAAACGGCTGCTCTTTAGGCCCAGCAGCATGACAAATCGCCTCTGTAAAGGGGGCGAAGCTTTTGCCCTTGTCTTCTTGCAAGACAGATGCGATTTGTGACCTGAAATCAGCAACGAAATTTTCGGAAACATGCCTTTTCGATATGGGGAGGGGGGATTTTTCCTTACAATAGAAACCCTGGAATCTTTTCGCGTGGAATACGAGAAGCTCCACGGAGCCTTGGCCACCAGTCACGAATCAGAAAAGAAGCTCATCACCAAGTGCAAGGCACTGAACCAAGAAATTGTGCAAAACGCCGTGAAGGTAGATTTTTTGGAGAAGGAGCTGCTTTGTCGCGGTGCATTTCGTTGTCGTGTTAAAGTTTGCATTTTGATTCTTGCCGGAACGGTATAGAACAGCACGAAGAAAATGAAAAAGCTGACGGAAGTAGGCATTTCTTTATCTTTGTACTCCTGTTTCATCAGGTACAAACCGCTCTGAAGCTTTCTTACGAGGACCAGCAGAGAATAGCAGCACTAAAAAAGGAGGTCGAGCGCGCATGGCGAATGGTGGAGACCAGCCACGAGAAAGAACAGCGAGCCTCGGACTCAATCACCGTTTTGAAGACCGAGGCGGACAACTTGACAAAGATAGTGGAGCAAGGTAAGATGAGTGTAGTTAAATGCTCTTTTCCAGCTGAAGATGCAGCGAACTGCGTTGAACCCTCGTCGACGTTTACAAAACCAAACTCATTCATCTACAGGTGCTGGAAAAAGCGTCAACCAGGAGCAGATGGTAATACAGCTCAGCCAAGAGAAAGTGGACTTCAGCAAGACCCGTGATTTGCTCCAGACTCAAGTCAACAACCTTGCAGCAGCAAAAACTGAGTTCGAGGTATAGCGAAATTCTCATGGCGATCGTGATTGAAAAAAGGAAATTCCCATTGCGCAAAAGGAAAATGTAAATGAGCAAGCGTGAAAAAAAAACTCAGGCACAAAAGCAAAAATCTTCAACAGGAAAAAACGGAGCGAGCGCAGCTGGAGCTGCAAAATCAAGCCTCCGAGGTGGTGCGACTACAGCAGGAAATGGCAAGAAGGAAGACGCAGGGCGAGGATTCACAAAAACGAAAAGCAGAGCTTAATGAAGAACTCACGGTATGAAAATAAAATAGAAATTTAGTGCATTTTCGAGACAGGCATTAGCTTTACATCGAGGCTGCTTGCGGTCCTTGCGTCAGTTGCTTGCCTCCTATCGTATGAAGAAAGCGGAAACCTTCAAACAATCGAAAACAGTCCGTCCGCCTAAAAATAGACGACATGACGAAGGAGGTTAATCAGAACAAAATTAGTCTGGACGAACAGAAAGCCGTCATGCGCGAGCTCGAGCAAAAAGTAAAGGCTGAAACGGAGCAAGTTGCCGAAGGTAGTGACAATGAGTTAATTATTGCTCTCGCTAGTAGTTTTGGACAGTTACAGTTTATTAACGCTCATCGCACTTGCAATGGTGAAAACGAATCCATGCTTCCTCGTAGTGAAAATTTTTCCCTTGCGGACATAAATCACAGGCTACAGCCGGCAAAACAAGCTTGAGGACGACATCAAGAAGAGGAAGAAGCTGACCACCGAGGAACAGGCCATGAAGTCGAAGCTCGGTGAGGAGCAGGCCGGCTTCGAACAAAAAATAGATGAGTTGAACAAGGAGAGGGCGTATTTTCGAAGGCAAAAAAAGCTTGCGGACGACGAATCCAAGGAGATCGAGGAGTTCAGGCACAATCTCGCAGAAGACAGTAAGTAGCACTTTTGCTTTTGATGAAGAAGTGCACTTTGATCTGAATTCGTCTGAATGATAATCATGCAGGTTTTCTAGTTCTATCACATATGTAATGCTTCGCCATTTTTTTCTTCCGACAAAAACAAAACAGAGAAGGTCGAGGAAGGGATAATAGCAGAGTTGAAAGCGGAGGTGGCTAGTCTGAAAGCCGAGGCCACCGACTGCCGAAAACAGGCCGACACCGACCAGAAATATACCAACGAGATCACCCGGGAGCGCGATCTCCTGACGAAAAATGTCGCGAGCGGGGACGATCGGGGTAAGAAACAAGCGGAGATGGTCGCGGGGCACGAAAGGCAGGCAGAGGAGCTCGAGAAAGAAGTTTTGCGGTGGAAGCTCACCACGCAGAACACGAACAGCAGAATAGAGAGTCTGGAGGCCATGAAGGATAAATACCAGCGGGAGTTGACAGAAGCCTATCAAAAGTAGTTTTATTTCGCTTGTTTTTTTTTTCGTGAATCACAATCTTCACTTCACTACAGGCGGGTAAAGGTGGCATGCGGAAGAGCCCCTACTCTCTCGCCTGGGCGGTAGGTGTAGAGCTGGTTGTCGGTTGAACACAGTACAACTTCCAACACCAATCAGGTTCAACCAAGGCCAGGAGAGCCTGCAATCAAGAGAGGAAACCGTCGCCGACTTAAACAAGCAGCTCGCGGACATCAAGCAAAAACTGCACCAACAGAAGAATCTCTACGAGGCGGTGCGGACGGATCGAAACCTTTACTCAAAAAATCTCGCCGAGGTAAACTGCGATACTGTGTTTAGTGTCCTCTTCGTTGTATGGAAATGTACGACTATGAGATACTTAGGTTTATCGGTTATGGTTGACATCAATTTTTCCTTTTACCAAAATCGACAGGCGCAAGAGGAGATAGGCACTATGAAGGAGCGGTTCAGGACGATGCACCACCAGATAGAAAACTTGCGAGACGAGATCCGCAACCGGGACTCGGACCTTATCAAGAAGCACTGCGACCACGTCAAAGTATCGAAGGAGATGGACCGCGTGGTAGATCACCTCGACAAAACGAGGAAAAGGCAAAACCAGCTGCAGCACGTATTTCTTGAAGAACTTTTTTTTGATCATTCTAAAGACGCGCATTTCGTTCAGCGAAATGCTACTTTTGGTTCATCCCGGCGACCACGGTAGTGGCAAACGTCGCAGCCATAGATATCGGAACAAACGCGAAAACAACCACAGATAACCGAGCTACAGCACCGCGAGATGAAGAAGATAGAGAGCACCATCGCGGGCGCGGAGTTCGAGCGGCTCGCGCAGCGGAAGGAGCTCACCGCGGTGTCCGGACAGCGGAACATCCTCGCCACGCAACTGATCAAGCGCAACGACGAGCTGAACCTGTTGTACGAGAAGATTAAGATCCAGCAGTCTACTTTGAAGAAGGGCGAAGCGCACTTCAAGAAGAAGCAGGACGAGCAGACGCGGCTGCGGACCATGATTAAGCAGCTGGAGGGCAAGATCCACGGTGCGGGGAACGGCGGTGTGGACAAATATGAAGAATTGAAGAAAGAGATGAACGCCCTGGAAAGAGAAGTGTTCGCGGAGAAGCACAAGGTGAAGGCACTCGCGGAGGAGCTGGAGAACCCCATGAACGTGCACAGGTGGCGGAAGTTGGAGGGCAGCGACCCGCAAATTTACTCGCTGATCAACAAGATAAAGACCCTGCAGCAGCGGATAATCCAGAAAACCGAGCTGGTAGTGGAAAAGGGCGAGACGCTGGAGCGAAAAGAAAAGACGTACCAGGATCTACGGAAAATGCTCGCGAGGCAACCGGGGCCAGAAATCACGGACAGCTTAGCGCTGTACCAGGAACACGTCAGGAAGAAAAAAGCGCAGTGCGAGAAGATGACCGGTAAGGATTTTTGTTATCGTGAGGACATTGATTTATTTCGAAATGTGTTTGGCAGAGATTCAGATTGAGAAAAGCACAGGGCGCACTAAAGAACGCTACCTACAAGTACGAATATAGAAAATCTGAATAATCAATCTTTCAGGTGAATTGCAAGTGTACACGGCGAAAGTCGGAGAGCTGAAGGAGGAGTTGCAGAGACTGCACCGTGCTAACGTGGACGTTCGGAAGAAGCTCTATGAACAGCGGAAGAAGGAAAAGACGGTGGAGAAGAAGGTCATCCACACTCTCCTTCCGCAATTACCGAGGTTCACCGGCGGTGGCTTCAATCTTTCACTGTAATCAATGGTGTTGTAGCTGCGCCATTTGCCTATGCACATGCTACGCAATACGTGACAGCCCAGAGCAGCGGTCCTGTTTTGTGCCGTCGCCAACGGTATCTGACTAAGCTGCTGCGTGTCATGAAAATTAGCTTTACGCTGTGAGAATCCGAATTTATGCTTGACAAATCGAAAAGAACGGAGGTATTTGATTGATCCGAATTTATGTAGCTTGACAAATCGAAACAAGAAATCCGAAGAAAAAGTTTGTTTTTGCTTGACAGTCCGACAATGCTAGTTCACTCAATCATAATGGCTAGCACTGGTTGCGCAATTGATTAGTTGACAAATTTAGCGAGCCCAAGACGGCAAAACTCAAAGAGCCTGTGCATGATTCCGATGTAACGGGGCTTGCCGTCTTGGATGAGTGTTGCTGTGAGTAATTCGCAGTCGCAGAAATATTTATAAAATGAAAATGTGAAAGAACAGACCGAACGCATTTTTTTGTACAAAACCCAAATGAAAGTGAAAGAATCTATCAGTATGAAATGCGCTCTATCCGCTTGCGGTAGATGTATCGCCAAAGATACCACAATGTTTCCCTGATTTGCGTAGACAAGAGAAGATGTCTTGTTGCGTTTTTTCACTGGAAGTAGAATTCGGATGAGTACAAGCCTAGTGTCCATCGGTCCGAAAGTTTTTGTGACCTGCTGAAAATGCAAATGGTACCAATCAGTGATCGTCGTCCTGTCCAACATCCCCGAAGAGTCATCGCCGTGCTACTTTCGTCTGTCGCACGTTTGTACTCCACGCGCTTGTCTGCGACACTTTTCAGGCTACGTGAAAACATGATCCCCGTCCCCCCCATTTGATGAGTTTTTGAATCTGCCGCGTCGACGCAGGAAGGTTAGACAAGAATTTTCGTTCTACTCGAAACCCTCAGTAGTCACTGAACACCTTCAGCAAAGCGATTTCGTTTGAGAATTTTATTTAAGTACTCCTTCTCGCCAAGATTGCGATTCTACACTTGCAAACAAAAAAACAGCACTACATGTCAATAGATACTCGTGTAAATATAGTCACTCGTGTAAATATTCTGAATGCTAAGTTAACTTTTACTACTGCGATGCATAATTTTGATATGTACGATACTTACCCTTACTCTTCATGTTGATGATGAGGTTGGTTTCTCCCTGACGGCCACCGGTCTGTCTCAACAATGTCGCAGCAAAAAGGGGGCTCGTCCTCCTCTTCCCCGGGTACGCTGGCCAAAACGCCCAGCGAAAATTTCCGACCCGGCGTTTTTTACCGAAGACTGGGAAACGATGTGGCGGCCGCGGCGTTGGCGACGCTAGCGTTGTCGCCCTTCGTTTGCGTGATCGACAAAAGCATCATTTCGAACGCATCCGGCAGGCAGAGTCTCGGGTCGTGCCTGAGCGAAAACTTTCGTCTGCTCTTCACGCGGCCCCATCGATTCGCGCTCTTGCCGGAATACCATCTCATTTACGGGGTAAGTACCTACAATGTGATTGAGTTTGGTGATGCTGACTGTGAAGATGATGGACAACTTGATACAGGCTCTCGAGCTCCCCCACGTTTCAAGCAAGAGAAAGGAATGTTTCACCAGCACAACACGTAATTCGAGCCTCTTATTGACTCCAGTTGTAATATCGTGATAAAAAAATCAAAAAAGGTCTACCTCGCCACCTACATGTCTGCAAACATGACGGATACCATCTGCAAGGAGCATGGGATAAATCCGCTTTCACCGGTTTTCTTCGCTACCTCCGCAACGAACATGGGATTCTCGATTATGAAGGACCGGGCTTTCACACGTATGTTTTCCACGTTGAAAAGTCCCAAACCCCTGCCGCTCCTGTCCTACGCACTCTTCGCCGTGAGGGACTCGCTGACGATTCTCGGATCTTTCACTTTGGTGCCGTTTGCGGGGAAAAAGTATTTCGAGTGGATGAACGACGACAGTAATAGTTCTGCCGCCGCTGCTGGGAACAGTTCGAGTAGAACCAGACCAGCACCGCTACCTGTCACAGCGCTCGCCGCCTCACCGGGAGGAACGAATAGTGCGTCTGGGCTGCAGCAGAGTCGGAAGATTTCGCAAGCTGGGGCACTGAACCTAGCGCAGCTCACGTGCCCGATGCTGATCCAACTGGTGTCCACGCCACTTCACCTGACGGCACTGGACTTGTACAACCGACCACAGGCCACGGCCGGCTCGAGGCTCGCCTTCGTGGGGTCGCAGTACCTCGGCGCCATGACGCTGCGAATGAGTCGCATAGCACCCGCGTTCGGCTTTGGCGGATTGGGAAATAGGATCCTGAGGGAAAGCTTCAACGCCGAGCTGCTGGAACCAGCGATACCCCCGAGCGATCCAGGTGAGCTTCACAAAGAATCGAGCGTAGGCACGCTGGCGCGCAAGCATACCGCCTACCACACATAAAACTTTAAATTGCTAAGCAACCGAAGGTAGACGAAATTTGGAATTGACGCAGAATTGACACAATTTTCTAACCATATCGCATACGAAGTTTCCTGGAAATAAAACATCCTTTCTGTCGCAGGCTGTTGTGGCGTCTCAAAGTGTAGGAACTTATTTTCCGCGGTCACTCGGTCGCCTATTGCAAGCTCAATGTCATGACCCTCATGTTTTTTTGTTTGCGAACGAGAGAGGCTCCGGCTCGGTAGCTACTATGAAGACAACACATCGTTTGGCGAATGCGAATCAGAAAAAGACACAACAGATGTCGGTCTCGTGCAAAAGTTTTGGAATTTTTTTCTTGAGGGAGATGATAATAAACACTTTTTTTTCTGCTTGCAACCTTCTTATATCGTACGTATCAATCTACCTGTACCTGTAGGTACTCTCGTCCTGAAAGACTGATTTTTGCTCGTCCCCGTCGCTCGTCATTGGATCTGCATTCGTGAAAAGAAATGTTTCTGATCAAAACACAACAGCAGCCTAAAACTGAAACTCGGAATTTCCGAAAGCAACTGTCACACACACCCCTTGCTGTAAAAGCAAACCACTTTCACACAACTCGTTTTCACACGAACACTACATCTCTTTCACACTTAAAACCATTTTTCGAGTAAACTGAAAAGCTTACTCTTCATACTCTTGCTCACATCTTGCTCCTGTTTCTCACTGCTATTTGCTTGCTTCAATTCGTAGTTGCATTGACTTCTCATTTCCTTCTCGCACAAGCTTATTACCACACCACAAAGTTTGGTTTCTGTACTATCCTCCACTGTTTATCAACATAACAACGAACCAAAGGCCACCGAGAAAAATGTTTCGTGCGGGCCAAATTTTCGCTACCGCTTCGGCGGTTTTCGCCCAGGATGTCGCTACCACGACCACGGCGCCGGTCGCGGTAGTTTCCACCACCACTACGGTGGGGCCGATTGTGGTCGTGAGTACTACCACGGCCGCGCCGGTTGTGACCACGCAAGCCCCGGTAATCACCACCACGACCTCCTCCGCGGCCTCGACGGCTGCGGCCACTACCACCGCTAGCCCGCTGCTCACGACGACCTCCGCGGCCTCTACTACGGCCGCGGCCACCACCACCGCCAGCCCCGTGATCACGAAGCAACCGTTCTTCTCTACCACCAAAGCGCCAGTGGTCGGCAACACTCCGTGCACCAAGGAGTGGATGCCGGTGTGTGCGAAGGAGGACCCGGCCGCGGAGCAGGGCAAAACGTTTCCGAACGCCTGCGTCGCGAAGAATTTCGGCTACGCGGACGCGCAGCTGACCGCGGGCAAGTGCGAACACGGCTGGTTCAAGCGGTGGGCGCGCCGTCTGCGCGAAACCATGAAGAAGCGCAAAGCCAAGCGGGGCGGAAAGAAGGGGGGTCGCAAGGGCGAGGATGGCGAAGGACAAGCGGAGCGAAACAATGGTGAGAACAAGGAAAACAACAAGGGGAAACATGATCGCAAGGAGCGGGACCACATGAACCACGACGATGCTGTTGAACATCACAACGATGTTGCGCCGGCCCAAGCCAATCTGCCGGTGGAGCGCGAGAAGCAGCACGGTGGGAACAACGGGATGAACGCCGGAGGACCTCCTCGCGGGGGGGACAACGATGACTCGCTGATCGATGACATTGGGTCCTTCGCGGAGGACACGGTGGAGCTGATCGAGGAGGAGATCATCGGGAAGATTTTCGCCGCCAAACTCGCGCAGATGCCGGAAGACGCCTCGGTGGAGGAACGATTGCTGATGAAGATGCAGGTCCTGAAAACCACGGTCATGGACGAGAACAAGGAAGTGGCGGACTGGGACCCGGAGCAGTTGCTGGACAAGGAGATGCTGTTGTTCGACAAGAAGAACAGCACCGACCACCACGGCAAGCACGGCAAGGGTAAGGGCAAGGGAGGGAAAGGCAAGGGAGGCAAGGGAAAGGGCGGCAAGGGGAAGGGCGGCAAGGGAAAGGGCGGCAAGGGTCATCACCACGGGGGTAAGAACCACACCAAGCACGGTGATGACGAAGAGCACGAGCACGACCATTCGTTTGATCATGAAGAAGATCATTCTTCCCTGGACGACGTCGCGAAGCCGGAGTTGGAGAAGCCCGAGCCGGTGGCTGAGCAGGAGAAGGACGCCAGCACGCCTCTGCTGACCAAGCCCGAAGAATCCGTGGTGCTCGTGAAGGGCACGCGCCGCTTCCTGCAGAAAACGCCCACCGCCGTCGAAGACAAGACCGGCTACACTGCTGCGGACAAGGAAGCCTGGACCGGTGCTACGGACAAGTCGGCTTACACCTCCGGGGAGAAGGCAGCTTACACTGGAGAGAAAGCAGCTTACACCGGGGACAAATCGGCTTACACGTCTGGTGAAAAGTCTGCTTCAACCTCGGCCGTCGACAAGGCTGCGTACACCGGGGAGGAAAAGGACGCGACTTCTACCCGGTCGCGCGGAGGCAAGAAGGGCGGGGCCCAGGCCGAAGGCAAGCCCTCCGGTGAGAAGGGGCAGATGAAGCCGCCCAAGCCCACGGAACCGGGCATGATGAACGCTGCGTCTGTGAGCCAGGAAGAGGGCCTGGGCGCCTTCTCTGCGGACTTCACGCCAGAAGAGCAGCGCGTGATGGAAGACCAGGACGGGTGGATGTACGCCGCGCAACCGCGCGCGGGACCGACCAGCGACGCATCCTCAGCGTCGAACGCGGTGGGGCTGGTTCGCTGGGAAAACCTCCTGGTCGACCAGGAAGACGAACTGTATGATTTTTTTTACCTTTTCGATGTTTTTTCGTTTGTCATGCACAGTAGATGTGAGGATCGCCTGCTTAGATTTTTTTGCGTTTCGTTGGAGTTCTCGCCTCAGGAAGAACGACCCCGAAGTCGTTGAGTTGTTTGAACTGAACGGTTAACAAAAAAAAAACAGGTACACTGGTTCGCCTTTGCCGGAGTACGAAGTTTCGCGGGCAGCGGGTGCTGCGTACCAAACGGAGCTGGACGACGGACGCACTACGTCCTCGGCCGCTTCGCTCAAGGGACTGGGCCTGTTCGTAGCAGCGGTGTCCGGCGCAGTCATCTTGTTTTAAGTGTTTCAGGGAACAAACGATGTAGGGTTTTTCGAAACCACCGATGTGAAAAGAAATTTTGAACTGTTTTTTTGTTGTTTAGTTTCGACAACGACCGCAGAATTCATTGTGAAAGTGTACACGACAGTTGCTTTTTAGTTGCTACGGCATGATTGAAGGTCATACATTCTTTTTGTGATTGAAGGTCACGGGTCATGATTGAGGGTCATAACATTACGTGGAATTCCGGGAACATTTTAGTAGTTTTTTCGTTGTATTGTCCCTGAATAAGGGATAGAGTTTCTGAATTCATGACTGAACGTAAACGACAAGGATGTTAATAATATGCCTAGACTTTAGTTGTTTCTGCACGTTCCAACGGACTGTAAGAAGAGCTACATTCATACGGATCTTCTCATGAATTCAAAATTTTGCACGATGCACAGAATACCTTCTTGTGCCTTTGACGTTTCAGGAACTTCATTGGAAGACGTACTTGCACGACTGCGAAGCCGTGGATAACAGTATTTCATACTAGCAAAGCCAGCTTCGCCTGGAAGTAGGCATCAGAAGAAACGCAAATGTCAGTTAGCATCATCGACATCTAGATAACAAATCAAAAAGAAAAAAGCGCCGGCCCCAAAACAAGGCCGCGGCGCGCCCAATGTGGTCGTCGCGGCTCCGGCGCGCCCAGATTGGTCGCTCCATTTCCGGCGCGCCCAGTCTGGTCGTCCCGGCTCCGGCGCGCCCAGAGTGGTCGCCCCAGCTCCGGCGCGCCCAGAGTGGTCGCCCCGGCTTCGGCGCGCCCAATCTCATCAACCCGGCGCCGAACGGCCGTTGGACAACTTCTGGCCGTCCGACGGCCGTCGGACGACTCTGGGTTGTCCGACGGCCGCCGGACGACTTTCGGCCGTCGGACAACTTCTGGCCGTCCAACGGCCGTCGGACAACTTCTGGCCGTCCAACGGCCGTCGGACGACTTTTGGCCGTCCGACGGCCGTCGGACGACTTTTGGCTGTCCGACGGCCGTCGGACAATTTTTGGCCGTCGGACGACTTTTGGCTGTCCGACGGTCGTCGGACGACTTTCGGCCGTCGGACAACTTCTGGCCGTCCGACGGCCGTCGGACGACTTTTGGCTGTCCGACGGCCGTCGGACAACTTTTGGCCGTCCGACGGCCGTCGGACGACTTTTGGCTGTCCGACGG